CAAGCGGTTCGGGGCCACGCTCAATGTGCAGAACGAGCGGGGCGAGACGCCCTTTATGCGGGCGGTCAGCTTTACCAACTGCTACGAAAAGCAGACGTTCCCGGCGGTGATGAAGGAGCTCTTCGAGACGGTCGACGCGCGCGACAATGCCGGGTGCACCATCATCCACCACGCCGCCATTATGAAGAGCGGCCGCGTGACGAGCCAGTCGTGCGCGCGCTACTACCTGGACAACATCCTGAACCGGCTGCAGGAAACGCACGACCCCCACTTTGTGCAGCAGCTCATCGACGCGCAGGACAACGACGGCAACACGGCGGTGCACCTGGCGGCGATGAAGCACGCGAGCAAGTGCATCCGGGCGCTGCTGGGCCGCGGCGCGTCGACGGACATTCCCAACCACGAGGGCGTGCGGGCCGAGGACCTGATCAAGGACTTCAACGCCAGCAAGAAGGCACGCGGTGCCGCGGGGGGCCTGTTGGGCGGTGGCGGCGGCGGCGGCAGTGGTGCTGCTGGCCTGGGCGGCGCGGCCCACATGCAGCGGTCGTCGTCGCCGTTTGCGCCCGACTCGACGCGGCGCCCGGGCGTGCTGCGGGACGACGGGTTGGACGGTGCGGCTGGTGGTGGTCTGGGCGTGTCGTCGTTTGGGGCCGGGACCTATGCCAGCAAAGCCTTGGCGGCGGCGGCGGCGGCAGCGGCGGCCGTCTCGTACCAGTCGGAAGCGGCCAACACGGTGCAGTCGCGCATCACGTCGCTGGTCCTCGACAAGTTCCAGGACCTCTCGACGCGCTACGAGGAGGAGTTCCGGGAAAAGGCCGACGCCGAGAAGGAGGCGCAGCAGATCCTGGACAACACGCAGGGCGAGCTGCTGGCGGTGAAGACGGAGACGGCGGACCTCGAGGCGCGCATCGAGGCGGACGACGTGGCGGCCAAGATTGCGCTGGAGGCCGAGGCGTCGCAGAAACAGCTGGCGTCGCTGCTGACGCGGCGGAACCGCCTGGCCCTGGACGCGGACGCCGAGCAGGAGCTGACGAGCACAACGAGCACAACAAACGGGGCCAACGGGGCCAACCGCCACGACGACTCGCTGGCCGCGCGACAGGCACTGGCGGCCGACCTGCGGCAGCTGGCGGCCGAGCAGAAGCAGGCCGAGGCGGACTACGTGGACGCGCTGGCGGCGGTGGGCACGAGCGACAACATTGAAAAGTACCGGCGGCTGCTGCGGAGCTGCCTGGGCCCGGAGGCGGAGAGTCTCGAGGAAAACCTGGACGGCATGATTGCCATGATGGAGGAAGAGGCCAGCGACAGTCTGCGGACCGGCGGCGGTGGTGTGGCGGCCGTGGAGGCGGTGGATGCTATGGAGATCGCGGCATTATAGGCTGTGACTGTGACTACGCTGCTGTTTGTTGTATTTACGTCGTCCTGTCACTGTACATAGGGATTTGGAGTTTTTCTTTTTCTTTTTCTTATTTCGTTTTTTCTTCTTCGGTCTTTTTTGGGCAATTGGGTGCTCGTTGGGAGCAAAGAGCAAAACGGCACAGGCACAGTTTCAAGCATAAGCAATGAACAATACGAGCATTGCTCGTCTACATCAGTTGATGCATATTCATATGTTTACATGTACAGTAGTGCAATTCGACGAACGTCGTAATTACTATGCATACGGGCCAGGCCAGCTGAATCGGGCAAGCTGCCGAACCGGACATGGACTGGGCCGTTGCCAAACGAGGACAGACCGCTGCAGTGGGTCAAGAGGCTTCATCTTCAGCTATCCGATGACGGCGGGGCGAGCTGGATCTGGAACCGGCATCGTGTGCTGGGCGTGACTTGACGCGATGACATCCCTGCGACTGTGATGCAGGTGATATTTGATGTCCAGCTGGGATGCGGCACGATTGAAGATTGATACAGGGCCCGACTACATCAGTGGATACAGTCGACTTTGGCGATGTTAGTGGACCGTCGGACAGTCCACCGAGAATTGGCCATGCCATCAGCTAGGCGGTCCATGGGTACAGTATCCTGCATGCATGCAATGGGGATCGAATGCGTCGAAAGCTGTGGATGCGCCGATCGAGCTGGAAGAGCCATCCCGGAACAAGAAGAATGTCGCATCGAGATGGAGATGCAGAAAAAGAGGTCTGAACAGAACGAACAGAAGTGAAAGAAAGTTCTGAGGCCCCACTAAAAGCTGCCCTAAAAGCTGCCCGGCCCAGCTGAACGGACTGCCCGGTTTGGGGAGGAAAGTGGGACCTGGCAGCTAAAAACAGCAAAGACAGGCTCAAGGCCGGCAAACAACAGAGACAACAGCCTGGGCGACACTCAACCTCAGCTGAGCATGCCCGACTTTGGTGGCCACAAGCGTCATAGTTTGCCACTAACCGCTAGGGCGTACTTCGTAGGGACACCAAAGAACGAATGAGCAAATAACGAAAGAACAAGATCACCAACATGTCTCCCGTCCACGCCAGAGGCAGACAGGGCTGGCGTCGGCTGTAAGTGGTTGACCGTGTGGGTGTTTTCAGCAGTGGTTTGGCAATAGTTTGTCGGCTCGTCGCCTGGCGGGCCAATGGCAGTGCGAGACGGGTTGATCTGCTCCCGATGCAAGGACACAGACACATCTGAAGCCGAAAACAGGATGATCTCAGCTCTGGCGATGCGCATGGAGTGCTGCACATCACCCAATAGTGCGTCAGAGACGCGTCGAAGCAGGCATGGAACGCAGGGAACGGCGCGATGGGCAATGGACAGAGCCCAAAGGGGAAAACGGAGAGACAATATGGAGGGGAGAGTGGACGCAGACAAAAGATGCGGTCAACGGCAGAGGGAGCGGTGAATCAGAAAAGCCATGTGTTTGTCTAATTGGAGGAAGTGGGTTTGGACGGATCGCCGGGGGAAATAAGAGTGATTGGTGGTGTGGTGAGGATGCGAATTGGTGTTTACGCTTTATTTGTTATTTGCAGGGATTCTACAGAGTCAACATGGTTCAAGGCGCTGCTCAAGAGGAGAGAAACATCCGGCGTCCCTCGCACCGGCGTCCCGTATAGACAATCTGACGGGTGTCGTGTCAGCATGATCATTCGACGGCTACATCGGCCACAACCTTTTCTGCGCGCGTGATGTGCTTCGTTTTCTGACATGCCGAAGCCCATATCCCAGAACCCTGTCCACTGTCCCGAGTGACATTCCACAGCATCGTACTTGGCCATGCTCCGTCGTATGTTTGCAATCACCCTGCAATACTTGTTGTGTCTGCGACCTCGACACGTTGGCTGGTTGGCTCGCTACGGACAAGAATCACGAGACGCGCTTAACTGGAAAGTGCTTGCATCCAGCTCTACTCTATCTAGACAACCCAGCACAAGTCAGCACAAGTCAGCACAACCCAGCTGGCGGCTCTGTGCGGATTCGCAAGTGGCGTGGCGAGTGTGGAGTGTCTGCAGCGGAATTGGAATTTTGATTTGAGTTTGCATCTGCACCTAACCACACTCCACCCTCTGCACGACGACATACATCGTACTGCACCCTGCGCCTGCATGCAAGACAAAACAGGACGGATGCGCCGTCGATCCGGCCCAAGCTCAATCAAGCAACACATCTAGCAGACTGCAGCTGGCTCTGGTCAGGCTTGGTCCGATCTGGTCCAGTCTAGCCACACCGAGACAGACCAGCCCATCGTTTTGTTCTTCTTGGTCTTGCCTCTTTGTCTGATTCTGTCATCCCTCGTCAACTCAACTGCTCAAAGGCTCCACGGCATGCCCGCGGACCATTGGGCCCGAGGGCCCCTGGCAAAGGGTGGAAAGCAGACGTCCTCGTACTGTCTTCAGCTGGCCTCGTTCCCCGGGACTCCCCAAACGGATCTAAACCATGCACAAAGACGCACTCGATCCATTGATCTAACCATATTGATTGACACCAGATCATGATCCGTCTGTTCGCGGTCCTCTGCAATACAAAGTACATTATGTTATCAGGACGACTACGTCGTTAGTCGTACGTCGTACATCAATCGTCCTACATCCCACGCGTAGCCCAACGTCGCACTCAGTATTTAATTCGATTTGATTCCACTCCTGGCGACATCTGCCGTGCTGTTGCATTTTGCTTTTCCGCTCGCCTACCAATACGACGTGCGTCGTTCCGACTGCGACGACAACTGCGGAGTCAACCAAAGGCTCAGCACACACACCACGCCAGCAGCCCCCCCTTCAACACCACTACCACAGCCCTACGCGCGCGCGTCGCATCCGTCGTCCATCTTGGCCTTGCGACTCTTTGCTCTTTGGACGGCGTAGGCTCACCTCGGCCCTGCAGCGCCATTTCGGAACGAGAGGGCCCCCATTCTCACCTCGGTCCGACGTCCCCAAGGCATTTTATTCTCACCACTCCTCTGGATACCTGGGCATTTGATTCTCGACTCGATTGTCTCTTCGTCTCGTCTGGTGCCTTATTCGTATTATTGGTTGCACTGCGGATCGGCCGAAGGAACAGCGGGTCAGCGGCGAAATTCATACAAACGAAGGAGTAAATACCAAGAAAAACAAAGAGGCAAAAAAAAAAAAAAATAACAAGGACGGGAAACAAAAGGGGGCGGCGAATAAAAAAGCACGACAAGGAAACGACAAAATACAGTCTGGAGGGCCACACACAAATGACGAGCACGGCACCATCACAACGCAAACAACGGAATATCAACACACAGCACCAAACACCAACAAACGCCGAGGCTCAAGGTCGTCTTGTCGGATCCAAAACAGCCCCTTCATCCACCACGCAATAAACACATTCCCCAGTAAGCGCTTGTCTGCTTTTGGCAACTCTTGACAGGCCGACAGGGCTACAGGGCAAGCCGACACCCGCAGGACAGGGGGACGAGGGCCCTTGTTGGCGCAAAAGGCGAAACAACGAAAAGAGACGAAAGGAACGAAGAGAGAGAGAGAGAGGGAAAATACGATAAAAAGCCATAAGCAGAGGCGACGGGACAGTCTTACAACGGAACCATGCCAGCCGTTGTGTCTCCTCCGCCACTGTGGGCAGGAGATGAGGAGGAGCACGAACGAAACGGACACGAGGAGGTCGAGCAAATCGAACAACTCGAACAGCTCGATCAACACAATCAACAAAATCAGCTGAATCAACCAAGTCAACTAAATCTAGTTGAACCCAACCAACACGATCCTCTCTTCACGCTCAGCACCGCTTCCCCACCCTCTTCTTCCGTTTCTCCTTTCTCTTCCTTGTCCTCCTTTTTCTCGTCTCGTCCCACTGCCTTTCCTCCACTTCTGTCGCACTCGCTCGCATCGACCGCTCACTGGCTGCTTCTGGCCGCGACGTTGGTCCTTGTCAGCTCGTTGTTGGTGGCGGCTCGTCGTCTCGTGTGCGGCAGACCGAAGCGTCGGCGTTTGTCGCCGTCGACCGCCTCAGCCCTGGGCCGACAAAACACCAAGACAACACACGACGGCAACGTCCACGTCCACGTTCTGTCCGAAAAGGATAAGACGCGCAACGAGCCCATCAACAACGCCAAGGACAAGTCGATCCATGACCAGACACCACGCGCCAGCTTTGACGCAATCACTTACACATTGCCCACATCTCCATCGGCACCTACATCCACATCCACTTCCACATCCACATCCACACCCCCATTTCCTGTCCCATTCATCCCATTTACACACCTGCCTACACGCCCTCCTTCGCTCGGCTTTCCCTATCCTCTTCCCACCCCGGTCAACTTTACCGGCAACTACAACGCCAGCTACAAGGTCAACACCCACCCGCAGGCGCAGCCCCAGAAACGCCTTCGTCGCGTCCGTGTCTACCACCTGCAGAACCGCTGGCCGGCCGACACCATGGACAAGTCGCGGAGAGCATCTTCGGCGTCGTCGTCGACGTCAATGACGACGACAACGACGACGACTTTGGTCCCGGACCATGCCGCGGCACCCCGGCCGCCACCGCTGCCGCTGTCCACCTCCAGCTTTGCCTTTGAGCGGCCCACGTTGGCCAGTGGCCGGGCGGGGCAGGACGATGACATGGGTGACGACATGGACGGCAACGACAGCAACGGCGACGAAGCACCGGGGACGGCATCGCCCACCCGCGTGGCAGCGTCCATTGCCTTTATCCACCAGCCCAACCCAGACTACGCCAACGTGGGCGACGAGGAGACGTTGACGGCGGCGACGGCGACGGCCCCGCCGCCGGCCGAGCTGCCCTCATCCCCGTCCGTGTCGACGGTGACAGAGACGCTCCCCGCGCTCGACACGGGCGCCACCAACGAACTGTTGTCCGTCCTCGGCGCCGTCCCCGACGTCGCTGCGGCCGGCGACGGCGACTGGGGCGGGCATACGCGCGTGTACGGCGGCGGCGTGTGTCTGGCCTGCTTGGCGGCGGAGAGCAGTGGTGGCCAAGGGGGCGAGTACGGCGCCAGCGTGCCAATGGAGCAGCGGCGGTAACAGGCGGTAATAGAGAAACAGGACTGTCAAAGGCAGTCGTTCATTGTCGAAGACGTCGAGGACCTCCAAACATCGACGGATATATTGCTACTTTTCTCTCCTTTGTTTTTCGTCTTTTCCCATTTTATCTTGTTTTCTTCTTGTATTTATTTGGAAACGTAGAAGGTGTCGGACGGCAATCGTCATTATGAGTGGAACGGTTTAGGAGGACCTGCACGAGATGCTCATGAGAGCGAGTGCATGATGAGATATGTAATGCACATGTGATGTATTTATTTCCTTTTTTTATGCTAATATTATAACTGTTTTATTCGTGGGTTGTCGTTTGTTTGAATTTCTTTTCATTCGTCTGATAAGCAATCATTACCTTGAGACTGAACAATATTATTATTATTATCCGCCTTTCTCAGCCACTCCTGGCTATTGGCGACTAGCTAGACAGAACTCTCTGGGGAAAAAACTGTCACAGAACTAGGTGGGCGAATATTCTATTCACCGGTGCGTGTGGTAGGCCACAGGTGGCCACAGTAAAGACAACATATAAATAAATAAAAGAAAATATAACAGATAAGACAGATATGGACATAGGAAATTGATGCTGTCGTGTCGTTTTACGTGGGTGTCGGCGACCTCTCTAGCTCCTTGGCTAGGCGGTACTCCGGGAGACTCTCGCTTCGAATAAGCCACCGGAGGAGCGGCCGGGCCATGAGGACCGTCTGTAAGCGGCGGTCCAGGTCTGTTGGTGTCTGTGGCCAGTCTGACGGTCTCGGGGGTGTTTCTGTGCATGATAGGAGGACGTGGGAGACTGAACAATAATTTTGATAAAAATATTACCACTATATCTCTGCGTGTTCTTCGGACAAATATACACTGTATGTTTACCCAACTCTCTGTTGACCATCTACACTAACCAAACTCACGTATTATGCAACCATCGATCCCAGAGAGTATCTTGTTGGACGACGATATATTATCTATCAGAGTATGCAGTCTGGTTATAGTTATAGTTATAGTCACACGACTTCAGTTCACCCTCACAACCGGCTCTGCTCCACCGGCCCGCCTCGCTCTACCTCGCGGACGGCGGCGGCAAACGAGGCTTGCACGTCGTGCTCATGCAGCCAGGTGGCGTCTGTCCGGTTGCGGATGCGCGCCCGCAGCTGCTGGTCGGTTTCCGGGACGTAGCCCGGACGCAGACTCGCTCGCAGGCTCTCGACACGGGCCTGGTTGGAGGCGTGGACGATGCGGAGCAGACGGTCGGTGTGCCCCTTGCGCGTCTTTTCGTAGATGTGGACGGCGTGCAGCAGATCGGCCGTGCTGGGCTGGGCCGTGGCGGCGGCGGCGGCGGCGGCCGGCGGGAACACGTGCAGCAGCGCGGCCGCAAACGCCCAGGCGTCGTCGAGGGCGAGGCTGCCGCCCGTGGCAAAGGCGCCGCCGTGGGCGTGCGCGGCATCGCCGACGAGCGTGACGCGGCCGGCGGGGACGTTGGCCGTGGTGCCGCTCAGGACCCAGGTGGGCAGGCTGTCCGAGGACGAGTTGGGGTACAGCTCGGTGTGCGGGACGGCATTGACGAGGTTCTTGACCAGGCTGCCCCAGCCGGCGTAGAGGCCGCGGAGCGTCTCCACGCTGCCGTCGGACGCCCACGCCTTGGCGGTGTCCCTGAGGTCCTTGAGGTCGGGCCCCCCGGCGCCGCCCGGCGCCGCGGTGTCCTCGGCCGGGTCGTACTGCACCTGGCCGACGACGGTGTACAGGTCCCGGCCTAGGGGCGAGAAGAAGAGAGTGCGGTCGTGGCCCCAGACGTGGGTGGCCTCGTGCGGCAGACCCTCGATGTGGGCCACGTGCGCGCGCGGGAAGACGGAGCGGAGGGCCAGCGCGCCCGTCCACTGCGGCCGCGACGCGGGCACGAAAAACGTGCGAACCCGCGAATGCAGGCCGTCGGCGCCCACGAGCAGGTCGGCCGCGGCCGTGCTGCCGTCGGCAAAGGACAGGACCAGCTCGCCCTTGGCCGGGTCCCACGCGACGCTCGAAAAGGCCTTGCTCAGGTGGATCTGCTGCGGGTCGACGTGGGCCGCCAGCGACTCCTGCAGGTGCGCGCGGTAGTAGCGCGCGGTCCAGTGCCGCTTCAAAATGTTCTTGTCGGCCTGGCTGGCATCTGTCGAGACGACCTCGCCCGTCTTGTAGTGCCGGTAGACCATGGGGTAGCCCGAGACGTTGCGGAAGGACAGGCCGTTTGCCGCGTCGTCGGCCGCGTCGACGAGCGCATTGGCCACGCCGAGGCGGTCCAGCGTGCGCATGCCGTTGGGGCCCAGCGCAATGGACGCGCCAATCTCGCGCAACTGCGTGGCCCGCTCATACAGGTCCACGCGGATGCCCGGGTGCTGCTTGAGGGCAATGGCCACGGCGAGGCCCGCGATGCCCGAGCCGGCGACGGCGACACGGAAGGGACGCGCGTTGTCGGCCATGGCAATGTGAGACGAGCGGCGGTGGTTCTGGGTGGTGTTGTGGTGTTGTGGTGTTTTGTGATGGGCTGCAGAGGCTGTTCCAGCGGCAAACGGTAATCTGCTCGGCAGGTATGAGGTACGGTTGACGTGATGCCCTTGGCAGACCCTGATTATGTACCATTCACGGCGTGCACAGACAGACGACACGCTCCGCTCGCTCGACCACGGATGCTTCGTGTGCGCCGTATGTCACATAAAGTTGCTCTGTAAGCTTCCCGGATGATGCCACAGCCCGCCATTATGGTGCTTGTCCGCATCGGCAAGAACGCGCACTGCACAATTGGGTGTTCTTTTGCCTATATTCGGCCTACTGGCGATTGCACCATAGGGCGGGGTGCTTTGGCCGAAGCGCTGCAGAACCGTCAGCGCCACTCCGCGAGGCTACTGCCGGCCGATCACCAGCACGTTTGTTCCACCAGTGCCACCACACCATCAGCCACTTACGTCGGCCGCTGGGGTTGCGTTTGCGGTAGCTCGTCAACGAGGTTGGATATGGCGATTGACGCGATGGAGGCAGCAGCAGGGAGAAACCCTCCGGGGCCCTCACACAGTCCAAAGTGAAGTCTATTAAAAATACAAAAATACATGCAAAATACATAACAGTAAAAGGGATAGGAACGTCTTATCAGCGTCTTGGAGGCGGCCCTGCGTCTTGTCTGATATCGGAACCGCCCCGACGGACAAAACTTTCCTTTCCTGGAGCGATCGTCACTCTCAAGATGCTGCCATGGACTGTGGGGGGTCCATTGCCGCGGACCTTGCGAAGCTGACAATGTACCGACAAAGTACCGACGAGCAACTTGTAAGCGGCACGTTGGTTTCGGTAGATGGCGTGGACGGGTTGGCAGGACTCTGTATGATTGCCAGCCAACAGGCAGACCGACAAGACATGTCGTACAACGCACGACCGGCGTCAGACACTATGCGCTGACTCTTTTGAATATAAGACTTGGCACATTCGAATGCTCCCGCCTTTCTTGTCCATCTCATCGCCCTTCCCATTTTTTATATTCATTTTCCTTTTGCTTTCGCTACCATCGTAGCTCGCCCCATACACAACACCATGGGGAAGACGGCAAGTCCCGTCGAGTCGGCCGTGTCCGTCCTCGAGACACCGGCCGGTTCCGTCCCCGCGGCGCCGCAAACGCACCTGGCCAAACGGTCCGACCGCTATGCCGACGAGAGCTACCGGCTGCTCTCGTCGATCAAGGTCGAGCCGCCAACGCCCGACGAAGCAGCCCGGCTCCGGCGCAAGGCCATCCGCTGGATCCTGCCCCTGATCTGTGTCGGCTACCACCTGATGTACGTCGACAAGCAGACGCTCGGCAGCTCGGCGATTCTGGGCATCCTGGACGACGCGCACCTCAGCGCCAACCAGTACAACTGGCTGTCGTCCATCTTCTACGTGGGCTACCTGCTGGCCGAATGGCCGCAGAACCTGGCCCTGCAGCGCTTCCCCGTGGGCAAGTGGCTGGCGGGCAACCTGATCGTCTGGGGCGGCATCCTGCTGCTGCACATCCCCTGCCGCAGCTTCGGCGCGCTCTTTGCCGTGCGCTTCCTCCTGGGCCTGGCCGAGGCCTGCGTCGTGCCCGCGTTCCTGCTGACGCTCTCCATGTTCTTCACGTACGACGAGCAGGCGTGGCTGATGCCGAGCATGTGGGCCGCCGGCAACTCGAGCCCCATCTCGTCGGGCCTGCTGTCGTACGGCGTGCTCTTCATCGAGACGGGCGGCTTCGCGCCGTGGAAGTGGTTCATGGTGATTACCGGCACGCTGACGGTGCTGTACGGCGTGGCCGTGTGGTTCTTTTTCCCCGACAGCCCCGTGTCCGCGCATTTCTACAAGACGCCCAACGAGCGCGCGCAGTCAATCCTGCGCATTGCCTCCAACCACTCGGGCATCGAGCAGAAGCGGTTCCAGCGCTACCAGCTGGTCGAGGCCCTCACGGACCCCAAGACGTGGCTCTTTTTTTTTCACGCCTGGTCGCAGGAGATGGCCAACGGCCTGACCAACCAGTACTCGCTCATCATCCAGTCGTTTGGCTTCACGACGCTGCAGACGACGCTGCTCGGCTGCCTGACGGGCCTCGTGTCCCTGGTGTCGCTGCTGGCCGCCGCCTGGACGCTCGCCAAGACCAAGAACGCGCGCGCCTGGATCTCCGCCGCCTCCTACATCCTCCCCATCGTGTCATGCATCATGCTGCTGACGCTGCCCTGGTCCAACCGCAACGGCCTGCTCGTGGCCATCTACATCCGCGGCACCGCCGGCATCGCCTACAGCGTCGTCATGATCTGGGCCGCCAACTGCTCGGCCGGCCACACCAAGAAGACCGCCGTCATTGCCCTGTACCACGTCGGCTACGGCCTCGGCAACATCCTGTCGCCGCAGCTGTTCCAGCCGCAGTACAAGCCGCGCTACCTCGTGACGTGGGCCGTCATTCTGGGCGTCGCGTGTGTCCTGCCCACCATCATCATCCTCTACCTGCGGTGGTACCTCCAAAGAGAGAATGCGCGCCGGGACGCCCTGGCGGCGCAGCAGCTGATCCAAGAGATTGGCGTGGTCGAGCACGTCGACGCGTCCGGCGAGCGCGTCGAGGAAGTGGTGGACGCCCGCCAGCTCGACTTGACTGACCGCGAAAATCTTGCCTTGTACGTGCCACCCGACCCTTGACTTTGCTATGAACATAACTTTATACTGACACAAGCAGCCGTTACGTTTTGTAAGGAAGCCGGGACGGGGCCGTCCTGAAAGGGAAGAGTATGGGACGAGTAGAGCATAATGTATATGAAGTGCTCGACGTTCGACGTCCTTTTCCAGATGTCGCACGCCACACTGAAATGCAGAGACTTGTTACTATACATGAGACGCAACGAGTACGGCTTGCTTAATAAGCGGTGAAATGGCAAGTAACGGTGTAAAAGAGTAAATGTCGCCTTGCCTTGTTTGGTAACTGCTGTGTATTGTTCTTCCCAGACGGGCAATGTGGAGTCACTGTCGCTTGGTTTTCATCTCTGCAATTGGCGACTAGGATCGGTAAGTGGCCGAGGTAACGAAAAAGACGAGAGGCATAGTTACCTTATTATAACGGGTTATAAGACGCGGCATTTCGAGGTATAACTACCTACGAGATAACGGCCCTGAAACGGCTCTGTGCTGTGTTCGACTTGTGATAATCATACAAAATACTCTGTACATCAACGGGCAAAGGAATTTTCAGGAACACATGGGGCACAGGGGCACAGGAGGGCGCCCGGAGCACATCTGCTACGCAGGTTGGAGCAGAGGTGGCATAGCTGCGTCTCCCTAAAGGCAATTCTCAATCGTGTTTTTCGTCTTCACTTCACATCTGAATTTCCTTGCCAGACACTTTCAGGGGCTGTCCCATCCTCGTCACCATCTGGGCCTTTCCCACGTCGGTCGAGGTCCCGGTCTCCAACACACATCTCTGTTATGCCGGCAATTGGCACGGTGGTACGCCGTATTTGAGTGGTCCCGTGCACAACTATATCGAGCAAAAAGGCCGCAGGCAAGGAAATGCCGGATTTGAGATATCGATAGACAAGTATTGTTATACCTTTGACGTACAACAACATAGCCATCGCTATTGTCTGTGTCATATCGTCTTACTCTATCCAGAAACTGGTCCTATAGTCTTAATTCTGATTTACCACTCGAATTTTCCAATTTCCAGCAGCCCGGTTCGCTTGGGAGTAGGACCTACATTTTGCCAATTTGGCCTATGGAATGATGAACACAAGTTCAAGGGCAGGTTTATTTCATTCATTTATTTTATGACCAGTATATTCAGAGATTCATTCGACTTCTTTTCTTGTCGCCTTTTGTGCCACTCCCACTAGCATTGCACGTGTCCCACGGCCGCCTGTAAAACACGCCCCATGTATTAGCACGCCATCCAACGGTCACCTTGTCTTATCCCATCCCCGCAGGAGCTCCCATTGTCTCCGAAGACGGCCACATCCCGCGGAAACGGAGCATAGAGATCACAAAACCTATCTGCATCTCGCAACGTTGTCAGCAAACAGTGCCGTCCATCCGTTCAAGATCCTCGCCACCCTCGCCATCCTACCACCCTCGCAAGCACCATGGCTCCCAAGCTTGACCACATTGTGCTCCTCGTGCCACACGCGGTGCTCTCGACGCTGCCGACCTGGCTGACCGGTGCATTGACAGTCGTCCCCGGCGGCCAGCATGCGGGCGGCGTCACGGAGAACCAGTTGGTGCTGTTTCAAGACGGCGTCTACGTCGAAATTATAGCGTTTGTCGGCGACGACGCAAAGAAACGGGAGGCGCACCGCTGGGGCCGGCAACCAGAGGGCCATTTCGTCGACTGGGCCGTGAGCCTGGACAAGCCGACACAGAAAGAGAACGACGATGCCTTTACAGAGATTCAACAGCGGGTGGCCGCCGCCGGTGCGGGCCTGGGCTACCACGACCTGGTGGACGGCGGCCGGACGACGCCGGACGGGGTCGTTCTCCGGTGGGCGACGGCGTCGCCCGTCGCCCTGCCGGGCCACGGCGCCGTGTCGGGTGGCCTGCTCCCGTTCTGGTGCATTGACCGGACCGACCGGACGCTGCGGGTGCCGTATGCGACGCGGCCGGACCTGGCACAGCATCCATCCCAGGCCGTCGGCGTGGCGGGTGTGACGCTGCACGTTGCGGACGCGGCCGTCGTGGACCGGCTGCGCACGGCCTACGACGTCTTGCTGACAAGGCGTGGAGACGGCACGGACGACGCGTGGGACGTGGCGGCGCCCGAGACGCCGTCGCACGGGCGGACGGCGACACTGAGAATTGCCGTGCTGGACAGGACGACAGCAGGACCGGAGATTCACAGCTGGATCGAGCTTGCCTTGTTCACGACCGGCCCGGCAAAGACAGTTGGCGGGCACATTGTGGACGGATGGCGAATCGACATTCGGCTCGAGTCCGTGGCGTAATGGTGGAGTGGAGGATGGAGGGGAGGTTAGAATACGGAGAACGACAGGGTCCAACCATTCCATAGCCGCATTACAGCTCGCGGACGTCGGCAGACAACGGACCGCCGATCCCGTCCGTCGTGGTCGTTGTGATGGTGAGCATGACCGATGCCTGTGACTCAGACGAGGCACACCTTTGACGGGCGGACGGCAGACCAACGAGTTTGTTGCGAGCGTCGCGTGGAGTAACAGGCATATTTAGCGTGTCTGGAGTGGCTCCTCATGCAGCAATACAGCCGTGAGACACGACGCGCAGAAACACGAACATGACGTGATTAACCGAGGGGCACGATCGATAGAAAAGGGGTGGGTGGAGGGTAAAGATGGAGGGTAACGATGGAGGGCAGTCGCAGCAGCTATGGTGCCATGTTTTTCGTTGTTAGATAATACAGACTTTTGAAACCGGGGCGTTGTCTTTGTGGTCGTTGGTATGGCGGATCCCGCAGCTCGCGTAGAATGGCGAGTTCGATGGCGTTATGCAATGGTGGCAGTCGACAGACGAATCGCGGATCAGGCACGAATCACCGTTCCGGCACCGAGCAACGCTAGACTGGAGGTGCTGTTTGGGCAGAGGAGACGATGTACATAGTATTGATAGTAGGATGTCTCGAGTATAAATAAGTGTGTTTGTCTAGAATTCTGCTATATTCCAAAACTGTCATCACCTTACACAACGCATAGTCACCACCATCATCGCCAACGCCCACAATGGCCCCCTCTGCGATTGAGACCGTCGTTCCCGACGTGTCGACCCTCAAGCTGCACTCGACACTCAACAACGCGCAGGCCGGCGCCCAGCGTGCTGCCCGCGCACTGTTTGCGCCCAAGTACGACGCAGACGTCGAAGCCGGCAAGACGGGCGAACCGGCTGCCAAGGTGCGTTGTTTCCATGTCCTGCGCACCACGCTATTGACACATTGACACACAAGCATACTCACCGGACCGCAGTATCCCAACTACCTCCCGACTTGGAACCCGGAGCAAAAGTACCCGCCCCTGGAGCCGTTTGAGCACCACGACCACGGCAAGGACGCCGACCCGACGTTCCCGGACCTGCTGCCCAAGGACAAGGCGGTGCGGCTGGACCTGACGCCGACGATTGGCTCCGAGGTGCGCGGCGTGCAGCTGAGCACGCTGAGCGACGCGGGCAAGGACCAGCTGGCGCGGCTGGTGGCGGAGCGCAAGGTGGTGGCGTTCCGCGACCAGGACTTTGCGGACCTGTCGGTGGCGGACGCGCTCAAGTTCGGCGGCTACTTTGGCCGGCACCACATCCACCCGACGTCGGGGTCGCCCGAGGGCCACCCGGAGGTGCACCTGGTGCACCGCGGCGCGGGCGACCACTCGATTGACAGCTTCTACGAGCTGCGCACGTCGTCCATCGGCTGGCACTCGGACGTGACGTACGAGGCGCAGCCGCCGGGCACGACGTTTCTGTACGTGCTGGACAAGCCCGAGGTGGGCGGCGACACGCTGTTTGTGGACGCCGTCGAGGCGTACAAGCGGCTGTCGCCGGCGTTCCAGGAGCGGCTGCACGGGCTGCGGGCGGTGCACTCGGGCATCGAGCAGGCCAACTTCTCGCGCAACAAGGGCGGCGTGGTGCGGCGCGAGCCGGTGTACAACACGCACCCGATTGTGCGGACGCACCCGGTGACGGGCGAGAAGGCGCTGTTTGTGAACCCGGGGTTCGTGCGCGAGGTGGTGGGCCTCAAGAAGGAGGAGAGCGACTGGCTGCTCAAGTTCCTCTACGACCACCTGGCGCACGGGGCCGACTTCCAGGCGCGCGTGCGGTGGGAGAAGGGCACGGTGGTGGTGTGGGACAACCGCATCACGCAGCACTCGGCGGTGGTGGACTGGAAGTCGGGCGAGCGGCGGCACCTGGCGCGGATTACGCCGCAGGCCGAGCGGCCGTTTGAGACGCCGTTCAAGTCGGAGTAGACATAGGTGGCAGAGTGCGTCAGGACATGTTGAAGCAGTAGATACCTCAATGCCCGACACATCGATAGCCCCTCCACACTACTACACTACAAATAACGAAACGTTCGTGAGCAAAATTCCAAGATGCCAAACGAGTTGGGCATGCTGACGGCGACTGGCCGACATGTGGTTTGTGTAGTGAAGGTGATCATGTTCGGTGGATGCGAGAAGGGTGTGCCCTCCTAAACGGCACTACCCATAACTAGCCGGGATACCGGCTAGGCATTGATCCTTGTAGCGGCCCAATGCGCTATTGGTTCCCTAAACCACGAACCCAGCCGCCTGAACCACCCGCAAGCACGCTGAAGCTGGGTGCCGCATGCCAGACTTGTGCACGAAGACGGCTGTTGTTCAGAACTGCGACGACTGCAAACAAACATACGAAGCGAATGCTGCTTATTGCAGCGTTGTCAATGAAGACGGCCAGTCCACGACTCGGTTCTGCACGGGGCTTTCTCATACGAGCTACGTCTGTACAGTGCCATCATCGCAGCCTACGCCCGGCGGAGGGCAGCAGCACAACGGCTACCTGCACGTGCCCATCGTCACTCGGAGCGGATTTCAACGAGGGCGCGTGTCGGCAGCTGGTGGCCGGCCACGTCCGACGCCTGGAGTGGCCGGGCGCACGCGGCGCAGTGTTGCCACCGTGGCGGGTCTGCAGCACGCGGACCGGCAGCCGTACCGCCTGCGCCCCGGCGCCGTGTCTGTGTTTTGCCACAATGACCTGAACGGCGCCAATGTGCTGGTCGACCGGAGATGCTGAACATGACGGCCACTGTCGACGGGGAGTGCGCAGGTTCAAACTGCCCGAGTTTGAGCGGGCGTTCTATCTGCGACCGGGACCGTCGGCGACGAGGCGGTGTATGAGGGGTCGAGGCGTGGGGTTGACGTAGGTGAGGCAGTTGAGGCAGTTGAGAGTGAGGCAGTTAGGGCGTAATACGAGGCCGGGCTATGTCATGCAACAATGTGTAAAATCGGTACTTTTTCGTTACTAACACCGCCCTTTCAATTGGGCGCTCTTGGCAATGGCTGTGATGGCGGCCATTTGTCGAGAGCCGCCGGTGACGAAGTTGCCACGCTGCTAGTCTTTGGAATCGGCACCTTGGCCTTTGTTCCGTATGGTGGTGGTCGCCGTAGTCCTGTTAGTCTCGTGTATGGTCAATTTTGGTCGATCTTGGTCGATCTTGGCTGGTCTTGGTGTCTTGGCAACGGCTCCTGGTACGACGCCCTACGCACGAACACGAAAGCCGATCGTATATATACAGAGGGGTGTCGACAACGTCTCGTCCTTTCTGTCCTTCTTTCCTTCTTTCTAATGCATCCCGATTCTGCGTCACGATCGCCCAACATGACCGACCTGTCGACCACGTCTCCCGCCTCGCTTCCCTACCACGAGCCGTCGATGCCCGCCATCCTCGTGCAGACATCCTTCTTGCTGCTCCTCCACGTCGCCGACTGGGCGCTCGACCGCCTGATCTACTGCGGCCTCGTCGGCCAGATCTTCGTGGGCATCGCCTGGGGCACGCCCGGCGCCAAGCTGCTGTCCACCGAGGCCGAGGACACGTTTGTGCAGCTGGGCTACCTGGGCCTGCTGCTCATCGTCTTCGAGGGCGGCCTGTCGACGTCGCTGCCCGCCATGCGCGCCAACCTCTTCCGGTCCGCCAGCGTCGCCGCCACGGGCATCGCCGCCCCGATTGCGCTCTCGTTTGTGCTGGCCCCGATGACGGGCGCGACGTACCTGGCCTGCTTTGCGGCCGGCGCCGCGCTGTGCTCGACCAGCCTGGGCACGACGTTTACCGTCATCCGCGCCTGCGGGCTCGGCCCCACGCGCCTCGGCGTTGTCCTGACCAGCGCCGCCATGCTCGACGACGTGGTCGGCCTGGTCATGGTGCAGGTGATTGCCAATCTGGGGTCGGGCGGCGGCGACAACGGGCTGTCGGCCCTCACCGTCGTGCGCCCCATCCTCGTGTCGATTGCCTTTGCCACCGTGTCCATTGCGGCGTGCTGGTGGCTGGCGCCCCGTCTGCGATATGCCCTCCGGCGCACGCTGCCCGCACAGCGCTGGGCCCAGCCGGGCACGCTCGTGGGCCGTGTGCTCGGCGCCAAGGCCACCAAGCTCGTCGTCGCCACGGCCTTCTTCGTCGGCCTGGCCACGGCCGCCACCTACGCCGGCACGTCCAACCTGTTTGCCGCCTACATTGCCGGCGCCGTGCTGGGATGGTGGGATTCGTTGGAGGTGGCGGGCGAGGGCGAAGGAGAGGGCGCGGTGACGGCCGACACGCCCCGTGTGACCACGGCCGCCCTCTTCGACGAGTACTTCCACCCGGCCCTGCGCTGGATCCTGCAGCCCTATTTCTTTGCGTCCGTCGGCTTCTCCATCCCCATCCGCCACATGTTTGCGGGCTCCATTGTGTGGAAGGGCCTTGTCTACGGCGTGCTGATGGGCCTCGCCAAGTTGATCTGTGGCGTGTGGCTGGTGCGCATGCCGCAGGGCCTGCGTCTGCCCGGCGTGCCTGTGCCGCGCAGTGTGCAGCGTCTGTGGTCGACGCTGAAGCGGAGGCAGGCGGTGAAGAAGGAGACGGAGACTGAGCCGGAGAAGGTGACGGCGAACGGCAAGGCGAACGGCAAGGCGACAAAGACCGTAGCGGCCCCCGGGGCCTTGCCGACGCCGGCGACGGCAGCAACACCAGACACACCAGAGAACAAAGGCAATGGGCCTGCTGCGGCGAGCGGCGTCGATGCCGACATGACCGATGCTGACACGGCCGCGTCCTCCCAGCCGTCCGAGGCACTGTCGCGATGCCCATCGCCCCCGCGCGGCGCAGAGTCAGAGACAGAGACAGACGCAGTTCGCACCCGCGCCGCCACCTCCCCACATGCCACGCCCGCCGCGCCAACGCCCTACTCCCTCTACCCGGCCGCCATTTTGGGCCTGGCCATGGTCCCGCGCGGCGAGATTGGCTTCTTGATTTCGTCGGTAGCGTCCACCAACGGCATCTTTACAACCAATGCGGACAGACAGGCACCGTCGTCGTCTTCCTCCTCTTCCTCCTCCTCCTCCTCCTCTCGCCAGTCCGACATCTTTCTCATCGTCACATGGGCCATTGTGCTGTGCACCGTCTTTGGGCCACTGTCCGTCGGTCTGCTAGTCCGCCGCGTGAAGCGGCTGTCTGAGCGCCAGGACAATACAGCAAGGAGCCCGCTGGGCGTATGGGGAGTTCAATAGTGGATACGGTAGATGGATACAACGACAATACAGCATAATACGATAGATAGACAAAAAATAGACAAAATACAAACAAAACTACAAACAGCATGAATCGATCCAACACTTCCTACGCCTGCTTGTGCACCGCCTGTAAGACGTCTGCCTCGCTGGCAAATCCAAGCTCCGCCAGCGTTTCGTCCCACAACTTGTCCATCATCGCGCGTCCCGCTGCGCCGTAGAGGGCCACCGGCCAGCTGCGCACCTTCCAGTCGGTAAAGGACCCGTGGCTCTCTTTGCCGAGCACCAGGCTCGCGTGCACGTACGCCCGGGCGGCGTCGGCGGGCTGCCGGCCCAGCACGGCAAACAACGTACGGAAGACGGCCTTGACGGCCCACGAGTCGACGCCCGACAAAAAGGCGGTGCCCTTGGTGGCGCCCGGGTTGCAGGTGTTGACGACGACGTCGTCGGGGGACACAACGTCGGCGGCGAGCTTGGCCGCAAAGGCGACGGCCAGCATCTTGGTGCGGCAGTACTGGGGGAAGGCCTCGAAATGGGCCGGGTCGTCGAGCGCGTCAAGGATGCCGCGGCCCGTGCGCACAGCACCCGCCGACACTGACGCGGGCCATGTGGCACCCAAGGCCGCGTCCGATGTGATGATGGTCAGCCGGCCGGCCGCCGCGTCGGTGGTGCCGGTCGCTGTCGTTGTCGCGGGTTTCAAGAGGGGTAGCAGGAGCAGCCCCAGCAGCGCGGTCGACAGGTAGTTGACCTGCAGCGTCGTCTCTCGCTTGTGGCCCTCGGGCGTCCGGACAAAGCTGTGCTTGCCCAGACCGGCATTGAGGACGGCCACGTGCAGCCGACGGCCCGGGCTCTCTGGGCCCCCCAGCTCCCGGGCACACCGGGCCGCAAACGCCCGCACCGACGACGCGGGCTTCGCCAGGTCGAGCGGCCAGACGTCAATTTGCGCGTCGGGGAAGGCTCTCCGGAGTTTGGCCGCTTCCACCTCGCCCTTGCTGACTGTCCGCACGGCCATGACGAGCCGGCTGGCACCCAGCGCCAAGAAATGGCGCGCGCACGCCAGCCCGAGGCCGACATTGGCGCCCGTGACCAGCGCGGTCTTGCCCACCAGGCTGACGTCCGATGGGATGAGCGGGACAGACTGGAACAGCTGGCGACGGATGTTGAAGAGGGGCCCGGCCTGCGTGGCCGCCTCGTGTTCGAGAAATGCGGACATGGCGGCAGGTGACGAGTCTGCCAGGTGCTCGAGAACCAATACAACATGTGCAGTGCAGACGGTATGCAGTCGGCGACTTATATTACAGTGTACAATACAGCACGGAGCAATGCATGCCCCGACTCGGGTTGCTTCTCGGACATCGGTGCAAGCCGACCGGCCGACTGTCCGTCAAAGACCTTTCCAGGCGGCAGATCAGAGGAGGTCAGGGCAAAGGAGAATGTACGAGAATCTGTCCGCTCGACGTTGGAAGTAGCCCCGGACCTGTCACTTTAGAACTTTTTCTGGTTCCCTCATTTGTACGGCATGCTCCGTACAGCCACGCTTCATCCGTCCAATGGCCACTTATTGGTTGGAAAAGTTCCTCTCTTCTTGAGACAAAGAGTTTCGACTGCCGGGGCCCAGCCTTCTTTAGGGGCCGGCCCAGCGACCTTGGTGGCCCCACAGCGGATCGGCACTAATCATCAGGGCCATGGCAGCCTGGAACTTTTTCACGCTATCTGATTGGTCCGCCGTGTAAGTCGTTACAGTGGGCTGTCAACAACTGCAAACGTCGACATGGCCGTCTCCATCTCTCCTTTGCGTAGAAGGGGACTCGTCTGGTAAAATAAGGACGACACACAGACCGAGATGGATTGCGAATATGCTAGAATATTTCGTTGGACTCAGTTGGCGTTAATTCGAAGACACCCAAAGGCCGTGCGTTTGGACGAGTGAACAACAAACTAACTGACCGGCGACTTTCGCCAGAGTCCGTTTTTCTGCCGCAACAGTCGACAACAGACAATCGGACAAGACAATCAGACCGGTGAGATCTGTCACTTCGTCAAGTCCATCGGATTGTTTCCTGCCAAGTCCGTGTCATGTCCCCTATTAAAGATGCCAACATGGCCTCGTCCAACACTCTCGTTGATGTCAAGACCACCCTGGTCGACAGACATTTCGACTCTCGACGTCGCTCGACTCTTCCACATCTCTCGATAACTCGTCCCTCTACATAATGGCCGACACCACTGAACACACCGACACGGCAAACTCCACGACCGACGTGGCCACGGCCGTGGACGAAAAGGGTGTCCGCACACCCATCCACAGCGACCACAACAGTGATCCTGGCGTGGCCGAAAAGACAGTCGACGTCGAGGCTGCTGCTGCTGCTGCTTCTGCTGCTGCCTCAACCTCCCCCACCGACAACACCGCGTACCCGTCCGGCTTCAAGCTGGTCGTGCTCCTCAGCGCCGTCATGGTCGACGTCTTTCTGGTGGCCCTCGACCAGACGATTGTGGGCACGGCCATCCCCAAGATCACCGACGAGTTCCACGGCCTCAGCGATGTGTCGTGGTACGCGGCGGCCTACTTTATGACCTTTGGCGCGGCCCAGGCGTCGGCCGGCAAGGTCTACAAGTACTACAACCTCAAGTGGAGCTTTCTGGCCTCGATGCTGCTGTTCGAGGCCGGCAGCCTCGTGTGCGGCGTGGCGCCCAGCTCCAAGGCGCTGGTCGTGGGCCGCGCGCTGGCCGGCCTGGGCGGCGCCGGCCTGTCGGTGGGCGGCACGAGCATCGTGGCGCTGGCGGTGCCGCCCGTGCAGCGGCCGCTGATGATGGGTGTCGTGGGGGCGACGTATGCGGTGGCGGCGGTGCTGGGCCCTCTGGTGGGCGGCGCCTTCACCGCCAGCGTCTCGTGGCGGTGGTGCTTCTACCTGAACCTGCCGCTGGGCGGCGCGGCGGCCGTGGCCGTGCTGGTCTTCTTGGACGCGTCGTCGCAGCCGCCCGACGCCGCACGGGCGGCCACCACCTGGCGGCAGAAGCTGCTGCACCTCGACCCCGTGGGCATCGCGCTAGCCATGGGTGCCATCACGTCGCTGATTCTGGCGCTGCAGTACGGCGGCAACACGCACCCGTGGCGCAGCAGCGTCGTCGTCGGCCTGCTCGTGGGCTTCGTGCTGCTGGTGGCCGCGCTGGTCGCGTGGGAGGCCTGGCTCGGCGACTACGCCATGCTGCTGCCGCGGCTGTTCCGGCAGCGCTCGCTCTGGGCCACGGCGCCGTTCCAGTTTTTCTTCATGGGCGCCTACGTGGTCCTGCTCTACTACCTGCCGCTCTACTTCCAGAGCATCCGCGGCGCCAGCCCCATCCGCTCGGGCGTCGACAACCTGCCGCTCGTCGTCACCGCCACCGTCTTTGCCGTCGTCGGCGGCGCCGTCGTCACGCAGACGGGCCGCGCCCAGCAGGTCATGCTGACCGGCGCCGCGCTCGCGACCGTCGGCATCGGCCTCATCTACTCGTGGGACCAGACCACGTCCACGGCCCGCTGGGTCGGCTACCAGCTCTTCACCGGCGCCGCCATGGCCTTCGCCATCATGCACGGCCTCAGCATCGCCCAGGCCTACGTCGCCGCCGACGACATCCCCGCCGTCACCGCCAACCTGCTCGTCTTCCAGACCGTCGGCGGCGCCTTTAGCACCTCCATCGGCCAGGCCGCGTTCGTCAACCGCCTGCTCGCCGTGCTGCCGTCCACCGCGCCCCGCGTCGACCCCCGCCTCGTCATCGTGACCGGCGCCTCCGAGCTGCGCAACGTGTTTGCTGCTGACGTGCTGCCCGGCGTCCTGGACGCTTACATGGCCGCGCTCAAAGCCGCCTTTGCCGTCGGCATCGGCTTCTGTGGCGTGGCCGTGCTGTGTTCGCTGGCCATTCCCACGAAGCGGCTCCCCAAGGCGGCCGGGGATGCAGCAATGGCGGCCGTGGCGTAGGCGGTGATGCGTGGGTGGCGTTGTCAGTGCGGTGGATGTTTCTCGCCTGGATGGAACTGCCTTCGTCTCTTCTTTCCTGTCTCCTTTGTACCATCGCTCGTCTGTCTCTCCTCTTGTCATAGATGCATATCCATAGATTCACAGTATCGTAGTCATAACATAGTATTAATGTACAGTCAATATACAGCCCATACAGCCATACAGCCATACAGCCAGACAACCACATACCTACGCCGCATCCACGGGAATGTCGCGCACATACCGCTCTATGCGCTCGTACGTGTCCTGTTCCACCTTGCGAGCCTCGGCCACATTGCCCGCCGCATCCAGTGCCCTTTGCAGCAGCCACATCTCGCGCAAGACCTGCGGGTCGTGGGCGCCGTCCGACCGCGTGCGGAGGTCGATAACGGTGCGGATCTGCTCGATGGCGTTCATGGGCACGTCGTGCCTGTCATGTGTGTCATGTGTGTCGTGTGTGTCGTGTGTGTCGTGTGTGTCGTGCGTGACGGTCACACCAGAGGGACGGAGAATGTCGGCAAGCAACTTGTTGGTCGTCGGTTGGATGCTGCTCTTCTGCGCGTCAATGTCCAAGAGGGTGCGCAGCACACAGGCCACGTTGCCCAGGTGGACGTTTGGCGTCTGCGCAAGCGGGCCGTTCTCGTCGGCCGGCGACGGCCCACGGACATCGACATCGACATCGGCCGCCGCGACGGACGCGGTGGCGGGTAGGGCCTGCAGAATCTTGGCCGTCGTCAGGCCGGCGAGCATGCGGAGCAGCAGGGTGGTGTCGCCGCGGAAGCTGGCGGCGGCGTCGTGGAAGATTTCGTTGCCGTGGGCGCGCAGGGCGGCCACGCTGCTGGCGTGCAGGCGCGAAAAGTCGGACGGCTGCGGCAGTGGTACGGGCCGGTCCTCCGACGCAACACGGCGGTCGATGGGCACGCGCCCGGCGTCAACGGTGCGGAACCAATGCGAGAGGGCGCCGATCATGGCGACGGGCGGGCCGATGGAGCAGTTTTCCCACAGGATGCAGCAGTAGAGGCTGAAGAGGCTGGGGTTGTAGTGGGCAAATAAAATCTCGGCGTTGAGGGTCCAGGCTTGGGCCAGCAAGGTGCGGATGAGGTCGTGCGGGCCGTGAGGGCCGTCGGGACCGTCAGATAAGGACGACGCCGACGACGCCGCCGCCGCAGAGGCAGTCACGCCCCGTAGACTGTGCAGCAGCGCCAGCAGGGGATGCCCGCCGGCCAGCTCGGGCTTGCTGCCCACCAGCGCAATGACGTGCGCCAGCAGCATCTGAAACAGCCGGACCTGGCCCAGGGACACGATGTGGTGCATAATTTCCAGCAGGTTCCAGACGAGCGCCGGCGCCTCCAGCATCAGCAGCATGTCTTCGACGAGCAAAAAGGCCTTGCGGGCGGTCCGGCCGGCCAGGTCGCCGCGGCCGCGCTCCAGCAGGTCCATGGCCAGTTTGAAGACGAAGCTCATTTCTTTGGCCTTGGCCGGACTGGGGTGGAACGCCGGTGGAGGTGGGGGGGAGGCCGTAGTGGTGGATGTTGGCGAAGAAGAGGACGACGACGACGACGACGACGACGGTGCCACGCCCTCAAAGTAAGCACCGCTCCACGTCTTGATGGATGTCAACAGCAGCAGCGTCAGCGTGTCCTCGGGACCCAATGCGGGCAAGCCGGGGATGGACAAGTAGCCGTTGTCGATGCCCTTTTGGACGTGGCCGGCTCTCCCGGCTCTCTCGACCTGCCCAAGCTGCCCGACGTTCTGCAACGACTGGACAGCCTGCCTTCGTCGGGCATTCTTCTGGAAGCCCCATTTGGCAAATCTCTTCTTGTACATCTGGACCCTACCGGCCGTCGGCAGTCAGTAGACGGCACACACGCGCGCACCCCTCCAAGTCTCCACTTACGTCGCCGCAAAGTTGTGCTCTCGCTCCATGTACTGCATGACATGCCGCAGTTTCCGCCGTTCGCGAACGTACAGCCGCTCGATCTCGGGGAACGCGGCCGCCCACTCGGCATCGCTGTGATGGAGGGACGGCGGGTGTTCAGGCTGGTGTTGGACGACGGCCGCCGACGCCGTGTCTGTGATGGACCGGCCATTGGGCCGCGGAGCCAATATTGGTGCTTTCATGGGTGTCTTGAAATGCGCGTGGGCGGTGATGTGTGAGGAGACAGGAAGAGGTGCGAAGCAGACAAATGCGCGGCCCATGTTGAGGAAACATTGCTGACAAACGCTGTCGACACGGCTTACAGCGGGATCCTGCCAAGGTCTTGGCAGGATTTGGCAGGAATAGCGCTGGGCCACAGCCTACGCACCACTAAAGAGCCGCGCACCGCCAATGCGAGTCATGCGCAACGCTCTTTGATTGGTTTCCCTGCGGAACCCGAGCGCAGCCTCACTTTCTCGCTCTTGCTCGTTCCGAGATCACCGATTTACACAACACCACCCTCGCACAATGCAAGGAGCATCACCACAGACGGCTGCCGTCTCGCCGGCGTCACATACTCGAAAGCGCCGCCACTTTAAGAGCCGTCTCGGCTGTGCCATTTGCAAGCGACGCAAGATCAAAGTAGGTTGTCTTGGCGTTTGCTCTCGTCGTCGTGATGTTTTTGTTATGACTTTGTCGTACCTTCGTCGTGTCGTCTCGATGCCCCTTGAAATCTTCTGACCACGACGCCACCACAGTGCGATGAGTCTCGGCCGGGATGCGCCAACTGCGCAAAGCATGGCGTCGACTGTGACTTTCTGAGCGAGCCGGCAACGGTGCAGAGCCGGTCCAATGCTGCGTCGCCAGATGCAGCGCCGGCTTCGCACTCGTATTTACATTCACATTTCCGTCCACAGCCACGTCCATCCGTCGCAACACCACGGGACACTGCTCCAACCTACACAAGTCACGCCAACGACGACCTCACACCCGCAGAGGTCCCCCTGCAGCTCGCCCACCTCGAGATGCTGCACAACTTTGCCACGTCCACGGCCCTCACGCTGTCGCCGGACCCTGTGCTGCGCACCATCTGGCGCCTCAACGTGCCGCGCGAAGGGTTTCGGCCGGGCCACGGCTTTGTCCTGCGCAGCATCTTTGCGCTGTCGGCGCTGCACATGGCCGTGTTTGCGACGGACCCGGCGGCCAAACAGCAGCATCTCGCGCGCGCCCGCGCCGAACACGCAATTGCGCTTCGGGACACGGCGGCGGCGCTGCGGCACGCGTCCGCCAGCAACTGCTCGGCCGTGTTCATCTCGGCGACCCTAACGTTTCTGTATGCCTGGGCGTGTCCACGGCAGCCGGGCGACATCTTTTTGGTGTCTCCGTCGACGACGACGACGACGACAACAACAACAACCGCCAACAACGCCACCGCCTCCATCCCCCACCCCAGCCAGCCCGCCGACTGGGTCTTTTTCCTGCGCGGCATCCGCACCATTACCGACGCCTGGTCGGCCGAGCTGCTGCGTGGGCCCTTTGGCACCATAATGCGGCTCGGCCGGGAGAGCACGCACTTTACAAAGATGAGCGCGGACCGGCAACGCGGCGGGAGGGACGAGCGCGAAGACGGCAGCGACGTCAGCGCTGGCCAGGCGGCGCTCGTGGCGTCGCCGGCGTGGCAGGCCACGGCCGAGCATGCCCAGTTTCTGTACCTACGGCGCACAGTCGCGCGCGCCGCGGCCGCCGACGAGGAGCCCATCTACCAAAAATCCATTGACAGTCTGGAGTTTGGATTTGCCTGCACCTACCGGTCCATGGGGACGTTTCAAGCGGCGACGACAGCGGCGACGACTACGGCGACTACGCCATCGACGCCGTCGACCATGTCGGGTGCGGCCCAGGTCGACGGCCGCCCTCCCGGCGCCGCTGCATGGGCTGGCGCCGCCTTGCCGTCCAGCGTCTACTACTGGCTCTACTGCATGGACGACGGCTTCCTGGACCTCATCAGGCAGCGTCGGCCGCTGGCGCTCGTCGTGTTTGCCCACTTTGTCGTGCTGCTGCGCGTGCTGAGCAGCTGCTGGTGGATGCAGGGGTGGACGACCCACTTGATGCAGGAGATTTGGGGGCTGCTGGACGAGGACCATCGGCTGTGGATCTGCTGGCCGATTGAGGAGCTGGGATGGCGACCGAGTATGTGAGGAGGTCGAAGAGCGCGTGCGTAACGAGTGCAGTGAGGGGCTTGCGTGGACGCGAAGTGGCCAGGCAACCTCATTCTCGTGACCATGATAGGCCAGCCTGCCGGCAATGAGAAGATGCATGGCAGACGGAAAGTGCCGAGGGGCATGAAACAGGCTGGCTGCCAAGGCCGTGGACTGCAAAAGGTATGGAGTCGCCAGGGGAGACAACTCCGCTGATGAGACCAGAGAATGGAAAAACCAGGCACAACACGCGCAACGGCAGATGCAGAGACCCCATTAAACTGAGCTAGACTAGGCATCAGCGAAAAATGGGAACAAAAAGAAATAAAGTAAAATGGGGTTATGAGACGGGAAATCATAAATAGAATCCGGCCTGTACGCCATCTCGTTTCGCGGCAAGCAGGCGATCTGTGGAGGCGCTCGGGTTACTGTGGGGATGTTCTCGGATTGTGCTCGGGTTGAGGCTCTAGTGGATTTTTTTTCTCGGCTTGCCAGGGCTACGCGAGCTTTCTCGGGTTCGTCAAATCGACTAACACCATTCGGCTCTTCTTGACACTCGCTCTCGCCGTGACAGTGGCCATCCATCGGATCTTCTTCTCTTCCTATAAGAACAACCATCCTCGTCCTCTTGTTAAAATGGCCTTCGATCCCGTGCTAGACATACGAGAGACACCATCTCCGGCCGTGCTTTGTGACCTCCATCGCCATTCGAGCATCACCATCGCATCCCCAGCACGCTTCCACGAAACCCTCCCGAGATGCCCTCCCTCGAAACTCACAATGGCTACCCCCTGTGGCACTACATCCCCAACCGCCCGGGAGCCATTGTCTTTGTCGTCTTGTTTGCCTTGATGACGGCTCTGCATGGCACCCGCATGGTCCGCCACCGCATGTGGTTCTGCATCCCCTTTGTCATTGGCGGTGTCTGTAAGTCGTGCAGGCGTGGGCTGCTGGGCGTACTGCTGGGTTCGTGACTGCTGACCTGCCCCTAGTCGAAATCATCGGCTACCTTGGCCGCGTCCTAGCCTACGACCAGACCGGCGAACTCATCCCCTACGTCCTGCAGTCCGTCTTCTTGCTGCTCGCCCCCGTCTTCTTTGCCGCCACGCTCTACATGACTCTGGGCCGCGTCGTCCTGTACACCATGAACACCGTCAACGACGCCGCCCACGCGCACCACTCGGTCCACGCCGTCGTCGCCGCCTCGTCCCTGTCGCTGCTGCCGCCCCACTGGACCACCCGCGTCTTCGTGGCGGCCGACGTGGTCAGCTTCTTCATCCAGGCCGGCGGCGCCGGCATTCTCGTGCAGGCCCACTCGGCATCGTCCTCCAAGACCGGCCAGAACGTCATTGTCGGCGGTCTCGTCTTCCAGCTCGTCGCCTTTGCCGTCTTCGTCCTGTCCGCCCTTGTGTTTGACGTCCGCAGCCGCCGGCACCAGGCGAGCAGCCCCGTGGCCCGCAACATCCTGGCCATGCTCTACACCACCTCGCTACTCGTCATGCTACGCAACGTCGTCCGCGCCGCCGAGTACGCCACCGGCCAGGACAGCTATCTGCTGACGCATGAGTGGGTCATTTACGTGCTGGACGGCGCGCCCATGCTGGCTGTCATGGCCGTCTTTGCCGTGGGCTACCCGGCGGCCCTGCAGCACGACCAGCGCGGGATGCAGCCGGTGGCCACGCGGGCAAGCGACAATGTCGAGCTGGCCGGCGGGCGCAAGTCGAACATTCGAACGTAGGGTGTATGCATGGGGCGATGGTGGATGTGGAGAGGACGCGTGCGGTGTTCGTTCGACTGCGTTTACATGGTACACTGAATAATCACACTCATAGACGTCAGACGTCTTTGCGTTGGCTTCCTTTGTATTGTGAAGCTTGACGAAAGACGACACATTGAGATACGACACTATAAAGCAATGCGATTGTAGATGGTCATGGATAATGTGAAAAAGTGATATTTATGTTTCTTTATTATGATAGGATTTGTTAAATTGTATTTTAAAAGAGAAAAAAATTTAAAAAAAATTAATCTAATATAAAATAGAACTTGAAGTTGTTCTCTTTATTTATTTACAATTCTCTAAGCGAAAAAGACGACAAATAAAATCAACAACTTGAAAATCCCCTATTTAAAGATTACAACATTTGGTATGATGCCCCTAGAAAATAATCTCGCTGGCGTTGTCTCTCATGGACGTTCTCCAAGATCAATGCAAACGACATCTACGACATGCACGGCAAGAAAGAGTACTTGGGTAGCTTCTATGCCCAGGTCTGCATGGGTCCTGCTTGTACCAATGATCCACTGTTTGTTTGCCTGACATTGAACACTGTAGAACACCAGTCCGCAGCAGGCAGCAGGTTGTTTTTATCTTCAAACCCCAAAGAATACCGATACATTCTGGTTCCAGCAACGACGTCGTCTGTCCCAACTGTCTCATACCGTCTGTTCCACTGCAAGTTTTGCTTCCTTTGAGCTGCCATACGTCTCCTTCTCTGCTCCTTAGGACGTCGGAATTTTTCTACATCAACTGAAACCCCAAGAAAGCTTAAGACACGGTATGGATTGCACATTTCGGCAGTCATATCGTTTAGTCGTTTGAGGTTAGGCTGAGGACAAAGTTGGCCTGTCGCAGGACGAGATGGAATGTACTCCGTACGCGGGCCGGGGAGCAGACAGCAGACAGACATTAGACCGAGACATAGACAGCCAGGCAGAACAGACGGGACTTTGCGGACAAGCCTTCGTACTTTTGGCGGGTATGTCTTGGCGGTGCCTAATCTGGGACTTTGTTGGCAGAAGTGCTGGGCAAGCGGAGAGACACGCAGAAGAATGGAGGTCGAAGAGGGATCGACAGGTTCAAAGAAGAAAATAAAAAGAAAAAAAACAAAAAAAGAAAAACCGAAAGACTTCATAATTCGTCACAGTTGACGTCACGTGTCTCTCGTATTGTAATAAAACTTGCATCCACTTAGCCAGCACTTGATCCTCATCCTTCCGGTAAAGAAGTGGATGCTCACCTTACCTTACCTTGCTCACCTCGTCCCAAGAGCTTCGTCCAGTCGGCTCCATCCTGCGGCTGCCGCCATCACAAATCCTCACCATCGCGTGGCGATGACGAGCACAGTATCCGGAGCCATACCACCGGGCAAGGCAGGGATTCAATGCACTCTCAGTGGACAAGACTGTGCAGACAAAGAGCTGCACGAACTGCACAAACTGCACCTTGGCTGCACAAGACGTGTTTTCGTGTGCTGTTTTCGTTCTCTCGTGCATTCCTGTACTCTGTCGGCCGTGGCTGCGTCGCGTGATTGGCTGGCGCCAATGCAAATGAGCACACTTCTAGGCGCTTACCCGCAGGCGGGTGCTGGTCGTAGTGTTGACCATTTTTAGGATTGGGACAGGGGGCGCTGTACAGATACTTGGTAGCGACGTGTCCCCAAGTACCACCAGCGACTCGCACACGCCAATTCCCGACGCGCTTTGGTGCCGTTTCATGTTGAGAGTACTTGGCCACTAGCTCCGTTGAGGTAGCATCCCTGCCAACGTCACGCCGTTTCGATAGCGCCGTTTGCCTTTTTGTCCCCATTTCCCAGGTCTCGTGCGCTGCTATTGGCCCAGCGACTTCTCTGGCGTCGTTTTGGCGTCCATTTTCGTTGCCTTCTCTGCCTTTTCGGCGGGCTCTGGGGGCTCTTCATTTCCCGTGCATCCTCGCGTCTTTCAACGATCCGCTTGCCTCACTCATTCTCCATCGTCTTTTTCGACGATTGCCTGTCGCATGTCACCTTTTTCAGATTTTCACTGCCACGCGCCAATAGCGGGCGATCCTATGCTGTTCCATCCAGGTCCCGTCGAGCCTGTCTCCTTTTGGGGTGTGCCTGTCGCTCCGTTTGCAGTCTGTGCGTGCTTTGTGTGTTGGCGTGTTCAGTGATACAGCGCCCCCTTTCGCTAAAGCTTTGGTGAACCCCCTGAACGTCCCCCCATCCCCGTTGCAACCCCCTGTTTCTGACGCTCCCTTACTCCGCCATGCGCACACACGTTCGTGGTTGAAGAATGCCTCGACGTGACGCCTGTATTGCATTCAAGCGACATCCAATGCCTTGACTTGGGTTGGCATTCGGCCGTCTGAGCTTGTTGGACCACCAGCACGTCCAAAACGACAAACGCCCCCTCCGCCTCGTGTCCTGGAATGCCGCACGCTTTTGCCCTTGCTCCTGAATGCGTCGCACATACGATGTCCAGACTACGAAGTACGGCTCCCTTTGGTGGTTCTCATGCTCTGCAAAGGCTCCCCTACCTCCGTAAATGCACGCACTTTGTTGGCACCCCTGTACGACTACGACCAACTTAGCTGTCTGATGTGAATGGCGCACGGAATACGGAGTATTAACGCGGACTCTCTACCCGTCGTGTCTGTTGTGATTGCCAACCCCAGCCCGTCACAGATTGATCCCGTTCGCTGCTGCCCTTTTCAGTTCCTGGTCAGTCCTGGAGAGTCGCCCCACTTCCTGCCAGCGCGCCATTCCCTTGCCACCAATCACAGCCCACGATCCTCCTCCGCTCCTTCCCCTGTTCTCTCCTCTTTTCTTTCCTCCTCGTTTATTTTCGCCCCTTGTTCTGGCACAGGCAGACAGGCTGCCCACCACTTGCCCACAGCGTCCACACCCACACACCCACACACCACCACCCATGCGTGCTTGGCCTGGCCCTTTGCTCCTTCCGTCTACCATTTCCTTTCTTTCCCTGCCGTGTCTCTCTCAGTCTCCTTTGTTCCCTTTCTTTCTTTCTTCCTCTCCTCTCTCGATCTCGAACTTTGACCTTCGTCAAACCTCTCCCTCTCCCCCAGTTTCCTCTCCCCCATCCCCCTTCCCTTTTCCATCTTCGTTTTTTCCTTCTCTATTTCTTATTCATCGACCTCTTCTTCCGCTCGCCCTTCTCCAATCCCTTCGATTTTCGCCTCATCGTTGTGGCGGCTCGTTTTGTGCCCGGTTTAATTTTTTTTTTTTCGCATCCGCTGTTGTGACCATTTCGCCTGCAAATTTCCACCCCAAGCAAAAAATAACAGGTATCCAAACATCGTGTACTGAAGCACCAAGCGCACCTTGACGTGTTTTTGCATCGAAACCAAGGGACAGCCCGACGCGCGGCCCTCGAAAACCAAGACTCGACTTGAACAATTCTCTTCTCTTCGCCTTTCACTTTTGCATATTTTGCATACATTTTGCATCGCGTCTCGCACCTTTCGCACTGCCCCGGATCCTGGGAGGACCTCCGTCTTTTGACTCGTCTTTTCGACTCTTTTGACTCTTTCGACTCTTTCGACTTGGAACTCAAAACAACTTGCACCTCCTGCTTCTTGTTCTTTCACCAATCTTTGCTTTCGAAACCCACTCCTTATTCTTCCTTAATATTCTTGTGTTTTACTTGCTTTTTTGCTGCCTCGCATCGATATTCGATCTCGATCTTTTCGACGCACTTCAACTCGAATAATAATCCCAACCTCCATTTCGACCCATCTTCCATCCTTTCCACATCTCCTTCGTTGGACAAACACGCTTCGGAAACTCCTTTCTTGCGCGCTGACGCTGCTGCACTTCCATTTTTGTGTGTCTCCGTGCCTGCTGGCCATCGTCGACTTTGGATCGTTCGTCAAAACCCTCAAAAAACCCTCAAAAGCGCCAACGTGTTCGCTATCTTGGTATCTTTCTCTCCTTTCAGTCAACTTAAACCATCATCTCATCCGGAATACAGCCAGCGGCTTCCGTGTCACTCTTTTCAGACTCCAGACTTTGTTCAGATCAGTCCAACTCAGCTCTCAGCATCTCGCCATCAGCTCTTTTGCTTTTCAGCATTTCGGCATTTCATCTTACTTTCGTGTTTTGTTCTTTCTCTCAGCATTCGAGTTCGATACTTTCTGCTCGGACATCCGTTCCTTCGAAACTAATTTCGTGTGCTCTGCATGCAAAGCCAACTCAACACAAATCCAAATAAACGATCCACTTGCTTGCAACTTGGACACTTCTTTCTGTTACACTCTTCCCTCGACATTGCATAATACGGCCTGATACCCAGTTCTCCGATACACCTTTTTCGTTTTTTTACTGTAATTTCGACTACCCCTTTGCGGTTTTCTACGAAACGAAACAACCGAAAATACCCTATCAAAAAAACCCCCCCCCTCAAAAAAAAGAAATAGACACTCACAAACTCCCACAAGCAGCAATGAACTCTGGAAGTCTTGCTCAGATGTCTAACAACTCTTTTGGGGCCCCTGCCCTCGGCATGCCCATGTCTGGCCTGGCTTCGCGCCGTGGCGGCCAGAGCATCAAGCCGCTCTCCATTGACGCAGTCAAGCCCGGCACCGACAAGGACAACGGCCTGGTGACCCCGCGCACCAGCCGCTCGCACCTGCTGGCCGGTCTCCGGACCGCGCCCAAGTCGGCCACGGCTGCCACGTTCCCCCAGTCCCCGACCACTGCCGCGCCCGTCAATAACAACAGCCAGCAAGCTCGCAACGGTATGGCCAGTGGTCTGTATGGTGGTGCTTCGGACCATCATGCCTACAGCAACGGCCCCAAGACGTCGCTGCCGCGCTTTGCCCAGTCGCAAACCTACAACAACCAGCACTACACCGCCGAAGAGATTTTGGCCCCGCCCGAGATCCAGATCGACGAGCATGATGTCTCCACCGCTGACGCCGACTACGCTGAGCTGGTCGCCACCAACATGTACCTGGCAGCCCAGAAGCAGCGCCTACAGCAGCAGCTGATGTCGGTCCAGGCCGCTCAGCAGCAGTTCCAGAACCTGAACCTGGCTGGCGGCAACGGCGGCAATGCCACCGCCCAACAGCAGGCGGCCGCTCTGCAGCAGGCTGCGTACCAGCAGATGCTGTACCAGCAGCAGCAGCAGCAGCAGCAACCGCAGCAGCAGGTGTACGCCGTTGTGGACCCCGTCACGGGCCAGCAGACGCTGTACGTGGGCCAAGGCAACGCACAGCTCAACAACCACTACATGGAGCAGTACAATGCCAACTTGCAGCAGCTGCAGCATCTCCAGCTTCTCCAGCAGCAGCTTCAGCAGCAGCAGCTCCAGAGCCAGCAGCAACAGCACCTCCAGAACCAGAACCAGAACCACCAGACGCAGTACCAGCAGCACCTCTATCAGCCGTACCACAACCAGCAACAGCACCGCCAAGCCTCGCCCATCTCGGCGCCGCGTGTCCAAGTGTCCCCGCCGCCCGGCGAGGATGGTAGCCACTCGCACTCGATGTACGGTGGCGGCCACCGTAACCTGTCGCCGCCCCGCCGCTTTGAGTCTTCGTCTGCCTCTGACCAGCACGCGCCGCTGCCGCCCCCGAGTGCCAACGCCTTCCGCCGCGGCCACAAGAAGTCGGCGTCGCTGGTTGCCTCCACCACGCTTGACGTTAACAACGCGTCCTCGTCCGCCATCGAGCCGAAGTCTGCCGGTCCCAAGGCGACCAGCTTCCCGCCCAACGTGATGCAGGCGCCGTCGCAGTCTCAGGCCAGCGGTACGTACGGCCCCGGTCAGGGTCGTGCTGGTGAGCACCCCGTGCGCCAACCCCGTGGTCCGCCCAACTTGGAAGAGCTCGTCCGCAAGCCCACGTCCAAGCACGAAGACAGCAAGAACTTTGCGACGCGCACGCGCCGGTCGGCCGTGCACAACCTGGTGCGCGCCGGTTTCACGCGCCGCCAAGGCACGGGTGGCAGTGGCAGTGGCAGTGGAAGCCCGGGCAGCATCAGCCCCATTTCGGAGACGACGGAGCACAACGACGAACACGAAGACCTGGCCACGCCTCTGACAGACGACGAGTCCGTGTCTGGCCGCAGCGGTTCGGGCAGCCTCAACGGCGACGACGTGGAGTGCTCGCTGCCGAGCTCGCGCACGTCGACGGGCAGCTGGGGCGCCATTGGCTCGGAGCGCCCGGGCTCGCGCGAGAAGGAGAAGGGCCGCAAGAGCACCGAGTCGCTCAAGGACGCGGCCGCGACTGCCTCTTCGACGGAGTCGGGCCCCGGCAGCTTTGCGTCGATGTTCAAGACGGTGGCCAAGCCGGCGTCGACGGATGAGCATCGGCGAGCGCCGATGCTTGTTCTCTCCAACGCGGCCGAGAAGCGGCGGTTTGCTGTGTAAGCCAACTGTGTAGCTGAAGCAGGCGACAGCTGCGAGGTTGTTCGAACTGCCTTAACCAACGCGCGAAGCGGATGTCGTGCTGTCGTGGCCGACTACTGATTTCTTTCTCGACATTCCTTTATTCTCTTTATCCTCACTCTTCCATCTGACGCCCCATTACGATTATGCACCGCATGTGTTTTTTTTTTTTCTCTTTTTCTTTTTAGGCTTTACTTCACTTCTACCTTTTTGCTTCTGACAACCCCCATTCTCCTTTGATTCGACCTCATACAGTTTTTATTTTGATCACTTCTCCCTGTCATCCAAATGACAACCAACATGGAACTTTTTTCTTGTCGACTATGATCGCGACCAGGAACGAGGTAGATCCTCGAACGTTTTTTGGTCTTCGGGCACGGGGTAACCTGCCCAGCCTTTTTGCCTTTTTTTACTTTGGCAGCTTCTTCACCTTTTGGATACAAATTGGACAGGGCCCAGAAAGACGGGTCCGTGGATAACGGTTTGTGTGGAGGAGTACTTTTGTGAAAGGGACATGATCAATAGGGCTGCTGGTTGCTTGTTTGGGATGCATTATTTTCTCATTCATCTTTTGTTATTTTTTTCCCATGTGACCTTATACCGTTTTATCTTTTTACTATTTTAAACTTTTACATTTTTTGCGACTTACTCGCATCTTATCAAATCAAATTACTTTACAATGACTTGATCGGCTGCTTGCACTGGTACTTAGTATGTTTGCGTGTCGTTGGTATGCCTATCGCCATACAAGCGGTGCAATGCTGGCTGATTGTTCATCAGTCTTCCACTTTCCCTTCGTAGTACAGCCGCTGATGCTTGCAATATTGTCGCGACGACGTTCATCTGAGATGGATCTTGGAATTAAATTTCATTCTGCTTTAAGTTTTCTTGTTTTTGGTTCGTCTTGTTTTTCATAGATAGTAGGCGTCTCGTAAGGAGAGCCATTCACTCGTTCAAGATATGGTGATTCAAAAAGATTATGTCCGCGTGGGACGTGAGAATGTAAAGTAAAATGCAGACGCAACGCAAGTAAAAGCAAAAAATGGCATCTGAAAGCATTGGCGACCAATTCCCCCCCCGGCTATTCTTTCGTTTTTCGAGTCTTTTCTTTTCGCAACTGTCGCACGCACATTGTTCCGCTGTTGTTCCTACTCTCTTCTTACTTGGCCTTTGCGGCCTCCTTCGCCTTGGCCGTCTGCGCGGCCATCATGGCGGCGAAGTTGGCGTAGCTCTCGCGCTTGGCGTCCTCGACGTGGCCGGACATGTTGCGCAGGAGCTGCGGCATGACCTCGTCAATGTCCTCGTCGGCCGTCAGGCCGGCCCAGATCTCGTCGATGAACTGACCGAGGGGCATGCCCATGGCGGGCAGGCCCTGGCGGGTGTGCAGCTCGGTCTCGACGGCGGGTGGGACGATCTCGATGACGCGGGTGCGGGCGGTGGCGGGGTCGGCCTGCAGCTGCGTGCGCAGGGTCCAGGCGAGGCTGTGGAGGGCGGCCTTGGTGGCGCAGTAGTTGGGGCAGCGGGCGATGGGGACGATGGAGAGACCGGAGGTGACAAAGACGATGGCGGTGGGCCGGCCGGGGCCCTCGCGGCCCTCTTGGCCCTGGGCGCCGAGGGCGATAAAGTGGGGCAAGAACAGGTTGGAGGCGTGCACCGGCGACAGGTAGTTGACGGTGACTTCGTCAGTCAAGCGCTGCAGGGAAACGGACGCCGGGTCGGCGAGGTTGATGGACTGCTGGAAGCCGGCGTTGAGGACGACGCAGTCGAGCGTGGGGTGGGCGGCCGTGATCTTGGCGACCCAGGCGGGCAGCTGGGCGAGATCGCCCACGTCGACGTTCTCAATGGCAATCTTGTCCGGCCCGTGGGCGGCCAGCAGGGCATCGAGGCGGTCCTGGCGCCGGCCGGCGGCAATGACAAAGATGTTGTCGCCGTGGGTCAGGAGGCGCTCGACCAGGGCCTGGCCGATGCCCGAGGTGGCGCCCGTGACGAGGACGGTCTTGTAAGGGAAGGGCATGCTGGGAGAAGTGGGAGTGAGGAATGAGGTGAGAGGTGGGAGATGGGAGATGGGATGTGAGCGGTGTTCTTGAGGTGCCGTGTGACGGAGATTTGGAGGTTAATAAATATTGGAGTCTGGAGTCTTGGAGCCGAGACGGGCAGGACAGTTCTCCATCAACACCGCACCGTTGCCAGGTACCTGATTCGTCCAACCCAGCGGTTTATCTACTACGCACTATTTGCATCTACGTGGTTCGTTGGAGGTGTTGGAGAATGCTGGCGAAGACGGCGTGACGGGCTTTGGATTGCCCCTCTCCCCGGCGGTAGCATTATGCCGCAGTTGGATTTAAGCTCCCGTTGGCTCGTTTTCGAGGAGCGAACCGCGGGCACGGTTGGTGGTGCAACACATATCACAGCCCGAATCGAGAGTTGTGTGGCTGTGACGAGCCTGATAGACCAGGAAATTGCGCCGTCTTACGGGTTGGGAAGATGTTCTCGCGTATCTCAGTCCTCATATCCTTGGTCCTCGTAAGTCGTATAAACGGCAGACAGAGGACGAGTCCGGCAGCAGACCCGGCACGAGTGCACTTGTGTTTTGAGGCTGAAATTATGTGCTCAATGCAGTTCTATGCGTTGCGCACAGTTGCGAGTGTTAATTTCAAGAGCAGGGACAAAATGTGGCAGCCTAGAGCGGAAATGAGACGATGCGATGCCAGGCGGACAAATGCACGCGAACTAGCCATAATCAGACACAGACACCAAACAAGTGCAAGACGAGGTTGAAGATGGATATTAGATGAGATTGGATGAGGTTGGATGAGAATGGGTAAGATTGGATGAGAATGGATGAGAATGGATAAGATTGGGTGTACAACACAGACAGCAGAATGGAACGACGTCAGATTAAGCATTGCTGCCGCCGCCTGTCAGACTTGCCAAATGACCCTTTGGCTGCATCAACACTACTTGTCTGCCTGCCAATAGCCGGAATGACGGCCCCATCCTCTGCCAAGCACGACCAGCCAACTACCTCCTAACCATACGTCTCGCATGCCGCGCAGTCGACGTGCCGGTCGCCGTCCACGCACGGCGTGCCCAGCATCTTGAACTCGGTGGTGCCGTAGAACGGGTTGAGCCACCAGCAGACGCGGCCCATGACATTCTCCTCGTACCAGTCGTCCTGGCGGAAGCAGTACCACAGGCCGTCGCGCTGCGCACACTGGCGCACGCAGCCGGTGGTCTGGTTCTGCGCGACGCACGACGCGGCCGGGGCCCAGGTGGCGGGCTGGGTGCAGTTGCCGCAGAGGCCCTGGTCGTGGCGCGGCAGGTCGGTCGACTGGGGCTTGTGGAGGATCCAGGTGGACGAGTGCGTCTCGACGGACGGCGCGGCCGTGACGCGCGACGGGGCGGTGCCGTGCACCAGCTCGTGTGTCGTGACGGCGACCTGGACGACGGTGGCCGGGTACGAGGTTGGCGATGTGGCCTGGGCCTCGACGGTCACCATGTTCTGGTAGTCGGTGGTGTTGCCGCCGTCGGCCGCCGAGGCGACGTCGCCGCCGGGCGCGGCAAAGTCGTACGACGAGGTGAGCACGGTGTCGTGGGACGAGAAGGTGAGGGTGGTCGGGTAGGCCGTGATGGCGGGCGTGGCCGTGGGGTCGTCGAAGACGCACTTGACGGTTGTGCACGAGGGCTCGACGGCCACGGCGGCGCCGGCGAGCGCGAGGCCGACAAAGACAGGACGATGCATGGTGAGGTGAGGCTGCGAGGCACGGCGAGGCCAATGGGCAACAGATGGATGCTACGATGGATGCTACGATGGCCGTCGCGACGACACGACTGCAGATGGGAACGGTGTATTCAAATAGGCCATAGGCCATTGGCAATAGGCGTCGTCTGGGCACGGACGCGGAGCGCAGAGGCTGCACCGTAGATTGAGAACGCGCAGTCGTATATTGGGGGATATAAATATGCTTCTGTTTCTTGTTTCTCCAGGCCCATTGGCCGGCAGAGCCGGCAGATACCAGCGCCTCGCCAGGAGCGTCTCGGCAAATATTGCAAGACGTGTCTGCCATGCTGCCCGTGGACAATTAATATAGTGGCCAAACCCACAGGGACCGTTCACGCACTCGACAGCCATTGGACGAAGACGGATATTGTGTCCGGGGAAATACGTCTTCGTTCGCGACAATTTATGTGACCAAACATTTACCCTTTGGCCGCGTAGCCGAGGATCCACATCCCAGTCATGGCAGTCGTTGTCGGGATGCAGTCCGCACTGGGCATTATGTAAGGCGTGGCGGTCCTCTTCTGCGTCGCTTTGCTGTGCACCACTTTTGTGTCCACTGTCGATGTACGGCCTGTATTTGCAGCGATGTGTAGCGTATTTTGTGGCGGGCCGTCCCGCTGTCACTCGCTGTACAACAGAGGCCAACCAAACATCAGTTGAACACAAACTGGATAGAACAAGACAAAGCACAAGATGAGTCTATTTAAGATGTAAAACGATATCATGTCGTGGATGGCCGACCCATCGGGGACAACAACCCAATTCGGGACACTGTCCGTTGCGCAGGGTCTCTCGAATATTGACCAGCCTTGTCGGGGCTGTGCTCCAGACGCCCACCAATGAGCATCACAGTTGCAAGCCGGGGTCGTAGGGCGCCTGCGCTTGCTCGCCAGCCGTGGTTCAGCTTCAGCCTCACGCTGGGCTGGCTGGTCTGGCGTTGGATGGGCCGCATTCTGCATTCTGTTTTCGTCGGTTGGCGTGACTTGCAACTTGCAACTTGCACAACAAACGTCAACACAAAACCGAAACAACAGCGACAGCGACACTGACAGCGAACCGCCCCAGCTCTTCTACGCACGGCGCCTCCCCTGTGCGCATCTCCTTTTCCTGCTGAACCCCGATTCTCTTCCTCTTTCGTCCCAACCACCTTGCCGCCAACATAACAATGGCCGACCCTCCTGCGCGGTCGGGCCCGCCGGCGGACTATGGGCCTCTGTCGCCCAGTGCTGCGCCTGTCTCCGCCAACGCGTCGTCCACAAGGGCCGTCGGGGCGACGCCGCCGCCGCGGCCTGCGCGCACGTACTACTTGGCGTACGGCAGCGACATGCAGATGGCGTACATGGCGCGGACCTGCCCCGGCAGCCGGTACATTGGGCGGGCCGTGCTGACGGACTACAGGTGGCACATCAACGGGCTGGGGCTGGCCAACCTGACGAGCGTCAAGACGGCGCACGCGCCGGGGCTCGTGTTTGAGCTCGAGGCGGGGGACCGGGCGGTGTTGGAGACGAACCAGTTCCCGCTGTACAAGAGCGTGACGGTGGACGCCGAGCTGATCCCGGCGCCGTTCTGCTTGTACCGCCGGCAGGCGACGTGGATCACCAAGAACGGCGGGCCGCAGGCGGTGCTGGAAGAGGCGGAGGCGCAGGGGCGGGGCAGCAACGACCGCCGGGCGTCGTACACGGAGCGCGGCATCCTGGTGTTTATCAGCACGGAGGTAACGACGGACGGGCGGCCCGACGCGCGGTACGCGGAGGCGATCAACGCGGCGGCGGCGGACGCCATGGCGCTCGGGGTGGAGCCCATGTTTTTTGATAGGATTGTGCAGCCGTTCATGCCGGGGCGCATACTGCCGATTTTGCGGGTGGTCCGGCGGGGGAAGGGGTCCAGTGACGGCGGTGGAGGTGCCGATGAGACCGACACGACGAAGCTGCGGCCGGCAGCTGCAACGGCAGCAGCAGCAGCAGCAACACCAGCGAGCACTGCGACACCCAAGCGCCTGCCGTCGCGCGAGCGGCTGCCTGAGCGTGACGTCCTCACGCCGTCGCCGACCGAGGACGACAAGGACCGGCGCGGCAGCACGAGCGCCAACACGTCGACCGACAGCCTGGGCAGGCCTGAAAAAGAACGACGGTGGCTGACCGCCGACAGAGAGACGCGGGACAAGGAGAACGACAGGGACAGAGACAAAGAAAAGGACAAAGAAAAAGAAAAGGACAAAGTCTCCGTCTTCGGCGATGCCCTGCGCTCCATCTTCCAGAGACCGCGCTGGGACCGCAAGAAGGAGAGCGGCGAGAGCGCGGAGAGCGCCGGCGGCGCGACCGCACGCGAGGCGGCCGGCGGCTGGCGGCCCAGTACCCTGCTGACGGGCAGCGAGAGCGACGAGCCCAGCGTCCACAACAGCAGCGCCAACAACAGCAGCACCAGTGTCGGCACGGGCGCCCCGGGCCGGACCTTCCGCCGGGTCCGGCCGCAGAACGAGAGCAGCAGCAGCAGCACAACGGCACTGGACACGCGCACCAAGAGCAACCACCGGCAGAGCCAGAGCGAGTCGAGCCTGGTCGCCCCGTCCCGGTCGCGCCCGCCGGCGCCCAAAATCACCATCTCGCGGCCGTCGCGCCACAACACGCTGGAGCGGACCAAGTACGACACCGACGGCGGCAGGGAAGACGACGACGACGGCGACGAGGAGGAGGACGACGACGACGGAAGCAGCGACAGCGAGATTGAAACCACCCGGCCTGCCGTCCTTGCTCGCGTTCCGTTGTCGCCGCCGGCGCGTCCACGACAACCGCCACCAGAACGTGCCAGCCCGCGCGCACCCGACACGAAGACGGCCAAGGATCCCTCAGAGCGGAAGCCGGTGGGCGGCAGTGGCAGCAGGGCGAGCGCTGCGAGCACGACAAAACCCCCCGGCAAGAAACGACCGAGCACAGACGAGGTACTGCGGATGCGGGCGGCGGCGGCACGGGCGCGCATGGCAGAGATGATGCGCGAGTTGGATGGCACGGAGGAGGAGAAGGAGGGAGAGAGTGACGAGAGTGGCGGGAGGGGCAAGGAAAAGGAGGATGCCACAGCAAAGGACGATACGATCGAGGCGACAAAGGCGACAGAGTCGATGAAGACGACAGAGTCGACAAAGACAGCAGAGACGACACCAGCACAACCACTGACACCACCACCGCCGCCACCCGTGAGAGAAGCACCAAAGGGACCCCGAGCACCGTCGACGGCAACTCCACAATCACCGAGAGAGACGGAGAAAGAGCCATCAGAAGCCGGAGGCGCTGATCAGACGCAAGCGACGGACGAGTCAGAGGAGGAAGAAGCAACGATTCTGGACACGACAAAAGAGAAGCCAGTCGAGGTGCCGAAGAAGACGGTCAAATACACAGCAGACACCAAACTAGCAAGTCCGCCGACAAAGGCAGTGGCTCCGAGGCCAGCTCCTAAGCCAGCTCCCAAGCCCGCGGCCAACCCTGCGCCCAAACCTGCGCCACGAACAACGCCGACACCAGCCCCCGCTGCTATCCCCGCTGCTGTCTCCGCTGCTGTCCCCGCTGCTGTCCCGGTTTCTAGCCGTGTTGCTTTTGTCCCCCGTCCTCGCCATGCCCTTCGTCCTCTTCGTCCTCGTCCACCGCATGCCGCCTCCACCGAACAGCAACGACACCACCTCCGCCGCCCCAAGTCCTTCTGCTTCGGCGTCCAGTCGCTGTCGCGCTTCGACCAGTTCCTGCTGCAGGCCGCCGACCACCCGCACTTTGCCACGAGGCCGTGGCTGCCGGCGTTCCAGGCCCATGGCCGCGGGGGGGGGTATGGCCGTGGTTGGGGCGGTGGCTTCCACGGCCACCTCCACGGCCATTTTCAGAGTTCCCTTTACTCACCCACCCACAGCTCACGGTACCTGTATGCACAGACGACCATTGTGGCGACGGTGTCGCGGGAGAGACGGATGTCGTTTTGAAGGGAGGGGAGGGACTGCCTATGGATTAGTGACTATGCATAGAGCGAGCGAGTTGCACCTTGTATTTAGTATTAGTTTGTCTTATGCCCGACGATTTTCTGTATCTTATGTACTCGTTATTTGCATTCGCCATGTCTATGTCATGTCATGCTATCGTACGTCGTGCCGCGTCTTGTATCGACATCTCCAGCGCCGTCGCCAACTCCATCGCCTCCGCCTCGGCTCGCCGCCGCTCGTCTCTCAGTTTCCGTCTCTCCTCAAGCTCCTTGCCCGCCTTGGGCCAGGCCTTGGGCACCGAGAAAGTGTCTGTTGGGATGCATTTAATATGAAAGTCATTTTGTCATTTGGCTCACTTGTCTGTCAGTTTGTTGGCGTCTCGCCTGGACGTACCCTTTGGCTTGATGCCCGTCTCGTGCAGCCAGTGCACAAACGTGCGCTCCGTGACCACCTGGCCCTGCTGCACGAGGACGCCTTGCGCGTAGATGACGGCGTTGGGGACGTAGTCCTTGCCGTTGTTGCTGGCGTCGACGTTGCGCATGGACAGGGCCGGCGTAATGTCAAAGACGAAGCTGTACGGCTCGTCGGCGTTTTTGTTGCTGCTGCTGTCGCCGTCGCCATCGCCGTCGCCGTCGTCGGCATCGTCCTTGTCGCCGCGAAACCGGATCCGCTGCGCGTCCAGCCCCAGCGCCTCGCACACCGACAGGCTCGGGCTGTCGTTGGCGTGCTCGAGCCAGCGCACGCTGTACTCGGGGACGGCCAGCTGCAGCGCGACGGCCAGCTCGACGGCGGGGCGCACCACGTCGGCGGCCACCTGCCGTTCCAGGGAGGCATACGTGGCGGCACGCCTGTCGACGGCGTGGCGGGCGGCGGCGTCTGTCGTTGGCGGTGTCGTCGACGATGATGTTGGTGTTGCTGTGGTCGCCGCCACCGCCTCCGCCACTTGCCGGGCCATCTCCAGGGGCAGCAGCGCCCGCGACAGATCGGCCGACAAGTGCACGACGCGGGTGTCAATGTACCGGGCCAGTGCGGCCACGCGGGCCGACGCAGCAGTGGTGGAGGACGGCAGCGTCGCGGGAACGACGCCCAGGATGCGGTCGATCAGCTGCACACGAAAACGGCGCGCTTCGGGGTGGCGCGACGGCCAGAGTGCTGCGGACACTGGCACCGGCACCGGACCACCTATCACCGGCACCGACGCAGACTTCGGCTCCGCCTCGATGTCGTGCAGCAACGCCCCCAGCTGCCGGGCCAGGCCGTCTACCCGCTCCAGGCGCGCCTCGATCTTGCTGAGCGGCCGCGGACCCGACAGGGAGCGTTTGCCTTCCCCGCGGGCCGTCTTGGGCTCGGGCACGCTGTTCGGCTCTGGCGGCGACGTCGGCGTCGTCGGCGAAAGCCCGAGGTCATAGTCGCCGAGAAGCAGCGGCGGCACAGGCCCGCCGCTGAGCTTGAAGATGCCGCCGTACGGCTCGTCAAAGACGCGCCGCCGCAAAAACTCGATGAGGATGGCGTAAAAGTGCACGCTGTCGGCGCCCTTGAGCCGCAGGAACATGCGCGCGCGGGGGGTCATGAACCGCAGCAGCACGCGCGGGCGGGCCACGGTGTAGTACGTGCTGGGAGCGGGGGGCGGCGACGCAGGGGCGTCCGCGGCTGCAGCTGCAGCGCGGTTCGCCGGCGTCAATGTGTCGGCGTCCGTGGCTGCGTGGACGGCGGCAATGGCGGCTTCGAGGTCGCGCGTCGGCACGGCAAAGACAGGCGCCAGACGCGCCGCGACAAAGGACTGGATGGACGCGATGAGCGCCGCGTAGGCGGCCTTGGCCTGGGCCTTGGTGAGGCCGGGGTCGACCGCAGGGGACGGCCCCGCCAGAATGGGGATGGGAATGGGTGGCGGGGCCCTGCCTGGCTCCGCCTTTCGCTGACCATTATCCGGCCCGGCGTGGCCGTGGCCGTGGCCGTGGTCACTGCCGCCGCTGTGGTCACTGCTGCCGCCGCTGCTCTTTCGCAGCTCCTCGCGCAGCGCCCGCACCAGCGCATCCCGCTCGTACACCTCGTCCTGCCGCTGGTCGATAATGTCCTCGGCCTCGCGCCGCAGCCGCCGCTCGTCGTCCAGCTGCTGCTGCAGCGCCGCCCTGTCGCGGTAGAGCTGCGCCAGCAGATCACTGCTGGCCGCGTCGTCGCCGCTCGTCGATGTGGTCGTGGTCGTACCCAGGTCCGTCGGCGGCGGGCTGCCTGGCCGGTCGGTCATGTCGGTGGCGTGAACGGGAAAGGCGAAGCGTTGTGCTGTCACGATACGTGCACAGTCTCTGCGAAGACAAGCAAACTCGTCGTCGTTGTTGTCGGCGTCACGTTAGCTTTTGCCGTCATTTTTATCGTCGTCGTCTGTGTCTCCGCATTCGCGCCGCCTCGCCAAATACGAAAGTACAGGCGACGTATGGCCTACCGCCTGCCTGCATGTCGAGCTCCTTGCCTCTTTTGTCGCCTGCGCAGACGAAAACGCCCTCCTATCAGCCTCCTGGCTCGCAGGCAGAGGCTGAGTCCAAGGCTGCTTGATTCGCTCGTTGTGGGTGCGTGGCCAAGGCTGTCTCTCTGGTTTCATTGGCTGTTGCTGTGCGGCCTGCCCGTGTCCACTAAATGACAAAAGTTACAGGCGCCTGGGAAGCGCCTAGGCAGCTCGCCAGCTCCACTGCTTCAATAGTTTCCCATTTTCTTCACTCATCTCCAGATACGACGGCGGCCTCATTCGCATCCGCCGTTACTTCGTACGACTGTGTCGGACGATTATAGCATGCTGAGCTGCGACGCCGCGCCCATGCCTGCCACGTTCCCCGACAGCATCGCATGCGCCACGGTCTTCATCCCCGCCGCGCAGTTGTCGCCCGCCGCAAAGACGCCGCGCACCGACGTCTCGTAGTGCGGCAAGGCCACCTGGATGTCGCCGTCGACGGTGCTGGGCGGGACCGTCGCGAGGCCCAGCTGCTGCGCAAACGGCCCGCGGGGCCGCGTCGCTGGTGCGTGGGCCAGGAACGCTTCGTCGGCCGGCGGCGAGCCGTCGGCAAACTCGAGACGGACGCCGCCGCCGTGCGCCTGGTCCTGATCGCCGCGGAAGACGAAGCGGCGGATCGGGCGCGTGTCGATGCGCAGGCCAGCGGCTGCCCTGGCAGCGGCGTCCATGTCGGCCGCGAGAGCGTCCTGGCCGTTGGTGTAGATCGTCACCACGGCTGCCAGCTGCCGCGCCTGCCGCGCCATGTGCAGCGCCACCGCAGCCCGTCCGAAGGCGCCCACCGCCAGCACGCCCGCCGAGGCCCCGGTGCGCTGCGGGTAGTCGTTGCACAGCAGGCAGTGGACAATCACGCGGCCAAAGCACGCCGCGTAGCCGTCGATGGGGAGCGGCACGTCTTCGACGCCGCTGGCCAGGATGAGCTTGCGGCCATGGTAGGCGGCGCCGGACGCGTCGACCACAGTGAACCGTTCCGGACCGTCTGTCCGCCGCACGCTGACGACCGTCACCTCCCGGAATGACACGTACTGCCCGTAGTCCTGCAGCACGTGGTCCCGTGCCGCCTCACCGAAATTGCTGGGCCGGCTGTGGTCCGGCACCTGGTGGCGTGCCCGCCCGTTGCGGTAGACGCCGTCGCCAAAGAGAAGAACCGTGTGCTGCTGCCGGGCGAGGGCGAGGGCGGCGGCAAGGCCTGCCGGCCCGGCGCCCACTACCAACACGCTGGCCGACGTGGGGCCGGCAGGGGTTGCTGTCAACAATAGAGACATTGACGGTAGGATAGCTACTGGCAGTTTTGAATTGTGGTGAGAGTTCGACGGAGTCGTAGATCATGACATGGACGCACAGCCAGATGAGAGAGAAGACTGGGATGACGACGGGAGACGCCGGCCAGCCAGAACGCAGGACATGCCGTGGCCATGGCGGGCCAAACTGGCAGTCATCTTGACTTTATGAAGACGCGAGAGCACATTGCAGAATGCGACGAGCATAACTCGTAGCGGCCGTAGTTGTAAGGCTGAGAACAAGAGTCAGGATCGTGGACAACTGGGACAGGAACTGGCAGATAAGAAGTGGAAACAAAACTCATGGAAACTCAAATGCTTCCAAACCGTGGCTGAGCGTGCTCTGAATACACAGAATGACGTCCAGAGCCACGGACAGACGACGTCAACTTGTGGAACGGGACGTCGACTCGAGTGATTCCACATAAAGTCAATACACGGAGGTGTGTTGTATGCCCTATCATTCGCCATACTGTGTATCTTACTGCTTACAAGGCTCTGGCGGATCGTCTTAGTGCCCGTTGCGGCTGCAGAGACGACAAATCTTTGGCATGGAATCTTTTTCCGTTTGCCACTGACGGTACAATTCGTACAGCCCTCCGAAGGATCTTCTGTCTTTTTTTTTGACCGTTTCTCTTTTCATTTTCTTCTTTGTCCTGCGTCCCAATTGTGCTCGCCACTCGAGAGCCCCATTTTCCGTGATTACAGGCCCGCACTGTCGGTACTCACGCGTGACTTTGCCCTGAATGCTCCATCGCCTGTCTCCTCAGGACCCGCAAGTCCCTCGGTTCCTCCACGCACTCCTCTTAGCGACTGTTAGTGCCACTCAACCCCTGTAAATAGTGTACAAGTACCACGTCGTACTTGACACGACACTGCTCTGCAATCTCCATTAATTCTCTGATCTGTTTAACATTCTATCGATCTTTCATATTATTTTCCTCCATCGTCTCAAACGACTCGCCATCCTTTCCGCCCGACAACCATCTGCCCTCATCGTCGCATCTCGGCGCGCTCGTTTGCCGCACTGTACGACTAGACGCTCTTTGCAACAACAGCCCCGGTACGCCGATTGTGCCTTATTTCGTCGTGTCCATTCTGTCTTGACGACAGCCTCATTTCTTTGAGCCGACGACCACAACTCGTTTCATCGTCCTCGCACCACGTCCGCCCGCCCATGGCGCCAGCGACAGTCTTTTGCTCGACTCCATTTCCTTTCGTCCCGCTCCTGCACGCGACACTTCCTCCATAGGGAGCTCTTGTGTTTTTTTCTGTCGTCCTTTCTTTGTCCTCGGGTGCCTCCTTTTCTTGTGTCCTCGCGTGACTCGCCCACCCGCCTCCAACATGGCCCGTTCCTCCGACCGCCGCTCCGGCACACCGTTGCTGCATGGCCACAGCCCTGCCAGCTCCGATGTTGACCACGACCGCGCCGGCCACCGAACGCCACGACGTCTCTCGGGCGACAGTGACCACGATCACGACCATGACCACGACGACGACGATGCGGCGCCGTCCTCACAGCTGCTACACTCGTCGTTGTCGACCGCCCGACCCACCGCCTCCCGCCAGAGCTCCTTTCTCCGCTCGCGCAGCCCCTCCGAGATGTCGCACCAGGCCGCCCGCTTGGCCGCCCGCAAAAAATACGCCTACGCGTCGGTGTTTTTGGTGCTCTCGCTGGTGTCCTTTACAATCCAGACGGAGCTGGCCGCCTGGGTCCAGCACGCCGGCTGGGACAAGGCGTACTGCATGCTGTACCTGACGCACGGGTCGTGGTCCCTGCTGTGGCCGGTGCAGCTGCTGATCCTGCGGCTGCAGAAGCGCCGCGAGCCCTGGGCGACGTTTTGGCGGCGGCACGTCTGGCTGGTGCGCACGACGGCCGTCATGGTGGAGACGCGCGACCTGTCGGCCGCGACGGCGACGGCGGCCGACCGTGGCCGGCACGGTAACGCCCACGGCCCGGCCGCGTCGTCGCCGCCCTGGGCCGGCCTCGTCTACATGGCCAAGGCCACCGCCTTCATCACCGTCGCGCTGACCGTGGCCGGCCTCAGCTGGTACGTGGCCGTCAACATGACGAGCCCGAGCGACCTGACGGCCATCTACAACTGCAGCGCCTTTTTCGCCTACGCCTTTTCCGTGCCCCTGCTCCGCGAGCGGCTGCGGCTGGACAAGAGCCTGGCGGTGCTCGTGGCCGTCGCGGGGGTGCTCGTGGTCGCCTACGGCGATGCCAAGCCGGCCGGTGGGAAGGGCGAAAACGGCGAAAATGGCGACAATGGCGACAACGGCAACAACGGCAACGGAGAGACCCGCGACGCCGAGAACCGCCTGCTCGGCAACCTCATCATCGGCGCCGGCAGCGTCCTCTACGGCCTGTACGAGGTCCTGTACAAGCGCTACGCCTGCCCGCCCGACGGCTGCTCGCCGGGCCGCGGCATGATCTTTGCCAACACCGTCGGCAGCTGCATCGGCGTCTTCACCCTCACCGTGCTCTGGCTGCCCCTGCCCATCCTGCACCTGCTGGGCATCGAGACGTTTGCCCTGCCCACCGGCAAGGTCGCCTGGTACCTGTTTCTGTCCGTCGTCATGAACGCCACGTTCGCCGGCTCGTTTCTCGTCCTCATCAGCCTCACCAGCCCCGTGCTGAGCAGCGTCGCCTCGCTCCTCACCATCTTCATCGTCGCCGTCTCCGACTGGTGGCTGACGGGCCAGCCGCCCAGCGCCGCCGCCCTGCTCGGCGGCAGCATGATTGTCGTGGCCTTTGCGCTGCTGAGCTGGAGCACCTACAAGGAGATGGCCGAGGAGGAGCACGAGAAGGAGGTCGACATGCCCAGCAGCGACAGCGACGAGGAGTAGCGGTTGCTGGTGTGTTTGTGTTTGTTTCTTTTTTCGTTTTTTGGGCTACTTCTTTTTGTTTGGGTACTTCTTTTGTTCGCATAGAGGCGTCGGCGTTCGCATGCATTGCTGGGTTCAATGCCATTCATAGAATGATACCATTTTACGTGTGTTGTATTTTGTATTCATCGTATGTTGCGTTTGCGTCTCGTCCATCGTCTGTGTATCCTCATCTTGCATCGGCCATAAAGAGTCGTACGGACTCGGTGCAATTGTGACGCACGCCGAGGAAACGGTCCCTTGGAATTGCGCTCCAATCGTTTCCACGCGGTTTTCGTTTCGCTCAAGACTGCCAACCAACACGCCTGCTGTCAATTGGGCATCCAACCGTCGCGCCGTCCAACCATCTTCCTGCAACCTGTCCACCCCCATTCGAACCCATCATAACGCATTGGCGCCTCCATAGCGTCACATTCATGACCCTGTCGCTTGTCCCGATCGTCATCCACACGGAATATTCCCACCTCCTCTTATCCCTCTCATCGCTTTTCTCGCTCTTGTCATTTTCTCTTTTGTCCCCTCCTTTCTCCTCCATTCTCCTCGCCCATAGCCCGCCCACTACCCACCACCCACTGCCAATGCCTCTAGCCCTGTATTGTGGTCGTTCGTCGCTGGGTCCACGCCCACTTATCGCTGGATACTGTCGTCCCTCCGTCTTCAGTCATTTCTTACCAATTGTGGAGCCGATCTTGCTTGTAGTCTGCTACTTTGGTGAGAATGCAAAACCCACTTCCCCGCAGCGCTCCAGCCGTGTAAGTGGCGCCTGTCAGGGTAGGAGCTGCACTGCCGGACGGCAGACGGGAGGCATAATGTGACGGGGCAAAGAAAATGCACGGAATGCATGAAGAGTGAAGGGGGGGCGAGGTCTTTCGAAGGAACAAAGGCAAATGCGACGTGGGCGAGCTCAATGCATGACGAGGGGCACAGCGCTCGGGCTCAACTTCAAGCCCACTCTGAAGCTCAAGCTCCAGCTCCAGGGCCCGTCCTTTTAATAGACGGCCGTCCTCGCGATGTTGCCGATCGTCGCTTCGATGGTTCCTAGCCGCATTTCTTCGTTCTGCCCAGTCCGCGAGAGCTTGAGGTCGTTCCCGTTTCTGTGAATTTCTCTGAATTCATGTAAACTCTGTCAAAACTATCAAGCTCGAACTCTTTCCTCTCCGCTCGACTCAACCTTACATAGGTTCTTCTTATAATTACATTCACCACATCTTTCAACCGCATCCCCTTCTAACCCACCCTCCCCCCTCCCCCATCATGTCCAACCACCAGCGTCCTCCCTTCCGGGCCGAGCACATGGGCTCGCTGCTGCGGCCCAAGGCCCTCAGCGACAAGCGCGTCCAGCTCGACGGCGAAAAGGCCGTCGTCATCGCCGCCGACAAGGAGCTGCGCAAGCTCGAGGACGACGCCATCGACAACATCATCAAGGTCCAGCTCGACCTCGGCTACCGCCCCGTGACGGACGGCGAGTACCGCCGCCACCAGTTCTGGGGCACCTTCTTCCCCGCCCTCGAGGGCATGGAGGAGCTCGCCGACCCGCCCCTCGACATGTTCCGCCTCTACGTGCCCGACCTGGCCGCCTTCACCGAGGCCGGCCACAAGCCGGGCGAGTCCATTGTCTGCGTGGGCAAGATCAAGCACACCGGCAGCACGTACCTCGACCAGTGGAACTACCTCAAGGACCACCTGGCCGCCGACCGCGTCGCCGGCGCCAAGCTGACGCTGCCCGCGCCCGAGTGGTACCACCTGCGCTACAAGCCGGGCTATGCCTACCCCAAGGATGTCTATGCCGACGACGCCGCCTACTTTGCCGACATTGCCGTCGCCTACCAGACGGAGCTGCAGATCCTCTACGACGCGGGCTGCCGCAACGTCACCATCGACGACCCCAACCTGGCCTACTTCTGCTCCGAGAAGATGCTGCAGGGGTTCCGGGACCACGGCGAGGACGCCGACGCGCTACTGGCCAGCTACGTCCAGCTGTACAACGACTGCCTCGCCAAGCGGCCCGCCGACCTGCACGTCGGCCTGCACCTGTGCCGCGGCAACTTTGCCTACTCGCGCCACTTTAGCGAGGGCGCCTACGACCGCATCGCCAAGACGCTGTTCCGCGAGATCAACGTCGACACGTACTTTCTCGAGTACGACACGGAGCGCGCCGGCGGCTTCGAGCCGCTGGCCGAGCTGCCCGCCCACAAGAACGTCATTGTCGGCGTCATCACGAGCAAGTTCCCCGCGCTCGAGGACCTCGCGGCCATGCGCGCGCGCGTCTACGAGGCCGCCGACTACGTGGCCCGGGGCACGCCGGGCCAGACGCGCGAGCAGGCCCTGCAGCGCATCGGCGTCAGCCCGCAGTGCGGCTTCGCCAGCCACCACCTGGGCAACAGCGTGACGCACCAGGACATGGTGAACAAGCTGAAGCTGGTGCGCGACCTGGCCGACTCCATCTGGCCGGGCGAGCCATAGACGATGCGTAAAACGACGATGCGTAGCTGGCAGATAAAAAGGAAACGAAAAAACGCATACGAAGGGCATGAAATATGAATATAAATGACTGATTTTGGCTGGGTGGACACGTTCAACACTTGTCGGAGTTGCGAGGAGAGGACTGGAATTGACGAGGCGCTGTGGCAGTTTGTTTAGTTTACGCACGGGTCAGGAGGAGTCAATAGTCAATAGCTCTCGGTAGTATCGTGGGTGAATACAGTGCATTCAGTACTGGCTTGAGCAAAATAGTGGGGTTTGACTCCAGGGCGAATTGGCCAATGGTCGTCGCGCTATACCGGCTTCCTAACGGTCACGTGTTCGGCCTCAATTTGCGGCGTTTTCATCTTTGGTGATGCTTTTGGCCACAACTCACAAACGTTCGCATCCGACGACGTTGTCACCACCCACCTCCACCCGTCCCCTCCAAACCCACCACAAAGATGACGGGCCACGCCGAAGAAACCCTACCAAGTGCGTACACGAGCAGCGCGGGGCGAGTCTTGAGCGACCGAGGCATCGAAGGAACGAGCAGCTTCGACCTCGAGCGACTCCGAGGAACCTCTGGCTTTGCTGCCAACGTCGACCCAGACCCGGTCCCCCATTCTATAACAATTGCTAACCCGTCCCTCTTGTGCAGAAGCCACGCGCGAGCAGATGAGCGAGGCCAAGCTGCCGCTGGCTTACCGCGACAGCTGCGCCAACCTGCTGATCCCGCTGAACCGGTGCCGGTTCGAGACGTACTACCTGCCGTGGAAGTGCGAGGTCCGTCACCCACAGGAATGACACTTGCTGTACAATGGAACGCCACAAAATGACTGACAGCACTTACTCTTTGTTAGACCGAGAGACACAGCTACGAAAAGTGCCAGTACGAGGAGTTCAAGAAGCGGGTGGCCAAGATGAACGAGTTACGAGAGGCCCGCGACGGTGCACGGAGCAATTAGGAGCATTAGGAGCATTCGGAGCACTTGGGACGAACGAGGATGACAAGGATGAAAAGCATAGGAATAGTACGTCGACTACGTACACAATGGAGCATTGAACACCAGATGCGCATCTTGCCATGGCACCTCAGAGGGCACAAGAGAGAGATCATGAAACGTTGATTTTAAGAGACCGCCATACGCCGTTGTTACAAAAGAGTCAGATCAGGTACACTCCACATTCCTTGCCCCAGATTCCAGCATGCTGCCGACGCACACCGCTCCCTACATGCCGTCGACGGCGGTCGACGTCGACGTCCTTACGACGACTTGGCCAGCGACTCGCCCAGCTCGGCCTTTTGCAGGCCGTACTTCTTGAGGCGGATGGCGTTGATGTTGATGAAGCCGCTGGTGTCGACGGGGCTGAAGTCGACGAGCGAGTCCATGCTGGACTCCTCGGACGAGTAGAGCTTGGAGTCGGGGCTGCTGCGGCCGAGCACGTAGGCGTTGCCCTTGTAGAGGCGCAGGCGGACCTCGCCGTTGACGAGGCGCTGCGAGAAGAGCAGCGAATTCTCGACAAACTCGCGCTCGGGCGAAAAGTACATGCCGTTGTAGAGCAGCTCGGACCAGTGGTGGGTGACAAACTGGTCGCGCAGCGAGCGCACCTTTCCGTCGAGCACGAGGCCCTCGAGGTCGAGGTGGGCGAGGCGCAGGAGCGTCATGCCGGGCGCGTCGTAGCAGCCGCGGCTCTTGAGGCCGATGAAGCGGTTCTCGACAATGTCGATGCGGCCGATGCCGTGCGTCTTGCCCAGCGCGTTGGCCTGCAGAAACAGCTCGACGCTGTCCGTGTACGTCTTGCCGTCGGCGACGAGCTTGACGGGCAGGCCCTTTTCAAACACAATCTGGATGTCCTGCGGCGTGTTGGGCGCTTTTTCGGGGTCGTCGGTGCGCGTCCACATGTCGACGGGGGGCGGCTGCGAGGGGTCCTCGAGCGAGCCGCTCTCGTAGGAGCAGTGGGCCAGGTTGTCGTCCATGCTGTAGGGCTTGGCCTTGGTCGACGTGACGGGGATGCCCGTGGACGCGGCGTAGTCGAGCAGGTCCAGGCGGCCCTGGAAGCGGTTGAAGAACTCGGGCATGCGCCAGGGGGCGATGATCTTGATGGTGGGGTCGATGGTCAGAAAGGCCAGCTCGAAGCGCACCTGGTCGTTGCCCTTGCCGGTGCAGCCGTGCGAGACGTACTGGCAGCCCTCCTGCTGGGCGACCTGCATCTGGGCGCGGGCGATGACGGGGCGGGCCAGCGAGGTGCCCAGCAGGTAGCGGCCCTCGTACTGGGCGTTGCACTGGACGGCGCGGAAGCACAGCTCCTCGACAAACTCGCGGCGCAGGTCGCTGATGATCATCTTGGAGGCGCCGAGCAGCGCGGACTTGGCCTTGACGGCCTCCCAGTCCTCCTCCTGGCCGACGTTGGCGAGGAAGCAGACGACCTCGTAGCCCTCCTCGAGCAGCCACTTGAGGATGCAGCTGGTGTCAAGACCGCCTGGAGGGGGAGGGGGATAACGTTAGAGGTGAACGTCTGGTGCGATGGACGAGTAAGGGCAATGACGATATCGTGACTTACCAGAGTAGGCGAGGCAGACCTTTCCTTTGCTCATGGTGAATGTGTGTTGTGTGGATTTTGGAATATGGAGGGAGGGGTATGTCGGCGTGAAAGTGCGATTGAGTCAAGAACATTCAATTGTTCGTGATAATCGTAAAATTAGGTGATGATACAGAAGCAAAGAAGGGGAAACACCAAGCTACAAAATGTTGGGGAGGGAGGCTATTTAATCGCCCCTCTATTGACCTGGAGCTACGAGAATGACTCTTCCCTTGGCTTTTTCCTTATCAGAGAATTTTACTTTTTTTGACTGCTCCCCTCACCGTTCCGTCAATTGACTTTTTCTTTTTCGTTTTTCCCTTTCCGTTCTTCGGCGGTGTCTCCTGGCGCGCCAAAAAGGCGGGCTGGATTTTATGGGTCGCGTGTCTGAAAAAATAAAACTCTTTCGGGTGTAACGGCGCTGCTCATTTGCCAATTCCAGGCGACTTACAGGACAAATGGGCTTGCAATGAGCTTGCAATTGGCGGGCATTGCGGTCGCGGGGGGTCACGTGTAGGCGAGTCATACCGTTCAGTGCACCCGCAGGAGGGTCCACAGGTGTTGATCGGAGAAGCTCCAGCGATAAGCCGAAGCTAAGCTGGATTATCGTAAAATGTTAATTGTGCGTCACAGGGCGTGAGGAAGAAGCAACGCAACAGAGAGAAACGACGGTAGACAGAAGCTCAAGCTGTGCGAGCTTGGAGATCCGGAGTAGTGTGAAAGCAGCCGTAAGTTTCGGTTTGTTTACATAAATAACGAGGTAGTAATTTTGCTTCTTGAAAGGTGGTGGGACTATTTCTGCAATTTACAATTTACAATTCATTCAAGACAAATACTCTGCAAAATAACGAAATAAGTAGGAAATATAAAACAAGAAATATCTTTTTTTTGTATTAAATTAAGTGTAGAATTGAAACGAGTTTTTTCTACTTTCTTTCTTTCTTTCTTCAATTTCATTCTGTCCACTTCTGTGCTTTGTCCCTCTCACACTTGCCAACACATCTCATCACGGCCGAATGGGCGAATAAACATATTTTATTTGTTGTTTTAAGGATTTTGTCTTTTGTCTTGGCAAGACAAGCAACATGTGAACTACGACATATGGTTGCTCTACTTGAGTACATGAGCTGCAGCTGTTTTGTGTCACGGCTACCACCGCATGATGTCCGACAGACATTCTTTCGTCTGCGAGTGCCCTCTGCCTGTTGTTTTATTGGTTGCGTGACTCACCGCAAGATGCAACTCAAACACTGCTCAACCGCGCCCAACCGTATCCGATCGTGGGGATTTTGGGGTCGTGCATGTGGTGCAGAGAGCACAGTTGGGGATATGCAAGGCGACCAGCGACTATGCTGTGACTGGTTCTGGAAGACGAAGATGAAAGGTGGAAGCTCTGCGTTGCATTTGTGTGTCCGTGTCCACGCCGTGGGACTCGTGCGTACCATACGGCCAGAAGAGGTGGACTTAGGCTGTGACTAAGAATAAGACTGAGAATACGAATCTAGCATTGAGAGCACCCAAGCCGCAGCTTTACTGTTCTCTTCGCGCATGGACATCCCTAGTAAACGCCAAGACCGTTGGAAATGGAGTTTCGGCAAAGATTGCAATCGATGCAGGGATGGACGGCGCTTGCGACTGGCCTTGGTGGCTTTGGCGCAGAGTGCACCAGTGTACGTCGTAAGATTCGCGAATCTCCGTCGCTAGCATCGACCAAAACCTGCTGACTTGGATTGAGATCTTCAAGGGGTGCGAGCGCGAACGCGCCCCTTTGGAACCTGTTGCACGCTGGACCCTTTGGCGATGGCGACGGATAGAAAGGTGTAGAGTAAAGTAAAGTAGAGTACATGAATTTATTTATTGAATGCAGGTACGCACAACGGTGACACAACCGGACAACACGAGGCGACACAGCCAGACGCAAATAGATTCTGGAGACACAGACACAGACAACACGGACGACAATCCAAACAATAGACACTCAATTACGGATAAAGGAGCACCAAGGGAGGCACAACCTCGACAGCACAACTCGACAGAGCCAGGAACAAACCGCGCTTCTTTAACTTAAAGCAGCGTTGCTGTCGTTTTGTGACGCAACGGCATTTCATCTCATTTCCATCATTCACTACTACGACCATCGCCGGCACAACTACCATCACCTTCACCATGCTCTGTCGCTTAGTTACACTCGGCCTCGCCACACTTCTGGCCCTCCTCGGCCCGTCGCCCGTCGCGGCCGCACCCAAACACTACGTCTTTTTGGATGCGCCAGCCGACAACACCTACGCCTGGACCGTCACCAGCTGGGTGGCCCGCTATTCCGAGGATGATGCGCTCTGCTCCTATAGTAGGTCTCCCCCACGCAACCATACGACGTATGGTCACAGAGCCACTGCTGACGCCGAAATTCCCCCAGACTTTAACATCTCCGGCCCCTTCTCCGGCGGCCAGATGCCCATCCCCGCCTTCGTCGCGTACTGCGCCGGCACCGGCGTGGGCGCGCCGTACGCGCTGTGCCACATTACCGACCTGCGCAACACGACGAAGCGGCGGCAGGTGGCCGCCAAGCTGCTCCCGGGCAACGAAACGACGGCGACCGAGGCCCGCCTGGCGGTGTCGTACCGGTTCGACGACCTGAACGTGGCGGACGCGTGGTGGAACTACACGTCGTACGCGACGCAGCCGTACAGCAACACAGTGGCGGGCGGCGGCGGGGCGGCCGTGTTGACCAACGGGACGACCTTTACCATGACGCCGTCGGAGGTGTTTGGTGTCGCGTAGGGCGACGGAACGTTGGAAAGGTGTTGGCGGAGTGCCTGGTCGTGGCAGATCCATGCCATTTTGTATACTATTCTGCGGAGTACGGCACGTGTCGAGCACACGTGTATTTGTATGCTGTATTTGTACAGAGGCTTCCATTTCTGGCGTCCATTTGTGCTCATATGCTCGATTGCTCATTTGCTCATTTGCTCATTGCCATTTTGCTCATTTTTTGTTCTCATTTAAGATTGGTAGGGCTGGTGGCGCGATGCTACTGCTGACGGCCGACAGGGGTGAGAAAGTGCCGTTTGTTCGTGTCCTGCTGTCCTCGAATCAGGCTGCGCGCTGCCAATAAGGATTCAGGAGCCATTGCACGTCAGCCTCCTGTCATCCGGGGGAAGTGACAGCCCGGAAAAACGAGAATAGATTAGAAATAAGAAACGACAGGAACCAGGTGAAAACGGAAAACGTTCGAGGCTGTAGAGTAGACAATTCAAATACTGCTTGATTCCGTCCGGATTGTTGTATCGTTATTGTCCACTCCATCTTCACCCAATTGTACTCTACTCGTCTCCACCATGTCCCAGCGCATCGCCATCATCGGCGCAGGTAGGTCCTCTCCCCGTCCTCCGTGACCACCCCTAGCAGCAGCCTCACGCTGACCACCGCCCCACAAACAGGCATCTGCGGCCTCGTCTCGCTCAAAGAGGTGCTTGCCGCGGGTCTCGAGGCCGTCTGTTTCGACGCCCGCGAGGGCCTCGGCGGCGCCTGGGCGTACCAGCCGGTCCCCGGCGAAGACCCGGCCGCGTCATCGTCGATCTACCTCGGGACGATGCTCAACTCGTGCCGCGACACGTCGGCCTTTTCCGACTTCCCCTTTGACCCGGCGCGCTACCCGGACTACTTTGGCCACCGGCAGTTTGTGCAGTACTTGCGGGAGTACGCCGCGCACTTTGGCCTGGACAAGCACGTGCGGCTGCAGACCAAGGTGACCCAGTGCGCGCCGCAGGACGACGGCTCGTGGACGGTGACGGCGACCCAGCGCGACGGGACGCAGACCACCGAGCCGTACGCGGCCGTCATTGTCGCCGCCGGCCATCTGAGCGCGCCGCGCACGCCCGCGATCCCGGGCCGCGACCTGTTTGCCGGCGAGGCGCTGCACAGCCACGCGTACCGCGCGCCCAGCCGCTTCGAGGGCAAGCGCGTCGCGGTCGTCGGCTTCGGCAGCTCGGCGGTGGACATTGCCTGCGAGATTGCGCCGCACGCGGCGTCGCTGCACCTGGTGACGCGGCGCGGCGGCTGGGTGCTGCCGCGGTACGTGCTGGGCAAGCCCACGGAGGCCTTTGACAACCGCGCGACGCAGCTGTGGCTGCCCGTGGGCCTGAGCCAGTGGCTGCAGACGAAGCTGCTCGCGTTTGTCGACGGCACGGCGCCCGCGGCCATGGCGCCCGCGCACAAGATCCTCGAGCAGAACCCGACGATCCGCGGCGACTTTCTCGAAAAGGTCCGGACGGGGCTGGTCCAGATTGCGCGCGGCGACGTCGTGCGCATGACTGCGGCCGGTCTCGTCGTCCAGTCGACGCTGCCCAAGGACAACAAGGCCAAGACGGACGCCGCCGACGAGTACGCCCTCGACGTCGACGTCGTCATCTTTGCCACCGGCTACACCCTGTTTGACCTGCCCTACCTGCCGCCCAACACGGCCCACCCCGCCGGCGACCCGGACCAGGTCGACTTGTACAAGCTCATCCTCCCGCTGCACCAGCGCAACCTCTTTTTCCACGGCTACACCGACCTCCTGGGCCCCCTGCCGCCCGCCGCCGAGGCCCAGGCCCGCTACACGGCCGCCCTGCTCGCGGGCCGCCTCCCGCCGCCCTCGACCGACGAAAAGGCCCGCGGCATCCAGGCCTTCCGCGCCTACAACCGCCGCCACTTTGTCCACTCCGACCGCCACGTCGCCACCGCCCACCTGATCCCCTACGTCGACGACCTGCTGGCCCCGCTCGGCGCCGCCCCGACCTTCTCCAAGCTGCTGGCCCAGGTGTTTACCAGCGGCCATCCGCTGCGCGCGCTGTCGGTCCTCAGCGCCGTGTGGTTCAGCATCCCCAGCAGCGCCGCCTGGCGCCTGGTCGGCCACGGCGCCAAGCCGGACCTGGCGGCGGCCACGGTGCTGCGGACGGCCGGCGAGAAGCCGGCGCTGAGCGAGAAGGAGGTGGTCTTGCTGGCGAAGGAGAGGGTGGAGCAGGCCTGATTGTGTTTCCTGTTTGTGTCTCCCTGTTTGTGTTTTCGCTACCCCTTACGTCTCTGGCTTTCTGTTTTGTATTCACATCTCGTCTTGATATCCTCGGCGTTGTATCTGTTTGTTTGCCTCGTCTCAGCTTGAACAAGAATTCATTCGTCATTCTACTTTGTCTAATTACGTCGATGATCTGTTGTCCCTGTCCGTTCCGTATGACTCTCCCTGCCACTCACGCAGTTGTGGTCGTCGCCGTCGCCGTCGCCGTCGGCGGTGGTGTCACAGTGGCCGTGTCTGTCGTTGTGTCCGTCGCGTCCGTCGGCCCGACATACCCATCGCCGCCGTCGGTCGGGTCTGGCGTAAAGAATGGAAACGAAAAATCGCTCGTGTCCGGCGGCGGCGGGTTCGGGTCCGTCACCGTCAGCGTCACCTGCCACGTCGCCGTCGACTTGGCGTGCAGCGTCGTGCTCTTGCCGTTGGAGCTCGTGCGCCGGTGTTCAATCGTGCCCGTCGACACAATCGTCTCCGTGATGGTCGCCGGGTACGCCGTGACCGGCCCCGGAATGTACGTCGTCTCGCTGCGCGTCGTGATCATGGAGATGAGGGACAGCAGCGTGCCCGGCGGATGCGAGATGGCGGTCACGGTGGTCGTCAGAAACTGGGTCGACGTCGAGGGGAACCCCGTCGTGGTGGCGTTGACATTGGCCACACCACCGCTGCCGGCTGTCCCGTTGATGCCGGCCGAGGACGTGGCGTTGGGCTCCAAGTAGTCGTAGCGGCGGGCCAGACCACCGAGAACAGGCGTGGCCGTCGCCAGGAGACTGACGGCAAGCAAACAGACTCTCATGGTGTGTGCGGTGTGTGGGTGTAGAAGCCGAGGAAGAGACTGCAGAACACAACCAAGCAGGACTCACGATGTGTCTGTACCGGGAGTCTCGACCACATCGCACTTTATCTACTGAATCCCTGTCTCCATTGTTTCGTCCCGTCCTCTCCTCTCCTAGAATGGCCTAGACTCGCCACCCCGGCGAGTGTCGGCTGGAATTTGAAATAGACTCCATTTGATTTTGTCGTGGTCGGCTTGGCGTGTCTTGGGTCGTCTGCCATTCACTCTGTCGTCGTCATCTTCAAAGCCTCCCACCACCCTCGCTTTGCAGCCCGTGTCGGCCGTCTCCCCCACGTTTTTTTGTCGAGAGACAGCCACTCATGCAGCCAGGATGGGTAATCTCGGGCAATTCAGCCGCCGGCCGTTGGACAGAAAGAGCATTGATCAATACGCGCGGGACAAGGAATGGTGACGGGACCATCGTTCCAGACCACTCTGCATTCTGTCGTCGTCGCCGTGCTTGGTGGACTTTTCTCGTGCCTCTCGCTGGGCTGCTCTTAATTTAGACCACGCGTGCTACCAATTTGCCGATGTCGACCTACTGCGGCTGTTGTGATCTACGCAAACGTCGGGACTTGACCGGTTGACCGGTTGATCGGCTGAACGATGATCCTCATTGATCCTGGGAGCGCATCTGTTTTTTGGTATTTTTGGTATTTTTGGTTTGATTTAAGGATGTTATGTACACGTGACATGACAAGTATGTACAAAAGAAGTGAACAAGTTGATACAAATAATGAACAAGAAAGAACAGAACACAAAGGAGAAGTAACATGATATGTGAATGAACGACAGTGGAAGTGAATAAGCTGCACAGCAAGCTGCACGGACCGATATACAGCCGAGCAGACATACAGCAGACATAATACATGGTCGATCGAGAACACGTGTGATACAATAAGAAAAGGACAAAAAAAGAAGAAAGAAGAAAAAAAAAGGTAAAAAGACACAAAGACAAAAAACACAAAAACACGACACACCCCCACTAGTTGTTGGGCATGCCCGCGGCCAGGTTGGCGTACTGGCTGTTGGGGTAGCTCAGCAAGTTCTGGGCGGTGTCGAGGCCGCCGAGCGCCGTATAGGACGTGCCGATGAGGCTGTCGGCGCCCGTCTTGTCGGCCGAGGCCTCCCAGAACATGCTGCCGCCGAGGCCCTTGCTCTTGGCGTACTGCACCTTGGCCTGCACCATGGCGGGCGTGTCGTACGAGACCATTTCGCGGCTGGCGGCGTCGTAGCTGTAGGTGGCGCCGGCCGTGGCGTCGGTCTGGATGGTGGCGCCGGCGCGCGGCAGCGCCTTGTAGTCGTAGATGCCGGCCTCCCAGGTGCCGGACCCGACGCCGCTGTAGGCGGTACCCGGGCCGTCCGTGTTCTCAAACGCGCGGCCGTAGATGGGCATGCCCAGCACGATCTGCGCCGCGGGCACGCCGGCGCCGAGGTAGTCGGTGACGGCGCGGTCGGTGGAGAAGGGCGTGGCGTTGGGGTTCTGGGGGTTGGGGTACAGGTTGGCCTGGTGGCCGGCGTCCGCGGAAAAGGAGCCGGCGTAGTCGTAGCCCATAAAGTTGAAAAAGTCGACGACGGCGGCCATGCCCTTGAGGTCCTGGACCTGGTAGTTGGTGGGGCCCGCGGGGGACGCGACGGTCAGCAAGAAGTGGTAGCCGGGCGCGTACTGGGCGGCGTAGGCGTCGAGGGCGTCGCGCACGGCCTGCAGCAGCAGCACAAAGTTGGCGGCGTCGGTGGCCGAGGCCGGGTACTCCCAGTCGATGTCGATGCCGTCAAAGCCCCAGTCCTTGACGAGGGTCACGGCCGTGCTGGCAAAGGTGGCGCGCGTGCTCGCGGAGCCGGCCGCGGCCGCAAAGTTGCCGTTCTGCGAGTACGTCCAGCCGCCGATGCTCAGCAGCACGCGCAGGTTGCGGTGGGCCTTCTTCTGCAGGTACAGCTGCTTGACGCAGCCGTACACGTTGTTGCCCACGTCGTTCCACGAGTCCGTCGGGTAGTGCAGCTGCAGGTCCGCGTACTGGTCCGACGAGTAGACCTCGCCCGTCGGCTGCAGGTTGGCAAACGCATACAACACAATGCTGATTTTGTCGGCCGGCAGCATCTGGGCCGTGTAGTTGCGGCCGTAGACGCCCCAGTTGACAAAGTAGACGGAGTTCTGGTAGCCCTTGGCGGCGCGCGGGGTCATGTTGGCTGAGGCGTCGGCGACGGCCTCGACCGGCGCGGCACGGGCCACTTGGGCAGCCGCCAGCAGTGCCATAAGAGCAGTCTTGATATACATGGTGGGGAGGGTGAGGAGAGTAGTGAGGAGGCAGGAGTCAGGAGTCAGGAGTGAGAGAGTCGACGACAAGAACAAGTAGTGTAGAAAATACAAGTTGAGAAGAGAAGATGCAAAGGAACGACTGAGCGTCAAAGGAATGGATGAAAGTGTCGAGTCAACTTTCAAGACCTACCTGTGTGCGGTGATGGTGATGTCGGTTGATGTCCTTGTCGTGTGTCGCATGGAAGGTGTCCAGCATCGTCTAGACACGACCTCACGAGGCTATATATAATTGTGGCAACAGTCGACGCGTAGATGCGCCGACGGAGCGACGTATCAAAGTTGACGTCGACGTGGCGGAGACAATCTCCCCGTCGTCTATCGTCTATCGTCTCGGTCGACCCCTTGTCGACTCCTTGCGCGGTACTTTGATGGCCCTTGGTCCCTATGCGATCCTTGCGTGGTCCTTGCGTGGTCGTAGGTGTGACGGTGGTCTGTCTTGGGAGGTCGTTGGCCTGCCTTTGGTTTGTCGTCACATTGGGCATCCAGCATCATGGGGTCCGTCCCACCAACGGCCACGCCACGGTCGACGCCGATCCACCCACCACGGCCCACAGCTACGACCCTCGCGCCGCAGTCCCCGTCTAGCGTCTGCCAGCCCGGCGAGAGCCGTTTCCAGTAAGATTCGACATTAAACGCTCGCTGGGTCGTTGTCAAATCGGATGGTCAGGTCGTGCCTGTGCACGTCCCACGACTTGTCCCCCTGGACTTGGTCACTTCGTAACGTTGCCACTTTTGGCGTTATGAAAGCCAAGGACGGTGGGGACAAGGCGACGGAGGAAGGGGAAGGGGGGAGAGGGGGCAGGCAGGAGAGAAGATGGTGTAGAATAGAGAATGACCAGGTGCATGTGCTTCTGTGTCTGGGTCCAGGCAATCTGTGGTGGTTGTGGTTGTGGTCGAGGTCGAGGTCGAGGTTGTGGTCGCACTTGAAGTGATCGTCGACAAAGGAACCGTTGTAGCGCCGTCTGTATATCCCTAATGCAGGGTTGAGGACGGAGAAGACAAATCGAAGGCAACGCCAAGACCACAGAAGACAGACGAAAATGAGGAAAGAAAAGTGCTAAGACAAAGACGAAAAAAAAAGCTGGATGCGACCTGATGCAATGAACGAGATGAAGAGTCGCGTGAGATGAAAGTGCTCGGTTGCTCACAAACGAGCACGCGGTGTTTGTGAGACATTGAAGATAAACAAGAAATGCACAGGCAGACGAGGAGACGAGCAGACAGGCGCGTTGCCAAGCAATTCACGCTGAGCACATTATTTACATTTTTACATTTTTTACATTCATTGCAGACGGTACGCCGAAAGACACATGGCGATGATCTGCAGCGGCTGGGCGGCAAGGTCTCATTTACACGTTCACGCGCGACTGGTGTTTTGAGGAGGCAGGGAGGGAGGAAGAGAGGAAAAGAGGGAGACAAGAACGAGCCAGTGGGCACGGATCGACAACGATGGACGCGACCGGAGGAAATCATGGCCCGCCAGGGAGACATCAAGCGCGAGCAGCGATCCTCCGGCCCGTCTGGACGGAGAACAGATGTCCAGAGTCTTTTTGGTGGCTTGCTGGCGTCGTCCATTTCATGCCTTTTTGTTTGTCGACCGCCTTTGATTATTTTGACTAGCCATTTACCGATCCAAGCAATTGTTCCAATCACGGCACGGGAGGCATGCTCTGGCGTGCCGTCTGTGAAAAAGGAAAAAAAAAGGGTCCGCACCAGTTGAGCTGAATTTCCCAATTCATACATTTGCCACCGACTAACATGGAGACGGAAATATTGCGACGTAAATTAGTTAATGAAAGGCAATGGCCATGGCGCCATGTTAATGGCGCACAGAGCCGCAAAGGATCTACGACGGAGAGCCGATTCACGTCTGACAAGTATGACAAGGAAAGGAAAAAGGAAAGGAAAAAGGAAAGGAAAACGGAAAGGAAAAAGGAAAGGCGGCGAGAGGAGACTGCATATGGCAGACTGCGAATGGTGACTAAAGTTTAGTAGAGGCCAAGACCTGCCCCTGTAAGATTACTTCTCGAGAACACCACCAGGCGACGGCCACCAACAGCAACAGGACCGGCGAAACAACAACAGCCCCCAGCTGTGGGAAGTCGACCTGGTCTATGGTTCTCGGGGGCCGTCTTTGGGGGCGGTCAAGGGACGACTGTCCTACGTAATTACGGCCTACGACGGATCGATTACAAGACAGTGGACGAGACTTGGCGCGCACTACTGCCCTACCATCAAGGCTAATGTCAGGGCTTCTGAAGGCTCAGTGGCTAGTGTCCTCCTGCAAGGGCAGTCAGGGGAGGACAGCCACCACAAAAGTACCCCGGCTGCCCAGGAGCCCAGGAGCCCAGGCGTCCAGAACCCAGGGCGCAACATCAGACGACCGTCTCGGTCTTGGCCAGATCGAGTTGCCTAATTGGGCCGTCCCCCGGTCGCCGCCCTCGTGAGCCTCAGCTACGTACAAAGTACTCGCAGCCTTTCTCGCCGACGCACTATTCCCAGTCACGCCCTGCTCCGATGGCCCTTTATGAGCAGGGCGAGGGATGGCCCGACACGGGTCTTGGCAGCGAATATGGAACAACGAGCCTTGAGCTGTGGTCTGGATATCGGACATCTGTACGACGTGTCTGTGATTTGTGTGTCGGCGTTTTGTTATCTGCGATGCGGTTACACTGCTACCGACTACCTACCTCCTCTTACCTACTGCCTATGTCTCACGAACAAGGCGCAAGTTGTATCCCAACCGGGACAGGCACGTCTGTCGGCACCGCAAATGGTGGGGTGGTGGTGTGTGGCACATGTCCTAATGCCCTTGTCCATGTGCTTTTGTGGTGTTTGGGGTGTCGCACCATGCATGCAGCCGTTCCCCACGTTCGCCCTTGGAGCGATTGCCATTATCACCATCTGTCCATCTGTGTCCTTATCTCTTCCATGTACGACATATGTCGTGTCGTTGCCGCCACCATGACGAGACTCTGTCTTCCGCCTCGCGCGACGCCTCTCGCAACGGAACACGGCAGAGTCGTGCATCTGCATGTTACCTTTGCATCTCCGAAAAAGTACCCCGAGAAAAAGTCACTTGGCGTGCCTCCACCGGCCGGCCGATCATCTCCATACAAGGTGCTTACTTCGCGATCCTTTGTCTGTTCATCAAGAGGAGTCTGGAGTTCCCCTGTGGCACCTAGCTTATATCACCCTGGCCATGCAGCGCCTGTGGTGGTTTCCATCAATGTCTCCATCGATGATCTCCATCGATAATCTCCATCCTGCTCCCATGGGCCGATCGCCACTCGTCCGGCCTCTGGAAAATGACCAAAACGACATGGTCACGGCCTTATTCTGGGTCATCGCGGGCGTCGTCCTCGACTCGACCAGGATCCAGGTCTGTTGGGCATGCTCCCATGTTCTTCCATTGTCTTGTCCCATTCGCGGCCTTGTTTCTACACTTTCTTGTCGGCCGCTCCCCTGCAACCCACCTTTTGATCTCCCGCTTGTGTCCGTTCATCTGATGTCGTTGTCCCCTTACAACCCCGTCTTGTAACGTTACTGGCCCTGCACATCACGAGCAGGGTGCATCTGGTGTGTAGTCGGTCGACAATCGTACCGTCCCGACCGTTTAGCGTAGAGTGTATGTGTACGTATGCGACATACAGTGCGCCGTACTTTATTTGTACGTATTCCTATTCACGACGTCTTCGGAGCAATCTCAATACATGTTGGCTCGCCCGTTTTATTCTCTCCTTGTCTGCTCGCTCGCTCGCTCTCCTAATCTGCCTGCTACGCACCGTCGCCCCCCTACGCATCCGTCCACTTCACACTCGCCCGCGTCTCGTGCGACTGCCGCGCCAGCTCAATCAGCCGGATGCCGTCGCGCGACGTCTGCGGGTCGACGGCCAGGGGCGCGGTGCCGCGGATGGCGTCGACAATGTTCTCGTAGTAGCCGCGGTAGTGGCCCGGCAGCGACGGGAAGGCGCCCATGTAGTAGCCCGTGGCGGCGTCGCGCGTCTGGACGGCGGCGTCAAACGGCGTCTTGGTCGTCAGCTGGCCCCAGATGCGCTCGTCTTCGACGCCGTAGGCCGGGTCGTCGGCGGCGACGCCCGGGTGGGCGATGGCGCGGTCCTCCTGGGGGCAGGTGCCGTACTTGATAAACGTGCCGTCGGTGCCCTTGACGACGAAGCGCAGCTGGTCCTTGAGGACGGAGGCGACGTTGGTCTTGACGGTCACGACGAGGTTGGTGCGGGCCTCGGTGCCGTCGTACTCCAGCACCAGCGAGAACGTGTCGTGCACGCCACCGCCGCCGGCCCGCACCGAGCGGAAAAAGGCCGTGACGTAGGCCGGCTTGCCAAACAGCACGAGCGCCTGGTCGATGGTGTGCGTGCCCAGGTCGAACACGCTGCCGCGGCCGGGCGTATACGGGCCGTCGCCGTAGTTGCGGTCGACCACGTCGGCCTTGAACCCGGGCGGCGGGTCGAAGTGGATCTCGGCCTCCGTCACGTCGCCCAGGGCCCCGGCCGTCACGAGGTGCTGCACCGTCCGGAAGTCGCTGTCGAGCCGCCGGTTCTGGAACACGCTGAGCAGCTTGCCCTGCGCCCGGGCCAGCGCGATCAGCGCGTCCGCCTCCGCCGACGTCGACGACACCGGCTTCTCCACGACCACGTGCTTGCCCGCCTCCAGCGCCTGCGTGGCCAGCGCGACGTGGTCAAACGCCGCGACGACCACCAGCTCAATGTCCGGGTCGCCAAAAAAGGCCGCCGCCGTCTGGTAGTGCTTGGCCTGCGGGAACTTTTGCGTGCAGTGGCCGAACTTTTGCGTCGCCGCGGCCGACGGCGGGGCGCGCTGCAAAAAGGCGTACACGAGCAGGTCCTTGTTGGGCAGGATAAAGGGCAGCTGGAAGCAGTTGGTCGAGAAGCCGAAGCCGATGATGCCGACCTTGATTGGCGCCATTGTAGGGGAAGAGTCGGTGCTGTGTGCTGGGAGGGTATTGGGCGAGTTGGGCGGGCGTCGAAACAGCAGTGAGGGGTAGTCGTGATGCGATGTCAGTGGTTACAGTGGACGCTGTAGACGCTGTAGGCGCTGTAAACTGTAGTTGCGGCAGCTTCTCTGTCTGTTCAACAGCACATCGTTTATTTCTAAGCAGTCGTTGCTTGTTGATGCGACGGCTGTCTGTTTTATGTTCACTCGGCCGGTGAGATGACGTTAACGGGCAGCTGTCTTTGCGAGCACCACGTGGACTCTGACATCGGATGTTGTTGTTATGTTGACCCAAATCCGACATGCGTCTTTACATCGGCCCGCTTATCGCGTCCCAGATGCTCACTGCCCCCCGTACCAGTCGCTATTCCCGCCTAACCCCGCCGAAGTCGCCCTGGCCCGGGGCATCTCCACCCTGCTAAAGTCGTCGTCCCCGCGTGAGCGCCCGCCGGCTAAATGCGACGGTGGACTGGCCACGTCGTCTTGCGTTTCTGGGACATTATCACCTCTTCACCTCCGATGCCGCCAGCACGGCGAGACGCTTCGACTGCACGGGTCTGGCTGGGTTGGTCGCATTGACAGTCTCGAGTTTTGATTTGAAAGCAACGAATTATGTACAAACTCCATCAACAAGTCCATGACCCTGCAACTTCGAGACTCATTGTCTCGTCTCTCTCGCATCTCTCTCGCCCCCTTTCGCCCCCTGTCGTCCCTCCGTCCTCCCTGTCGCTATGCCCACTACTTGGCCGGCGCAATCGCCTGCGGATAGTCAAAGACCTGCGTCGGGTCGACGGCGGCCTTGATCTGCTGCAGCCGCGGCAGGCTGTTGCCATAGTAGACCTGCTGGGCGTAGGTGCGGTTCATGGTCGGGTCGGCGTAGTTGATGTACATGCCCCACTGGTTGGCAGCGAGGTTCTGCGTGAAGGAGTCGGCCCAGCCGTTGAGGAAGGAAAAGCCGTTGGACGGGTACGAGCCGAAGATGGCGCGGTCGTAGAGCTCGTACAAGAACAGCTTGTCGCGGTGGGCGAAGCTCGTGGCGTTGCTGGCGACGGAGGGGATGAAGGCGTTCTTGCCGCCCATCATGTCGATGATGATGTACCACGAGCGCGTGTTGCTGCGGGCCTGGTTCATCCAGTAGCCGCAGACGGCCTGCAGCGCGCGCGCCGGCAGCGCCGTCGTGGCCATGCTCTTGGAGAAGAAGTTCTCGTGCTGGTTGTAGGGGTGCGAGGCGTCGACCGTGTCGCCGTTGTCGTAGGCGGCGAACCCGCCGACCCAGTCCGTCTGCTGCACCTGCGACAGCGACGCGCCCAGCCGGCCCAGCAGCGGCTGCATCGCCGTCTGCAGCGCCGCCTGCCCGCCGTGGTAGAGGCCCTGGATCTGCGTCTCGTAGCTGCTGCCAAAGATGCGGAAGTTGAGCTCCGCCGGCATACTGCCCGCGTTCAGCCAGTCCTGCAGCTCCTCCCACCCGTTGGCGCAGTCGCCCGCGTTGTTCCACGGCAAATTCACCTGGAAGGCCGTCGTCTGCGCCGGCGCCGCAAACGTGTTGAAGTAGAAGGTGTGCACGACGCCAAACGACGAGCCCGCGCCGCGCAGCGCCCAGAACAGGTCCGCGTTCTCCGTCGCCGAGCAGTTGACCACCGTCGCGTTTGCCAGCACCACCGTCGCGCCTACCATCCAGTCGAGCGCCAGCCCGTGCGTGTGCGAGCTGAAGCCGAAGCCGCCGTGCAGCGAGTGGCCCGCCAGCCCGACGCCGGGGCACGTGCCGTGGCTGATGGCCCGCTGCCCCTGCTTGTAGAGCTCCGTGAAGACGTGGCCCAGCCGCGCCCCCGCCTGGATCGTCGCCACCTTGGTCGTGCTGTTCACCGTCACCTTGTTGAGCCGGTCCAGCTCAATCACGAGGTGGCCGTTCTCGCCGCCCAGCCCAAACGACGCGTAGCTGTGCCCCCCGCCCTTGGGGCTCACCTTGATCTTGTTGGCCGCCGCGCACTTGACCGCCGCCTGGATGTCCGCAATCGTCTTGGGCACCACAATCGCCGCCGGCGTGTACGGCAGCCGCGTGTTGAACGGCGCCACGTCCGCGTTCCAGTCGTTGCCGCCCTTGGTGTCCACCGGCACCGACGCCGCCGCCAGGCAGTCGTCGATGGCGGCACCGGCCGCCGACGTGGCCAGGGCCGCAAGGGCCCAGGCGGACCAGGACTTCATGCTGGGAGGATGAGTCAAGAGACGTGATCGGCGTTTTTTTTTTCCTTTTCTTTTCCTCTTTTTTAATTTCCTCTTTCTTCTTTGAGTGAACGAGCGTAGTGAGGACAAAGCGGACAAAGCAGAAGAGTCTAGATGCACAGTCCACGGGACGGTTCACGTTTTTAAGGTCCATCAGAACGAAAAAGCCAAGATCTGTGGGGACGGTATGAGTCGACCATGCTGACAACCAAGACACGGCTTCATACACAATGGGTCGACGGTGCGTGGTCCAGGCACCTGTCCCTTTTCCAACCGTCTGGGTTCCGGGGTTGGCAGAAGGGAATCCCCCGCGTGTTCAGCTCTGTGGAGAAGGGAAACGCAACTGGGGAAGAAGACTACAAGATACGGGGGACGCGGGAGAGAAACAGAACCTGGCACGGTCGTCGTAAAAGGAATCACCGGCTTGGCCATATCTTGGCCATATCGCCACATACATCCAAAGATGCCAACCCAAAGCGGCCAATAATTGCCGTCCTGGCCGGTGTACTGATAACGGTGGTTGATGGGAAGGGGGGATAAAGGGGATTAACGGGGATTAAAGAGGACAAAGGGGGAGAGCAGACTGGTCGGCTCAATGGAACGTGAATGAATTTTCCTGCTTGGCAAGGCGAGGATATTGCGGTGCTTTTATGGCCATGTGGTTCGGCTAGAGCGACGGTAAGGAACGCCTCCCTGTGACCCGTTGACCTGTTTGTAGGTGGAATGGGTGTATGGGATGGGTGTACTCTGCAATGGTGAGGTTTGATGGTGAGTGTAGCGTGTGCTTTCTTATGAAAGCATAGAACAGTCGCAAATCAGCGCCAACGACGTGCGACGAATGGCACGACAGTCGAAAGGCCAACGACACACACTCAGCTGCTTTGTACAGCACGTAATAGTACGTAATTACTGCCCGTCTTGGCGAACCCGTTTGGGTGGAGAGCAATTATATGGGTGATGCGTCCGCAGCAAAAGCGCAAATGCATTCTGTTCTTGCGGCTGGCAGCGGAGCCGGTGCGGCCAAGTCGGGAATTTGACTGGACGGCTGGCCGGGGTGAATCGGATGGACACGCTCTCCGAAGGACAAGGACGAAGCAAAAGAACATAACGGTTAGAGACGAGTTCATGGCGGATAATATGGGAAGGGGGGAATGTCCCAAATAGCCATAGTAGGTAACCGTATTAAGGCACACCACATTCCGACGCCGAGCATGTGTCAACGGCCTGTGTGTATTTAGCCTGCAGGACAGTTTTCGCTGTAGCGCCGCAGTCATGTTGCCGCGCAAGGGACTGGCAAAACGCGGAATCATAAAATGAGTGCAATTATACGAATGATGCGACCCGAGACGCAAATCACGTGTCCTGTCAATGAACTGTCAACGAAGACTGTGGCCAACAACCGATATGGTAGCCCAGTGTCGTTTTGCATCGCACGTCTGCGTCTTGCTCGTCGACCGTGGGCGGCGTGTCTGACTGCCGTGGATGTGTGCCGTACCCTGTGCAGCCTCCTCCGTACCTCCACTGGGAGGGAGCATCATCAATCTGCTGTGCCGCGCTGTGGTCGGGTGCATCGTGGAGGCAATGTGTGAAGGCTTTGATGCTTCCCTGGACAGCCGTCCTCGTCCCACTGTACGAAGTAGTACAGCGCATGCAGTGGGGCGTCGCTACTGAAACACCCAGTAAAAGAGCCTCTCAGTGCGAACATCCGCCAACCAATCACAATGCATGCTTTCAACCAACAATTACCGCATTCGGAAGGCAGGCACAGCTTACACAAAGGCGTACTACATCACAAAGAAACGGAGCTGAGAACAAAACATCACCACACGCAACAGTTGTTCATCACCAAGCCACAGCTACGAATTTCGTATTAACACTGTACTGCTACGTTTTGTGCGAGGTTGGTGATTACAATAATGACAATTACATCGCATAGGTGGTCAAGTGAGGTGGTGTGGTTTTTGTGTGTGATTTGGCTAAATCTAAAATAACTGTTCAACTGCAACTACCAAGAGGAAGAAGAAGGCTGCGGCAAACAGCGTACAACGTGGAGACTGTGGATGTCTGTTGACATCTGTACATGATTTACTGAGTGCCCAGTGAAAGTACGGCCATGGTGTTTGACAAGTGTTCCTCCATCTCAGTGCCGCCCAAAGCTTTTCGACGGCACTGTTGCTCAATTCCCCATACCATCGCCTGTTCCTATCATCAGGACATGTCGTCCATTCTGACATCTTGCCGTGCACAGACCGCACGATCCATGGTCATCTGCAAAAACACCAAGGTCTACCTGTTCTTCTTTCTTCCTCCTCCTCTTGTATCTTTGCTCGCTCCTCTCAGCCCCTTGTCGCCGACCGCCGGCTCACACCCGTTTGTAAAGCTCCCGCACGAGGTACAGAAGTCTCTGTTCCTCCGGCGTTAGAAAGGTGTGGTTGACGCTGCGGTACATGGGGATGCGCCGGTTGGACCCGTCGACGCCCAGGATCCGATTCTGCGCGTCACGGACACTTTCAATGAAGCTGGCCAGGTGGTGGGCCGTGAAGCGGCGTTGGAGGGGAGCGGTGGCGACGATGGCCGTGTCGGGGTCTGGGAACTGGAGGTGCGCGCGTGGGTTGTCCGTGTCGGGGTCCGAATCGAAGCCGACGGGCACGCGGTGCGAGACGCGGCGCAGAAAGCGCTGGCCGTTGACGAGGTGGCGGGCACGGCGGCGGGTGCGGCGGGGCATGGTGGCTGCAGCCGACTGGATGGCCGCCGTTTCGCGGGCGGGCGAAGCAACAAAGTCCGAGTCGTCCAGGTCGCCAGCGTTGACAGACGAGTTTGTGTTGTGACCAGAGGGCCCGGCAGCAAAAAGGTCCGCGTCGTCGACAATGCTGTCCTAGGCAATGTGCGCGTCTGCGTCCTCATTGTCGTCGTCGTCGCTGCTGCTGTCGTTGTCGCGATCGCTGTCGCTGTTGTCCTCGACGTCTGCGTCATTTTCGTCGTCTTTGCCCTCATCGTCCACGGCCTTGCCCTTCCCCTTCCCCTTGCCCTCCATTGTTTGAGCAAGGGTCGCGCGGCGCTGGTTGGATGCGCTCATCATAAAGGTCAGGCGCTCACCGGCCTCCCAGCCGTCGACGGTGCCACGGTCCTCGAAAACATGGTTGTGCAGCGCATCGCGGTTCGCCGCCTCGTCATTGCCGTTCAGCGTGAAAATGTTGCGGGGGCGCATGTTGTTGGCCACCGTGCCCGCCATGTTGTTGTTGGCCCCGTTGCCTGCGTTGCCGCCTGCGTCGTCATCCGTGTCGCTGTCCGTGGCGTCATCCGAGCTGTCCATCGACTGCTCCGTATGGTCAAAGAGAAGGCCGTCGGCGTTGGTCCACTGCACGAAATTGACATTGTGCACCCAGTCCATGCTGGAACGGTAGACAAAAGGCCGGCTCTCGGGGTCCCGGCGTGCGCGCCTGCCACCTTCCAAGTCGGTGGTGGCGTCCGACTCGCCGTCCCAGGTCAGATGAAAGTCGCTGCGGTCGGTGTTCATGCAGTAGGGACGCACTTCCATCTCGTCCCGCCAGCGGCTGTACTCGCGCTGCATCGCGAACCGGCTGGCCGTGCAGAGCATCCAGAAGGCGCGGTCGGGCATGAGCTCAATGGCAGGGTGGTTCTCAAAAAGCGCCGTGCGCGGAATGCGAGCAGTGTTCGTGGGTTGAAGCGTGTCGAGGAGCATGCGATGTTGATACGTCACCGCGTAGAAGAAATGCTTGCACTTTGGCGGCTCGGCAGCATAGCTGAAGATCATCACCTGGACCTCGGGAGGCAGCAGAGAAAACTGAAAACGACCAGTCTGCGTGACGCTGGAGGAGGTCCCGGCAGCATTTTCAGTGGCATTGGCGCTGGTATTGTCGCTGCTGGTGGTGGCGGTGTTGGTAGATGCCGCAGTGTGAAGGGCATGTGTGCTCTGGCCATCATTTTGAATTGCGTCGGAAATTGCCATGAAACGCGAGGCCAAGTGACCATGTTTCTGGTGGAACATGATGAGCCACTCGGCCAAGCGGCGACGGTGGTTGGAAGCCATTTCTTCGGCTTCGAGGCTGGGGAACACAACATCCAGCTCGGACACGGGTCGGAGGAGAGACTTGATGAGCTCCTTGAGAGCGTCGCTGGCGGCCTGAAGCTTTTTGACCGCCAGTGGTTGGGTACGCGTGATGGCAGTTGTCGCCGTGCTGTTGTGCTGCTCGGGGTCAATGCCACCGGACCCGGCCTGTTGCTCAGCCATGATGACGGAATCTGTGGTAAAAGAACAAGTTAGCACAATGTCTGATGTAAGAGCCAGGGAAGATTGTGAGAGTGACGAACTGAGAACAGTAGAGAGAGATGGGTGAAAGAAGAGAGGGTGTGTGGTGTTGGATCACCGCGGCGAGTGAAAAAGCAAAAGAGTCCATAGCTGATTTGCGATTGTGGGTGATGCCGGCGGAGATTGGAGGAAGAAGCGGATGACGATTGCTGTCGGTCAGAATCTTTCGATCGAAGCAAGCTGTGATGATGGCGATGGAGGATGAATTGGTGAACAGCTTTGGATCTCGAACAAGAATCTGAAAAGTGGTTTGAAAGAGGGAGAAAAGAGGAGGAGGTCGGAGGAGGGGGAGAGGGGGGCAGGCTCGATATATATAGGGAGAGGAGAGGTCGGCAAATCAGCAAATCAGTGAAGCAGTGAATCAGTAAAATTAAATATGTTGCCGTGGCAAAAAAAGATTATAATGTTGTTTATCGAAAAAGGAAGGAGCAACAAAATAATCATACTGGATGACGTGTTATGCTACCAAGACAAGAATAAAAATCACAACACCTGCGGCAGGGTGTCTTTACTTCTCCATCAGATTCCATGTCAGATACGATACACAAGAAGGAGGATGCCGTGACCGATTGTCACATCCACGGTCAAGATAATGTTTTCCATGTCGCTGCTTGCATTTAGTAACTTTCAGTCATAGTGAGCTGGACTCTGTCCCGAAACGGATACTGACACACATGGAGTAGACTGTTACGGTGAACAATGGGGACAATACTCTAATGTACTTGAACAATGTAATATGCAGGAACACCATGCAATAGTATGAGCCACGAAGCAGGGCTTGGTCTTGCTTTATTTGGCCATCTACTATTACATTTTTGATTGCTGAGTTGATAATCATTTACCATTCACTAAGAGAAAATAATGGGAGGAGAGGATGGGGCATGACGAGGGGAGGAGATGAGGGGAAGATGAAATGAGAGAAGGAGGAACAAATGGGAGAGAACGAAATACAGATGGCACAATATCAAGGATCTGAAAACGGTATCAAAAAATGCATTATATAACTCTGCACTTTGTTTTCCACGGCTCACGTAGCACAAGGCTCAAAAATCATGGTGCGGCTCCGGGAGAAGATTAGTGAATGACCACGGCGTCCCAGGTCTCCCCCAACGCCAGACCCGACAGTCTGGCAATCTACCAGACTATTCTTTGCTGGAAACGCATACTATGCTCCTTTTGTCTGTTGCTTGTCAGATATATTGGGGTGTCGTGAATGTAGCGTGAACATATGTTACACATGACAACGAGCAGGAAAAGAGACTGGGATTAATATCCCTCGCTGATCTGATTGACAGAACACAGTCGATGACGAAGCATATCACAGCAGACGAAAAGACCAGCAACTGCGAAATCTACGATGTAAACAATGGGAGGCGACAAATTCGAGGTCAATCCAAAACAAATTCAACCAATCAAAATCAACCGGTACTCGATAGCTTAGGGGCAAACACGGAGTTACACCGCACACCAATTGCCATGCCACGCACTCGACTCTGCAGAGACATGAATCAATATCTGGAACATGCATGACTACAAAGTCATATGATTAGAGCTTTGTTTCATGATATTCGATTTGTTCTTCTGAGACCTTAAGGTGACGTGGCGATGGTATACCCCACCCGCTCCTTCCTTAGGCACCACAAGCTGATCGCTCCTTTCCAGCAAAGAATATTTCTTCTTTTTTTCGCCTCTTTGCTTTCCTATTTGTATGCTCGGCAGCAACAATAATAAAAGACGTTATCTATACACCCGCAACGAATCCCTCACTGGCCTATCACTGCTTCTTGGTGTACATACATTGTGGCTCTGCACGTTAATCAATCATAAGTGACGGAATCCTATGTATCTTCCTCGCTCCTTTTGTTTCCATTTATGAGAATACAATGCCCAACGATTTAACATTGGCTCGTTAACTTCTAAATAGAACTACGCCCTTGCTCATGTTATGCCCTCCCTACGCATTTCCATAATACCGTTGGAGAAAAGTCAACCAAAATGTGGCCGTACAGACGTTGCAGAACTGCCGTGTGAAAGTGAATGACAATATGTGCCATGTGTGTTGTCAATCCCCTGATCTCCATGATACATGCACCTCCCTGGTGAATTTGAATCCCATTTTCATACGGATTGCTTGCCGAAATTTATTTAACGGCACATGTCATACTCAATGGCTCCATTCCATCTGCATGTTTCTACCGAGAGCTGCTTAGTCGTCCATCGTACACTGCCGACAGCCAGAAAAGTGTTGTGTGTCTGGATATTGGTCCGCTTGAAACGCTTATTTGCTTTAATTGATGGCTGCTGCGACGATGTTTAAGGTCGATGGTCTTTGATGTAATGAATTCAAACAAAGAGATTTGTGTGAATTGTTTGTGCCTGTAGACGATGCTGTGCATGACGTTCACTAATGTATGCCAGCTCTCGATGGTGTTGCTTCATTTCTGCTGACTTCGTCTGTTCACGTGGAACTCGGACAGGTCCTGCATGGCACCCATTGTAGGAGAGGTGATAATCCCCATGTGCTGCCATTTGCTTAGTATCCTTCTGGACAGTGAGTGGACGTCGTTGACCCTACCCATAAATCATATGTTCATTGTGGGTGTCGTTCTTATTGTGGTGAACAATGGTTCAGGAGTTTGTCATAGTCTCTTTTCTGCGACGGCTCATTGCCCAGAAAAGTCGGCTTCGGCAACGTTAGTGGTCCCTATTGTCGACGATACGCAGGGGGCGTGCAGTGTGGCCATTGTCCATGTTTGGACTCTGCAAAATTTGCGAGAAAAAGAAAGAGGTTGAGTTTGCGTCCGTCAAACGGAGATCAAAATTGTTTAAATACAAAGAAGTCAGACAACAGCCAAATGCAAACGGATGCGGCGATGAATGCAAGATGGTGTGGAGTAGTGAAGCAGTGCAAACGGAGACAAAAGGCGAGTGAACAACAGAAGAGTGAATAACAAACGCAGGAGAATGGCATCTCTGGTGTATCGCAGTGATTAATAAAGCGAGCACATCACAGGCTTCCGTCTTTCGCGGATCAACACTTTCTGGCCTTTTCCTGTATCGCCATCAACAAGTCCTCTTCGTCCACGCGCAGTCCATGTTCGAGCATATGCCGCCCGGCGCCCAGAATCTGTCGTCGTACAGTGGCCCATTGCCGGTTGCGTGCAGTGACGTCCCGATAGTAGGTTTCCATGGGATGGGCTACTTCTCTGTGGTAGGAGTCGAATTTGCCGTCTGATGTGTGTTTCAGAGCGGTGTCACGCAGCTGTTGCAATGCAAACGCGCTGAGTCCCTCATCATTATCATCACCTTCGCCTCCGTCGCCTTCGTCGCCTTCGTCGACTCCGACCGCCGTCCCCGGCTTGACAATAGGCACCGAGACGATCTCTACAGAGGGCTTGAAGAAACAGCGTGGATCGGTCGAAGACAAGGACGTAAAGCCGGGTATCGCGTCTGGACCCGCGTCATTCGGCAGTGGCGCCGCCATGACGACGTCCCAGTGCACGTATGCCCGTTTCATGGCCGCACGGGAGGCCCAGCAAGCGCTCCACAGTCCCTGGTCGGACAGCCAATGGGCGCTAGGGTGTCGTAGGTGGTATTGGGGGACGGTCATCACGTCGCCTAAGTCGTCGGTGTCGTCGGCCTCTTCCGGGACATCCAGCGGTCGCCAGGATCCATCGTCGTTCTTGGGCCGAATTGAGTCGTAGTAGTGGCCACAGGGAATTGGCTGGCACGCCGTGTCCCATATTGCGCGCTGAAGTTCCGCCGGGAGTTTTCCAAAGCAGTGGAAGGTCGTGCTCGTGCCTGTATCGACGTCTGTGCTTTTGTTTGCGGCCCCGTGGCCCGGATGTCTAGGCGCTGCTCGACTCATGAGCTTCGCGCTCAGATTGAGCCCCTCTGCAATGTTCTGCAGCGCATTGTATACAATTCTGCGGCCGTGCAATATGTCGCCCACCTGCCCTGTGCCCATGTTCTCCAGGGCGTTCTTCGTGCCGCCCCCGCCGTCCCTGTCGTACATGTCGACCACTTCCTGCGGCCAGTCATAGGCACGGCTCCACATGAGGGACAAGAAACGTACGGTGTCGCTGTGCAGGCCGGCTACGAATTTGACAAATTCCGGCGCATCCGTCTTCTGGTCGCCGAGCTTGCGCGGCGGGGCTGGGCGGGATGCCACGCTGTTGCGTAGCAGACGTTCTCGGTGTTCATCCTCTGCCTCGGATTCGTCGTCAGAGTCAGAGCGGTCGTAGTCGTAATCGCTGTTGTCGCCGTCCATGGTAGCAGTCTTGGACAGTTGGCCGCACGGTTGGGGGTAGATGGCAGTGGTAACGTTCGGAGCCAGAGTCTGGTGTTGAGAATGTCAGGGTGTGTAGAGGCACCGGCGATACAAAACAGATTGAGTTCAGGAGCCGAGTTGACCCCGCACCACATCAAGGCTGATGCCAAGATATTGCGATGTCTATGCTTTGGACAGAACTCGACAAAATGCAACGTAATTGATTCGACAGTGAGTTGAATTGACAATGAAAATGAAGAAAATACAATATATAATAAAATAAATTAAGAAATGGCAAGTAAAATTTTCGGGGTTTTTTTTTGTCTCCTCTCGACGTTTCCTTTTATGAGATTCAAGAGGCAAAAGCCTTACTCTGAATTGCCAACAATAGATAAACGCAGTCATCCGCCGCTAGAAGCTCATGTGAAATGTCACTGCTCATGAACTTCTGGTTACGGAGTCACGATAGTAATATTGGACCAAATGATTACCCAAAAATGTATAATCAGACGAGGAAAAAGGAAGCAGCGGTTATTCGCTGGTCCCAGGATCTTTCCGCTATGCGAGACAGCACCCTGTGGGCATTTGACAGTAATTCAGCGGCCCAACTTGTATGCGAGGCGCAAGCAAAGTTTCATCTGCCACGTGCAGAGTAACCGGCCGATCGCCCACTCGGTCGGGTAGCTGGCAGGGGCAATGCACCGTGGAACGTACCGCCACCAGTCTTCCAGGCCATTCCGGCCCTTGGGTTCATCATAGTATTCTTTGAAGTTGTACAACACATTGGTCGCCTCGAACCATGCTGGATAGAAGCCACTCTCTTCCCAGTCAATGATACCCGTTACTACATACTCGGTCGGGTTAGTCGGGTCAATGTCGACCGTGATGTTCCCGGGATACACGTCGCCATGTGTAAATACGCAAAGCTCGTTGGGATCGGGCCGTGGCAGGAGGCTCTTCAAGAAGCTGCAGTACTCGGGCCCCGTCGGCGATTCTATTGCAAATTGAAAGTCACGGAACGCCAAAGCCGTTTGAATCACGGTCTGGCTGTCGCTGACGCCTTCGCCCGCGGTCCCCCCCAGCCGGCCACCCAGTGGTAGCTTGATTTAGGGACGCCCGCTATTTATGGGCGGTTGCGGTGGAACTCAATGGGATGGCCCTGGGCCATGAGTACTAAGAACAAGACCAAAAGAGTTGTCTGATTTTTTTTTTTTTACCTTTGCCTTTGATTCCCGGTCGCCATGAGATCTTGTCATCAGAGAAAGATGAAACCTACGTAAGTTGCTTGGGAGTTGTGGCACATAAACAGTGCAATTTCCTTTCTGCATACGAAGCAAACTTCCAAAGAAACTGCTTGTTAGTCTGATATCCTCGCCTTCTCAGTACAGCTGTAGCGATTTTTCAACGAAATTTTATCGTTTATTTTTTATTTTATTTATTTATTATTTTTTTTTTAGAAAAAAAGACTCGCTAGGTCTTGCACGGCTAGGCACATGCAGGCCCGAAATGAAGCCCGTTTGAAAGGACACAAACAAGAAGAAGAATAAAAAAGTAACTTTGGCTTCTCCGCCCTATCTCACTGAGCGCAAAGCTTCCCCAGACTAATGTCATCAATCGCTATGGTCGCACCGTAGTAGTAGTTTCCACCGCCGCCACAGCTAATCCGCAAGACGGGAGTGGACGACGTGGGCGTGATGGTCACGGTGTGCAGCGTGACCTGGTCCAAGGGCCCGCGACCCGAAGAGCCGATAAAATCAACTTGGACGCCGTCCAGTTGCGTCTGGATATCAACGCCACCGTCGTAAATGCCACTGGCGTCGGTAAGTTCCCAGGTAAACTGCAGCGTGTATGGCTGGTTCGGCTTGAGTCCCGTCAACTGCTGGGAGATGCTATATCGCTGGCGGTCTTCCCGTTGGGCGATGTTGAAGCTCCTGTTGAACGAGAGCGATGTGTTAGAGCCGGTGCGCTGAAAGATAGAGTTGGTTACGGTGATCTGGCTGGGTTGGCTTACACGTAGTTTGTGCCGCTGACGGAATAGTCGGCCCCGGGAGCGTCGGTCTGGACCGTGACACCGCTGTCAAACGTCCACGCAGTGGAAGAGGCGTCCTCGAAGCTGCCGTCCTGAATAATATTTACCGGGTTGCAAGTCGCACAGGGGCCGGCTTGGGCACCGAGGGTGAAGGCTGCCAAGGCGAGAGCGAAGGCCGTGAGTTGGACCATGGTTGGACAAATAGGTTGGAGAATCACGGCGACGGTGAAAATCAAACGAAGGACACACAAGGCAGAAGAAGAAGCAAAACCCGCAGTACTCCGTAGTCATGAAGCGAGAAGGGATGGTATTTAATGAAATACCGTTGCTCTGTAGCGAAATCGATTCTTTATTACGCATGGAATTTGTTTCAATGTTGGCCTGTTGGTCTGCTTTTCACTCCGGAATCTGTGTCCGGCGCCAATATTCAAGGTTCACTATGGGGCTGGCGGTAATAGTGTGTCAATAGTCTCGATGCGAAATTAGGGGCAAAACAGCAATAATCCAATAGCAGCTCCCACCCGACCAACCAACGTAGCAATAGAGCTGGGGCAGCACAGCAACATATGCCCAAGTCGAGCAAAGAGCTGGGAAAGAAGCGTCCAATTTCAGAAGCATCATTTTTTTTCCCCGCACATTCTTCAACGCGCAACACGCTCTGATCGGAGCAAACGATCCACGTTTTCAAGTCATGCAGTGTTCCTTTCGTTTACCAGATGCGGTTTGTTTTTTGAATTTCATGTCATGAGAGATCAACGGAGATTGCCACAGTGCTTTGTGCTCTAACTGGACTCCCAAACAGGGAGATATGTTTATTTGGGGAGGCTGTTGTAAAGACACCCCCAGTAGCATTGAATTACCTCAAATCGCTTGGCAGACCATGCCTTATTCAAACATGAAGCCCATAATGTCATTCCTGTTCCCTGCCCTTGTGCATACCTTTTCATGTTTTCTTTCATAAATCTTCTTCTTTGGCTTCTTCTTCTTCTTTGCTCAACCACGAGTTTTATCAGTTCCACGGCTGTACGATGCTCAGTCGTCACGAGACTTTGAGTCCATGCTCCAGACGGGTCCCTGGTGGAAGCCATTGCCCAAGGGATCGGGAAACCTGGCACTGATGTACGTGGGCTCCCAAGTGTGGACCAAGTCGCCAGCTTCAGAGAACCACCATACAAAGTGCTCCCCCTGGGACACAACCGCGTCAAAGGGGCCGGAGGCATGGTTGCCGACGACAATGTCGGTTACGTAGGTGCCGTCCGGTGTAAAGTGAAACGTGATGGCGGCACAGAGCGAGGAGGCGGGGTCGGCTGAACCAGCTGGAAAAATGTCCGTAATTGTCGGTGACGATGTCGGTGTATTTGTCGTGTCCGCTGCGTCCATAACTGGCGGCTCCCATTGACCCAAGATGGACGTGCGGCCACTGTCAAATTCGATACGTAGACCAAGGCAGCGGGGGGCCCGGTCGCCTGCCATGACCCGTCGCCGGACACGTAGGCGCACAATGGAACCGCTGTCCAGCGTGGCCGAGCTGAAAAGAGCGTGCAATTTATTAAAGCGCTCATCGACACGCTCCGGCGGCGGCGGATAAGGAAAGCGGGCTACGAACAACCTGGACGGGCGCTGCGTTGCCGTTGCCATTGGTGTCTCGGGCGTGTGGACGCCAATGCTCTTCCAGCAACAGCCCTCGGCCGTCAGCACATCGGTGAAGATACCGAGGACTGGAGTTTGGAGTGTGCTGTCTGACGTCAGCATGCGAGACGTGGTCGTGCGTGTAAAAGCAATTTCAAAGTTCCCAAAAAGGACCTTGTTCCCCCGGTTGGTCGCGGCCACCAGCGCCGGACCTCTATATGCCCGTTTGCTCCTGTCTTCGATTGCCAGCATGCCCAAAAAGACGATGCGCTCGCCCGTTTTCGATGCCAGCGGCAGGTGGACGGGTATGCCGCATCGACATCCAATGTGCCGTTGCCGGTCTGCAGCCGCAATGCCATCCCCGCCAAAGTGCGCCGTCATCCCTGCCACCCCGTCGACAATGCAGTACACCGTTAGCCCCGTGGCATATGCACCCTCGAGTTCCAATGGCAAGTAGTGACAGAGGCGGCGGCCAGGATGGTGCGGTAGGTATCCAGGGAAGTGTTCTGTGTCCACAATCGTGAGGTCATCATATGCAGGCACGGTGTCCGTGTTCCAGAGCGATCGTGACGGCCACACTCGATCTCGATTTTGGTCGGGGCTGTCGTCGGTCGAGTCAGACCGGATGTGCAACAGTTTAGTGTCGTCTCGGTTTGCGACGAGACCTGATGCCAGACAGTCCAAAAAGACCGTCTGCAGGCATCCTTGTCGTCCAGAAAAGTCTTTTGCTTTTGTCACTTGATATCTCAATACAGACGACCAGAGCGGTCTTCATATCGCAGTGTTATAGACTGCACGCCGAGTGGACCTAGCCTGACTATGGCACTAATAATGGGTATTCCACTCTGCACAGGAAAGCGGAATTCGCCGAGTGTATCTGGGAGCGTACCGTTGTAGCTGCTATCGCAATCCTCGTCTTTACGCTCTCGCTTCCGTTTCCGCGTCCGTGATTTTTCCACGCCTTGATCTTGTGCTAAGAACGATACCCTATGGAGATATGAATGGCCAAATAGACGGATTCCACGAGCAACAAGGTAGCCGCAGACAGGTACATGCTTGTCTGTGCTGATTATATTTGTCGGGTTCGTTGGTGTCGGTTCGCGGTCCAAAACGCGCTCCTGGTATAAGCGCATTGTCGGGGGAGAATTCAAATGTGCCGACAGACTTGGTGGCAGGAATGACGCAATCGCAGAGATGGTCTCACAGGTTCGGAGAAGCGACGAAACAAGCCCACCTTGCACGCTTCTCGTCACTTGCGCCTGGAGTTCAAGCGGCAGCTTGGATGCGGCCTGAGCGAGCAAGCTGTTCAGAATGGTCGGAGGGGATGCGGTGGTCCACATCTCGACTGCCGAAAGCTGCTGAGCGCCTGGGAATATTCGGTGTTGTCACAAAGCTGTGGCAAGATTGCCTTCGTCTGCTGGGCTAACCAATACAGCCCTGAGAAGGACCACTTGTCGTTCGTATTCGTCCGACTCAATGCCCTTGCAACTTTCCAACAGCACGTGTGGGCATAGAACAGCGGCCGTTGCACGCTGAAACTCATGATATTTTCGCTGGGTCGAGGGGCAATGAAGACGAACAACAGGTGATTCGTTGCATCCATTGTATCTTTTGTATCTTTTGTATCATTTTCAACTTTGCGCCGCAACCTCTACGTGTGATCAAAGTAGGGGTAACGGATCGGCCATGTGCTTGTGCCCAGGTCAGCCCGGAAGACGAAGACAGAGACAGGCCGCAAGCGTGGCCCAGAGGCGGCATTGTCGGATGATGACGTGTTGAAAACTGTGCGATTGCAAACGGTCAGTTGGGAGATAGAACAGCAGCGGTGTTGCACAAAGGAGACGGGATTGTACGGTACGGACACCCAATAACGTCGAGCTCCCACTGTTCGATTAGGCCAGTACCATCGTTCCGCAGTGGTCGACCGATGCAATGGTCTGTCGTCGATCTGGGAAGTTGGCGTCGACACAAGACGCAGCACGCATCGAGGGCGACAACAATAGTTCTCGCGGCGGGTCTCGCGATTGTAGCTTGCGTTGACATACTGAGGAGTGTGCGATGCTAGTCGCATCTGCCGCCTCGTCTGTGACTTGAACGATACTGAGGAGCGTGTAAAGTCACATGCCGAATGTCTGCCCCTAGTGGCCGTGGTTGAACAGTGCAAGATGCAATGAGCCACTGACAGTCCGCGGTTATGTGTGGCGCTCAGATGTCAAATATACAAAACACCAAGCATCGACAATGTAGAGTGTTTGCAGCGACAACCACCCAGTTCACATCGTCAGTAAAGACGTCGTCAGGCAACAGCGGGGACGATGTTGTTTTTGGCCCCCACGGTAGCCTGGCTGCATGGCTTTGTCCAGCTGACAGTCACCCGCCTTTGTGCAGGGTGCGAGCGAACACGTCGTCATGTTGAAGACATGGCACGCCCATCGGTTTGATTTGCCAGAATCATTCAACCAAGTCCTGCATCTTAATTCCATTCCCATATGCTGTTGCCATTCTGCTTTTACATGGCGACGGGCGAGCACCATGGCCAGTCACTGTCTTTTGCTTCGCGAATGTCCTCATTAGAGTATGTCAATCCTTCAACTGAAAAACATAATAGAATACCATTTACACCTCTTACAACTTTTCGCCATAAACGAATTGAGAGTGTTTCTGTGTACGTTTCCGGCTATGATGCCTTTACGGTCCTTGACAGACTATTACCTGGTGAGACAGTAAGGTCGCAGTACATTACATGAGAGAGATTATATTGACAAAACCTTATATTTTTCTTTTTTTCTAGTCTCGAAACGCCGGCTTCGGATGGCTGCCGTAGGGGATGATGCGGACTGGCGGTGGTCGGCCTGAGCAAAGTCCGGCACGGCAGAGCGGGCAGCGATCCTCTGGTTCCATGCCAGACGGTGCCCGGCGCCCGGCGTACGTGGCAAATAAGTCGAGCGAACGGATGTGGCCAGGAGGAAGCCCAGGAAATTGGCGCTTTCGCGGGGAGTAATCAAATTCGGGCAGGGCAGCCCGTTGCCGGCTTGGCACTCGGTGCGTGCGAAAACCACGTGACCTTGACAGGGCTTCGAGAGTACGCCCGTTGCCGTCGGGCCGGATCAATCTACTTGTCTACGTGCTCATTGTCGGAAACTAATGTTCGCCTTCGGAGACATAACACTGCGTCCGCTGACGAAGAAAAACGGCGTTGTTGAAAACTCCGGGTCCCGTCACCGAGCAGTACGGTTCAATAATAAAGTCCGCTTGAATCAATAAAACAAGAAAAGATAAAACGATGCGGTTTTGAACCTCAAGAGGACAGACTCCAAGCCGCGGATACGACACGCACGACTATTCAACTACATTTCTGCAACACCCATTCCGCCGGCGGCGACGCCTTCTCCCTCCAGCCATGCGTGTCATTGTCACGGGTAGTACAGGCTACATTGGCGGCGAAGTCCTGCGTCAATGTTTGGCCAACCCGGCCATCACGTCCGTTGTCGCGCTCGCGCGCCGCGCCCCAGAGATCGCCACCGATCCGAAGCTCCAGGTGATCCTGCACGACGACTTCACGTCGTTCCCCTCGGAGCTGGTGGCGCAACTCGCGGAGGCCGACGCATGCATCTATTGCCTGGGCTCGAACGTGCCCGTACGGCCGCCGGAGCTCAACCGCAAGATCAACCTCGAGTACGCCATTTCCACAGCACGCATGTTTGCCGACCTACACGGAGCACGACCAGCCGCACAAGCGCAGACGCATTTCCGTTTCGTCTATCTGAGCGGTGCTCTGCCCGAAAAGGACCCGGAGCGGCGCCTGTTGTTCTTGGCGGAGAATCGTCGCATGCGCGGCGAGCTCGAAAACAAGCTGCTCGAACTGGGCAAGGCGAAAGCGGGTTCCGGCTTTGAGGTGTTTGTCACCCGACCCGGCTTTGTGCAGCCTGCAGGCGCCGTCGTGCGGGCGTGGTTGGTGGGCGTGGTGGCCAATGCGATCCTCCTGCCCGATCTTGCTGCCAGCTTGGTGCACGTCGCCTTGCAGGGATACGACGAGATGCTGGTGGAGAACGACGCCTTGAACGGTCTGGCTAAGAAGACGACGAGCTAATCACGTCATTGCGATGTTTTGTGGCTGTATGCCGGTGGGTTGCCAGAGAAGATGTGTTATTTGTGAAGGAGGATGGGGTTTTGTTAGATTAGTGTGACTTGCTTGTATTACGATCACGTCTATGTCGTACTATCCAAAATCAGACACGAATATTCTGACAAGGCTGCTGTTCATCAAATGCGTTCTCACAAAACCCCCTGATGCGGACTGCAACCAACTTCACGGCCTATCCTCTACTTGCTCCCCGTCGTCGCCTTCATCGATATCGCTACTACGTCTACTATCATCAGCGCCCGGCCCAAATGCCAGGTCAAACGACGGCCCAAACCGACACATCCGGCCGGCCAGCTGCTGCTCCCTCTGGATCTGTTGGTTTTCACGGCTGATGGCTTGCGTGACTTCCCGGCGCAGTGCCTGGTTGTCTCGGCGGGTGGCAGTGCGCGACGCTGCGTCTGGCGCACGTGCTGCTGCCGGGCTGGGGCCTGCCGGGACTGTCCCCTCCTTGTCCGCCGTCGTGGCCGTCGCCGCCTCCTCCTCGGCCGGGGTTTGCTTCAGCGCAAGGGCCGCGTCCACACGCTCCCGCAGCTCCCGCGCCTGCGCCTCATCCGCCAGCGCCGCGTAGTGGGACCGCCGGTAGACGCCGAGGGCGCTCAGGATGAACGAGGCGACCTCCCAGGCAAAGAGCACGGGCAGCGCGATGTGCAGCTGCGGCCGGTTGCAGCCGAGGGACCACACGTCCAGCAGCACCTGGTAGACGTTGTGCGCGGGCAGCGCGTAGCCGACGCGGTAAAAGGCCGGCGACAGCTCAAACGGCAACAGGATGGACGTCACGTTGACGACGACCCACGAGATCAGCGCCATGGGCACGTAGGGCAGCGGCAGCCAGACGGTGAAGACGTCGAGCGTCAAAAAGTTGAGGTGCGCAAACAGCCACAGCGCCATCCACGACTCGGCGAACTGCGCGCCGCCGACGGGCCAGCCGGCGCGGAAGGCCCAGATGGCGCCCACCGTGCACAGCGCGCCCACGCACGTGTATGCCAGCGAGTTGCCGGTGCGCACGGCGATGACGCGCGCCGGGTGGATGCGGCTGTAGATGTGGAAGCTGGCGTAGAGGCCGTTGATGGTGCCCAGGTAGAAGAACTCCTGGATCAGGATCAGGATGATGACGAGCGTGTTGTAGATGGCACGCGAGCCCTGCGGCGTCGGCTGCAGGTCCGTCGCGGTGAGCGTCCAGGGGGTGACGAGGACGGCGGCCGCCGCCGGGCTGCCCAGGGGCCAGGGCACCAGCGATCCGTTGTCGGCGGCGACGTAGGCCCCGCGCGCGTCGTCGGCGAGCGTCTGGAGGCTGCCGGCCACCGCCGGGTCCTCGACCGTCGGGTAGCGCGCCTCGTCCCACGTATAAAAGAGCGCATCGGTCGCGTTGTAGTTTTGGGCCGCTGTGCTGTTGCTGTCGCGCAACGCCGCCTGCAGCCGGGCGGACGCGCCCGCGGCCACGTACAGCGCGGCCCAGTAGTCGGTGGCGCAGACGGCGGTGGCCAAGTCGGCCGCCGGCGCGGGATACGCGCTGGGCGGCTGCTCGACCAGCGTGGGGAAGCTGTCGCTGGCAAGGGATGCGTAGGCGGTGCGCACGGCGCGCCCGATGGCGCCCTGGTCGTAGTCGACAAACAAAATGGTCAAGTTGTGCGTGTGCTGGGTCTGCTGGAACAACGAGCCAAATATATAACAGAACAAGCCAAGAAACAGCAGCTGCAGCAAGACGAAGTTGGTCAGCACGGCCCTGAGAAAGGCATGGGTATGTTGGAAGCCGTGTTGGCCGAAGCGCAGACGGTTCTGGGTGGCTTTGGGATAGAGCCGCTTCATGTTGGATGAAGGAGAACGCGAGGAGCGTCAGAGGCGCAGGATGAAGATGAGGTGCCAGCAAGCTGGCCAGCTCGAGTCGTGTTCATGTTTTGCATTTCGTGTTTGTATTTTATTTCACTTCATCTTAAAAAGCGCCCAACGCAGCGGTAGCAATTTGGCCAAGGTGAAGGGCAATGTAGCACGGCAGGACGGGACAGAGCTAAAACACGTCAGTAGTAAGCACCAAGACGGACTTCCCTGGAGGGTACTCGACTGCACCCGAAGTGAGGGGTCACATGGGCGCGGATACGGGAGGAGCATGCAACGCTATCACATTCGTGTTGCAGTGACACGACTATTTTTTTTTTTTTTTTTTTTACCGTGGTAATAATTATCGCCGCGCAAATTACGTGACGGAAGCAAGTATATGCTAATATTCTCCATTTCTATGAAAGGAGAAGGGAAGCACGTGGATAAAAAGGGCTGTGGAAACATTGAAGAGAAAATGACAATAGATGCTAGCATATAACTTGTAGATGCAGATGGAGAAGGAGACAGAAAAAGCGACTGCTTCGAGAGAAGACCGGCGACGGACAGTACGGCGCCGACAGCACGAACAGGCCCGAGGGCATCGCTGGCAACGACGGCTGACGGGGAGTAGTCGCCGTCTAAACCGGGGAAGCAATGATAGAAAGAGCGGATGCCTGATGCATCTTGAACTCGACTATGCCCTGCCCATTTCGCTTCCCCTCTCCGCGTCCACCAGTTCGCTTTCCGCTAGCAAATCTTTAGTCCCATTCTGTCCGGGGGCAGGCCAGTTCTGGCCACACCAATTAGGTTAGCGGTAAACACTGGCAGTACCAGGACCAGGGACAGGTGCTGGGGGAGGTGAGCATGTTCAAAGAACAAGAACCAGGCCACGCTCACTCCCCCGCAGCCAATTCGTCCTTTGTTCGCTGCCGCTCACACATCACAATCCCGTTACATTTCCAAAACCATCTGCCCGGCACGTACGCAGACGCGCATCCACCAGGATGGCACGGCATGCAAGAAGGGCACATTAGGCAATCAGGATGGCTTCGCAACAATCCGTCGCCAGCACGTCGCCACCGCCGGCGACAGGCAGAAGCACCGCAATGGCGCAGGACCAGGAGATTTGTTTCGTCAACACGACGGGCAAACCTGCAAAGGGCTGGCGGGCCACAAATACAACGGTCCGATCGCATGTGATGCGCAGGTACAAACGCCAAGAGCGCACAAAAACACGCAAAGACGGCGTCTCTGATAACAGCTCGATCCGGGCCTTTTCAACTGGCGCGTCTTTGGCGGCGGCAACGGCTGCCACCGATCTGGAACCCGGCGTGCTTTCGAGTCCTTCGTCCCTCGAGCCATCGCTTTCGGGAAGCGGCCCGAGTGATGACGCGACGAGGAGACGTGAGAGTGCCAGGAGCGATAGGGGCACGGAGGGCGGCGGGACGACTCTGTCGATTTTGGACCAGGACATGGAGGAATGGCCGGCTGCAGACAACAGCATTGCATTTCCTGCCTCCAGGTCCCCCGAGATCAGGACCTGGCTCGACGGCAGCATCGACCCGTTCGCCTGTCTTCCCATCCCGCCCACGCCACGAACTCTCATGCTTTTGCAGCAGAGTAAGCACTCTCCTCTTGACGACTGGAAGGCGGACGTCTGCCTCTCATTTTGCTAACTAGAAATGCCATTCCTGCCTAGATGCATTTGCCGCCATTCGAACGTCGGTTCACGCCGACGCCGACGATGTGTGGCGGCGCTCGTGCAGCAGCGACCCTGCCTGGCTCTTTATGACGTTGTTCTACGCCTCCGCACGGTTCCCCAGCACCTCGACAGCGGATGCCGCGGAAGACGCAAGCTATCTGCTGAAGTCCATTGCGGCTATCAACGAGAGCATTTCGGACGCACCGGCGTGCGTCAGCGACTCCACCATTGCCACTGTGGCCTGTCTCGCAAACATTGACGTACGTTCTTTGCTGTGTTAGCGTGTGCGCCAGCGCTCATCTCCTTTCGTTTGTTGACAAAATGGGCAAGAACTTGAACGGCATATCCTCCAACGCCGCAGTCCATACCGGCGGACTTGTACGCATGGTCGAATTGCGCGGCGGCTTGAGCAACCTGGGAATGCGAGGCATCCTGCGTCGGATGGTGCTGTGGTGCGTCTGGCCTTGGCCTAGGATGCATAGTCCCAACATTATGTACGTGTATCTCTGACTGACACGGGCGATGCTTATTACAGGTCCGATCTTCTGGCAAGCTCGAGACTGGGACGGCCACCGCGCTTCCCTTTCTACCAGGCAGACACGTCTGCACCTTTGACAGTCTTTACGCCGTCTGTCTCGTCTGACACGTATCACCTCGTCACAAATGGAGCCCTCGACGCCATCTTGACGGTGAAACATCGCCTCTCGATAGCGCAGCTGCTGCTGTCGCTGCACCGCTTGTCCTTGTTTCTGAGTTTGACCGACTCGCTGTATCTACCATGGGAAGCAAGCTACCCCGATCGCGTCTACCAAGTGGAGTACCAATTCTTGACGGCCCTCTTTGACGACCAAGTCACGGCACCCACGGACACGCAGGTCATGGTGGGGACCATTCTACTTCATGCCGGCTTGCTCTTCATTTATACCAACCTACGAGAGACACCTGTCGGCGGCGCCATCCGATGTCGGCTCCTCGACCGACTGAAGGCCGTCCTCGTGCAATTTGAATCATTGATGCACGACGCTCTGGGTTTTACGGCGGAGCTCTTTTGGGTTCTTCTCCTGGGCGCCTCGGCTAGTTCGGCTGTTGACCAGGACTACTTTGTCGAGCAGCTCAGGAAAATGAGCAGAAGACACAACATTCGCAGTTGGTCTCACGCAAAGATGCTCTTGGAGAGTATGCCAGCACTCGAAGCGTATCGACTGAACACATGTATGGATCTGTGGAGCACAGTCATAGCACCGCAGTCTATTTGCAGAGACACTACTTTATATTAAAAGACGACTCAATTATGCCTATGCACGCGTCTACTCGCCCGAATGACGCACATTTTGATTTCTGTTATACAAGGAATAACGGAGGTGATGGTAGTGATTATATACAATGAAGGCAAAGAAATACAGGTTGGATGGGTTTGCATTTCAGACAATCGGCAGAAGCTGAGTCTCCTGTCTCACGGTACTGGGAGGAAGCCTCAGTCATGTATATCCACTGAACGTCATTTGTATGTCACATCCAATAAGCAGGTTGGAGAAGGAACCGTACAGGATCACGTCCAAAATGCAAGCCCTCCGTGAGGTTTTCGGGTGGTCTATTGGTCTGGTATTGCAAAAACAATACGTAAATCGGAATCTTCCTTTTTATGGTGCCGTTCCTCGTGGCTTATAAGTGTCCATTCGATGTTTTGTCCTGTCTTTCAGAGTCAATGGTCTTCAAAACTGCAATCAGACTGTCACGGTTTCGTTAGCTTTTGAACCATGCTCCAAGGAAGCTTTGGCTGTCGGGTGTAGTCGAATCCTTACCGCCTGAGGCCTTCTTGGAGTGTCTCCCTGTCCTGGCTGAAGACAAGTCGAAACTGGCCCTCTTTCTCTGCATGCTCCTCGCATGGGTGGAGGCCGACGCCTGCCTCGAGCAGCTTTTGCGCGAGGACGAATTCTCGATTTTGTCCTGGCTCGGCGTGTTCGAGCCACGGAGCCAGATCGATGAAAACAAAGAAGCCAGCGTTCCTACAGGGCCGACGGTCAGTGCTACTGGGACACAGGTCAACGGCATGGAACATGTGGATCTGTGGTCACGCACCCCCTTTCGTATTTGACGCCGGCGGCGTCCAGCACCTTGGTGGTATGGAGGTGGCTGTCCCGGAGCCTTTCCTGCGACAGACGAACAAAAGACGCGACAAAGTCTCTGTCCTCGAGAATGGCCGTCCCAATGGCAACGGATATGCCAGACGGATTGTGGAACCGCATGTTGCACGCTACGGCTTTGCGCAAAGAGCGATTGCGGGTGATCAAGCTACCCAGTCGAAGCCCAGCAGCAGCAAAATCCTGCACCATGTCAGCCGCCACAGACCATGTTCCATGCCAGGACAAAGATTCATTAAAGGACCCTCCTGTTTACCTTGCTCATTCCGTACAAGACGTGCAGCCTGTCTTTGTCGAGAAGATTAGTGGAATCAAAGGACAGCACAGAGGTGAAGGGCACATCATGCCCATCATCCAGGCTGTATGTCGAGAGGCCATATACCTCGTCGCTGATGAGGTGAATCTTGTTCGTTTCGCAAAAGGCCATCAGCGCCCGCAGTGTGTCGGCCGGGTAGGCACGCCCTGGATACGGGTTAGAAGACAAAAAGCAGTGAGGGGACATGGCACAAAGGCAAGTGAACAGGAGACGCATACCTAATGGATTGTTCGGGTTGACGATGAGGACGGCCTTGATCGGGATGCCCTCGGCCGTGGACGCATCGAGTCGCTCCTGGTACTTGGCAACGGCCGCTGGCGAACACGGATCGATGCCGTCCATGTCGGCGTAGACCATGCGCAGACCCGACGTGTTGCCAAAGTCCAGCTCGAAGCGGCCGTAGACCGGCCGGTTGACCAGAATGCCGTCGCCGGGATCGGCCAGGCTGTACCCAACCAACTCGTGGATGGCGGTCAGGCCCGACGCGGTAATAATGTCCTCGGCCTGCACAGGCGCAGCGGGGTGGAAGTGCTCGTTGATGTGCGCAGCCATGGCGGCAGGGAAGCGTGGTCCGCCCATGGTGCTGAAGCGGTACGCATAGGCAAGCTTCGGTATGGAGACCTAGTTTGACAGCATTAGATGGAGGGCTGTGGCGATGCAAACAACAGCAGAATGTGTATGTTGTGGACGTACATTCTTCTGCACGAAATCATGAAGCTCGTCATGCATCAAGTTCTGCAAACCCGTGTTAGAAACGCGAGTGTGTAGCATTGGAGATAAGACAAGAAAAAAAAGGGGCGTGGGGAGGCATGCATTTTCCGCAGTAGCAAAAGAGATAACACCGCCTGGATTAGTTACGGCATCGTATCGGTTGTTGCCACCAGGCGCAAAACGCCACGGTATGTCCTGCGTTTTGGCGCTTGCCGCACCTCGTAGAGAGAGCATTGTGGATGTCAGGACGAAATCTCGGTTTCGGGAATCTGTAACTTGGGGATAAGTATCGGTGAATGGCAAAATCAAGCAGGCATGAAATGTAAAGGCCGCGAATGGCAGTGACTGAAGAGCAATGACTAGGGAATTTGATAGCTAGTTATAGAGAGAACCTGCCTTTGAACCCGTAGGATTTGAAAGGCCAAGAGGAGGCTGGCGCCATCACGCAAGGTGAGCAAATTTACGCAATGTCATCGTGATGTGCAGAGAGCTTCCTCGCGTACGGGGGATGCCATGGGCAGTCTCGCAGACTTCGGCAGTCTTCCGAAGACGGCATGTGCATCACACCTATACAAGAGGTCCACCGCATGCCAGTCTCGATGGATGTTGGTTACGCCGTATCTTCCCGCCTTACCCAATTAGGACAATGCTGGATTACGGTTGGTACTCGGCCAGACCAAGTGAGCAGATTTTGTTGAAATTTCCCCGCAATAGCCAGAAATTGGTCCAGGGCTAAGCCAAGCGTGCTCTTTTCCTTTTGAGGACAATGTAGAGATAAGATACGTCTAGTCTATCAGAATCTGGGGAATGAACCCTGTTCGTGGATCGTGCTCACCGCGAACGTCTCCTCCAACAATGGATAAGAACTGGTCAAGAGTGTGGCTCGTCGCCGACGGGTGATAAGATACCGCATTTCTATCTCTCCATAGTGCAACAATGGAGGGTGACAGATGGATATAAAAGAATGCCCACGCGTGCTTCGTGAACAGCCAGACGCCAGGGGCGACTCGACAACCGCCTCTGTCATCTCTTTACTGTTCTCTCTGCCCTTCTTCTCTTTCCTATCCATTGGCTTCCAACAAGTTCCCCCACCCCCCTCCGTCCATCATGTCTGGTGTCAACTTGGACGAAAAGACGGTGCCCATGGACCCTCCCCCGAGCCTGGAGAAGGGCGTCCTGGACGACGCGGCCAGCAAGACGGGCGCCATACAGGTGCAGGCCTTGTCAGCCGAGTTTGAGGAAATCACACAGCTGAAGCAGGGGTTGCATCAGCGCCACGTGCAGATGATTGCCTTGGCCGGCACACTCGGCACCGGCCTGTTCTTGTCGTCGGGTCAGGCCATTGGCCGGGCCGGGCCCCTCGGTGCGCTCCTGGGCTATTCCATCATCGGCACGGCGGCCATCGGATCCGTGTTTGCGGGTGCCGAGATGGCCGCTCTCGTCCCGCTCAACGGCGGCATCATCCGCTACGCGCAGCACTTTGTGGACCCGGCGCTATCGTTTGCCAACGGCTGGAACGAAGTCTATTCACACATTGTGTCGGTCCCGTCCGAGATCTCGGCGGCCGCGGTCATTGTGCAGTTCTGGACCGACGTCAATAGCGCCGTGTTCATCACCGTTTTTGGGCTGCTCACGATCGCGACGACGCTCGTGTTTGTGCGCGTCTACGGCGAGCTCGAGTATGGGTTTTCTCTGCTCAAGATCGCTCTCGTGATTGGACTAAACATTATGGTACGTCTGTCATGCCTTCCCATTGCACCGCGCTGGTACGTCTCGTACAAATAAACTCTCTAACGAGGCTCTCTAGTCGCTGGTCATCACATGTGGTGGCGCACCCAACCACGAAGCGATCGGCTTCAAGTACTGGAACCACCCGGGGCCCTTTGCCCAGTATCTAGGCATTGGCGGAAGTCTCGGCCGCTTCCTCGGGTTCTGGAAGGCGCTGAACAGTGCGCTGTATGCCTACTCGGGCATCGAGAACATTCCCCTCACGTCGGCCGAGACTCGCAACCCGCGCACATCCATTCCCAAGGCAGCCAAGAGAGTGTTCTTTAAGATTCTTCTCTTCTATGGTGAGTCGCACTTCTGTCATTATGTGCACTACCCTCGCCCCGCATGAAGACTAAACCTTCAAAATAACAGTCATCACCATCTTCTTTGTTGGCCTCATTGTCCCCTCGGACAACCCCCATCTTTCCTTGACGACTGGAAACGCGTCCCAGTCGCCGTTTGTCATTGCGGCCCAGCTCGCCGGCATCAAGGTCGTCCCGTCCATTATCAATGCCGTGGTGCTGACGTCGGCCTGGTCGGCGGGCAACTCGAGCCTGCTCTGGGGCTCGCGCATCCTCTACGGCATGGCCATGGAAGGGCGTGCGCCGCGGTTTCTCACACGGGTCAACCGCTTCAGCATCCCCCACTATACGGTGCTGTTCTACGCGGTTTTCATGGGCCTGGCGTACATGTCGCTCTCCAGCACGGCCGCCAACGTGTTCGACTGGCTCAAGGACCTCGTGTCCATTGCGACCCTGGTGAACTGGCTCGTCTATCTCATCGTCTATCTTCGCTTCTACTACGCGTTCCAAAAGCAGGGACTGTCACGCTCGCGCCTCCCGTGGGCCTCGCCGCTGCAACCCTACCTGTCTTGGTGGTCCCTGTTCCTTCTCATCCTTGTGCTCCTGACAGGTGGCTTCTCAACTTTCATCCACGGACAGTACGTTATCCCTGAGAAATCCATGCCAAATTCGCCTGACAGGCCAGATGACTAACATGATTTTCACAATAACCAGTTGGAGCACCGAGACGTTCATATCCAGTTACATCAACGTTCCCATCTTTCTCGCACTGTACTTCTCCTACAAATTCATTCGAAAATCCAAAATTATCCCGCTCAGCGAGATACCCATTGGTCATTTCCTGGACATTGCCGAAAATGAAGAGGCGGAAGAAGAAAAAAAGCCAAACAAAGCCTGGCGCTGGCTTACATTGCTGTGGTTATAAGCGGTGTGGAGACGAAAGGCGGACACCGGACTGCGGCTCCTACGGATGCACTTGGCATACGTCGACGCAAAGACTTTGCGATAGTTACTGAAATTCGTGCAATTTCACTTTATTTCTTCCATAGGATAATATATGTGTTCTTTATCTCACATTCTTGTTTACACGGATATTTTCATATCAATATTGGCTGAGGTTGGCTGGTCAGCTCTACGGACCCCATTACCATAGACTAAGAAAAATGACATCAATTTGGTTTATTTATTTTCTTAAATATACGAAGTATGTCCTCACTTGCTGCCACTACTCCATACGTACACTCATGTAAGCATCATGTTGCTCTTATTTGTTATTATAATGTGCATGGGCCAAGTTGTTCGATGGTGACACACCTGTTATTATCGACTTTGATTCTTGCCAGAGAGGGAGAAGCTAGGCCTTAAATCCAGAACAACTGGCTGGACAATAAAAGGGTCAGAATACGCGAGGAGAGAGAATGACGAGTACAGAGTCTCAAAGATACGGGAACTCCTAATCGAAGGGAAGTGAAATTTTATTGTGCTTTTATACGATGTTTCCAACTATTCCTTTATAATATCTGTCAGAGAACATAACCTCGCCGGTTCTACAATTGCCCTATAAATATCACTGTGAGATGTATTTATCGGAGTATTTCAGATCGTCCGCAGCCCGTTGCCTTATACTTGGGTCTCGTCGCCGTCGCGCGTGTCGGCACTATATACAGACAATGTTGTGTATTGGACCTGCATATCTGTCTCAAGTTTAAAGAATAGGCGTGGCTAGACACCACGTACATTTGCCTAGTCCTCTTTACGATATCCAACAAAAGGTGCTTCGCTTCATTTATGATTTCATAAATATACGACTTAAAAGGCTGTTTTCCTCCGTTTTGTGCAAAAAACATGTTTTGTGCTCCGTACCATACCCACCGCAAAGCATGAATTGGGCTGGATTGTGGCTGATGCGTGGCGCGATTCATGTGGGACCGGTAGGACATCGCACAGGGCACCAGGGAGTGAGATGAAATACGGCTGGCAGATGCACGGCCCAGTTGCCAATAGCGCGAGGATGGCACAGCCTGGCCATTTACTTTTTCCCGTCCTACTGCAATTTACGGAGAAAAACAAATGTCCTACAACATACGTTTTCTTTCTTTTTTTTTTTTTTCTTAAAAACAAAATCGAACAAAGCCGCTGGGCGGCAGCAATAGTCAGAAACGCCGGTCTCTCTAATTGGCCAACTACGGGTGACCAAAACAAGCCAATTGCCCATCTTATTTCGCTTGCGTAAGATGCTCCCGGGACTCGGTCTCGTCCTGCACCGACGCACACGGCGGCTCCGGCTGGCGCTGGCTATTGCCGTGGGCCTTTTGTTTATAGTCGACATACTGCAAGCAAGACGCGCGCAGACGAGCCACCAAAGGACCCCGTCGCTCCTCACATCCAACGCCGACCAAAACATCTTCATTGCCAGCCTGCACTGGAACAGCGAGGCGATTTTGCGCGAGGCATGGCCACTAGCCCTGCTCAGACTAGTCGACACGCTCCGTGCCAGATCAAGCAACAATAACAACACCAATGTGTTTGTTAGCATCTACGAGAGCGGCAGCTGGGACCGCACCAAGAGTGTGCTATTAGGGTTGGACAACGAGCTGGCTAGCCGCGGCGTGCCACGACGGGTTGTCCTGGACAAAACAACGCACGCCGACGAGATGGCGTCCGAGGATCTAAACGGATGGGTGACGGACCCCAGTGGCCAACGCCACCGGCGACGGATCCCCTATCTGGCGGGCCTGCGCAACACGGTGCTGGAGCCTTTGCGCGAGCAAAAGGACACGGGGGCAGGGGTGGTATACGATAAGATTGTGTTCATCGAGGACATTGCTTTTTCCGTAGCCGATGTGCTGACCTTGCTGGACACGCGTGGGGGCGACTACGCAGCCGCCTGTGCGCTGGACGCATCCGTCGCGCCTATGCTCTACGACACCTTTGCGCTGCGCGACAGCGACGGGCACGCGCCGCTCTCGATCCACTGGCCCTTTTTCCGGGCCTCGGCATCGCGCAACGCTGTGCGCCGCAGAGCGCCCGTGCCGGTCCGCAGCTGTTGGAACGGCTTGGTGGCTATGGATGCCGCGCCGTTTTACGACGGGCTGCACTTCCGCGGGCTGTCGGACAGTCTGGCAGCGTCGCATCTCGAGGCGTCCGAGTGCTGCCTCATTCACGCAGACAACAACAATGACAGCAGGACAAGCACTCACAAAGGTGTGTGGATGAATACGGATGTTCGTGTCGGGTACAACCGGAAGGCGTATGACGGGATGCATCCGCCGAGTGGGTTGTGGCTGTCGACATGGGACGTCGCCTACGGTCTGTGGTCCAACCGCCTCCAGAGGTGGACATCGACGACATGGTTCAAAGAGAGGATCGTCGATGCTCGGATCGCCAAATGGGCAGCAGACGACCCAACGCACGCTGAGACCGGTCGACACTGTACGATCAACGAGATGCAAGTTCTCGTAGCCAATGGATGGGCGCATATATGAGTGTAGGACTATTACATAAAAAAGTACTCTCGAAAACAAAGGGTATTCTATAAACTCTGTATCTACCAGCTACACATCTGCACCCGTTTCCGCGCGTCCTGCCGGCCGCTCGGGATCCTGCAAGCGTGCCAGCTCCAGCAGCAGCCGGTGCACATACACCGCCCGGTCAGCCGGCCGCATCGCCTGCTGGAACCACCGCTGGCCGTTCTCGGCGACGGTGCGCGCGACCGCCTCACCTTGGGCGGAGGCGAGGTACGACACGAGCTCGGGCAGCTCGTCCAACGCCTGGCTGACTGGAATGTAGTGCACCCACGGCACGAGACGCTCGTCGTGCCATTCGCGGAGCAGCGTCTGCTTCAGCGGGGTCGACCCGGACGCGACCAGCTTGTAGTAGCGCCCGCTGATGCCGTTGCCGTCGACGCCCAAGACAAGGCGCGACGCCAGCGCGTCGTCGCGGCCGGCCCAGGGCTGCAGGCGAAAGAAGCCGCGCTGCGCACGGCAGGCGCGGTGGTCGCACTGAAAGACGCGCGTAAAGGCGACGCGAAAGAGGCGGCCGTTCAGAAACGAGGACCAGACGCGGCGGACGGGGCCGTCTCCCTTGCCACCCTGGTCTGTCAAGTAGGCATGCTGTCTGTGCTCCAGATTTTGGGCGACAGCGACGGCCCGCTGGCGATGGAAGCCGTGCCAGTTGCCGGACTTCCCGTCCTCGGCATAGGCCCCCGTGGTCGACCCGGCCCAGTACAGCGCATTCGTCTTCTTGTCCCAAGGGACGTCGTGGGCGGCATCGTACACAAACCCCGACTCGCTGTAGGCCGGGCTGGGATAGAGGATGTCGCCCATGGTGGACAAGGCGCCGCACGATAGAACCGGCACGAGGCCCTGGATCAAGGGGAACGACACAGGGCTGGCCAGCATGCCATGCATGTCCTTGTACTCGGGATGCCGGCATAGATCGCGGGCGGCTCGCGTGTCGGTGACAAATGGAAGGCCATACATCTCCACGACCGGGCCCGTTTCGCTTGTTGTGTTTTGGGACAGTTGGTGCTGCTGTGCTGCACAGTTCTGTGTCAAGACATCGTACACGGGTTGTCCGTCGAGGATGGTGACGCTGTACTTGTCTCGACCTGTGTTGTCCACGCCGGCCGGCAACAAGACTCTTGGTTCGTCCAAGTGGTTGACCAGGAACGTGACATCCACGTCCAAGTGCGCTGTTGTCGTGGGCACGCCGCCGCCAAACGACCCTCCCCCCAGCCAGGCATTAAACATCTCCTGCACGTTGCGGTCGAAACTGCGCGTCGGGTGCTTACAGGTCGTCTGCCGTGTCTTGGCGACGTAATTGCACTGCCACACATCGCTGTCCGGCAGCGTGTAGACCGTCTGCATCGCCTTTTGTATCTCCTTTCCGCTCAGTACGCGCAGTGGCTGCAGACTTTGGTGGATCATGTCGTACTCGTCGATGACGGGCGCGTCCAGTTCGCGCGCCAGGTGGAACCACGCGTCAAACCCGGGCGGCGGCTCGATGCCGTAGCGCCGGCGGTACTCGTCACCGGCTGCCGTCTCATTCATCGATTGTCGCCGCAGCAGGTCGTCGAAGCGTGTCTGGCCAAGGCGCACGAGGGCCGCGACGGGGTGTTCGTGGTGGAGGAGGGAGTGTGGCGGCGCTGGATAGAAGCCGTAGAGCGCAGCCATGTTGGCCACAAAGGGCACCATGGGTACCAATGCAAAGGCGGTCCACACCACGCGTGTCCAATGTGTGTTTTCAGGGAGGACGAGAACGATTTGTGTCAGTGTCAGGAGGCTAGCTACGGCAACGGCGAGTGCGTTGCTGCTTGTCTGCTGCGCAAATGGATTGCTCGCCGACAGAAGGCCAAAGGCCAGGATCGTCGTCGCGATGCGCCAGGAGGGAGGTTGTGTTGGTGGGGATGGGGGTGGTGGTCGACCGAGAGGAATGGAAGATGATAGCGACAGCTTGTCGTATGTGGTAGCGGGTCGGAGTGTTTGTATCGTAAAATACCAAAACAGGGCTCGCGAGAGGCCGAGAATGAGCGTCGGCGCAACATCAACCACCACCGGTGCGAATAAGTATACGTCACCAACGGCGACGCATAGCAAAGCAACAAGCACCCGCCATGCCAGGGAGGGTGCCACTTCGTGAATAGTGAGCGACGGTACAAACGGTGAGAAAATCCGACAAACGCGGAACGGCAGCGTCGATGCCTCTGGTCGAGGCGTGAAGATGACAAAAGCAATCACGAGAGCCGCCACCGGACCGAGAGCCGGCGCCGTATTGCCAAAGTTCCAGTCGACGAGGCTGCCGGTGGACAGGACGGCAATCGACAATGTGCCCACAATGCCGTTGATGTAAGCCCATATCCGGCGTTTCGTGCTGTAGTCGGAAGCGTCACATCCGAGGAGACGTTCGACGATAAAGAGGATTGGTGTTGCGGCAGGCTGTTTTTCTTAGTCCACGTTCCTTCAAAGGATATGTTTTTACGTTGACGGCGACCGACCTCCGACTTACCAACAACGGGACAGCACCCAGCTCCGACCGGTAGACGGTCACCGAAGAAATGCATACGGCGACCAGCCACAGCGGTACCGACCGCCGCCATCCGGTACTCTGTGACGATGGCTCGCGGCCCGGTAATCGGTCATGGTTCGTCGGTCGTACTCGCCGTGTCTTGTAGTGAAACGCTGCAAACAAGGCTGTCCAGCAGACCAAGTCCGACCAAATCTCCAGTGGATGTGCAGACAAACGCTCGGCCGCGATGCTGCCCACGAGGGCCGCTGCAACGGACATGGCCGGCCTCCAGCCGGTGTCCGACACGGCCATGGACAAGAAACTTAACATATTGGTGGTGTGAAAGGCATGTTGTTGAAAGAAAAGGGTGGATAAAGTGAGAACGTGAGTGTGCAATTCACAAGAGGAGCAGGTGAACTGGAGCATGTGCAACGTCAGAGAACACACACGGAGTGAAGTTGATTTCAACACCCTCCACGACGTAATGTGCTCTCCTCTTCTTGTCCTGTTGAAGATCGACAGTCGTATAAGCTTGTTTCGGACAAAAATACGACGAGGAAATAGGGGTTAAAAGGCCTGTGGCCTAAACCGCGGCACGGCAGGGCAACCGAAACGTAAACAGCCACAATCCTTCCGGTCTCTACAGAATACTTTGCCATCTACTTTACCGGCCACTGTGCCGCTCCCGTTTGGTGCAGCACCGTCGTAGTTTTCCACTTTGGACGGTGTACAGACATACTGCAAGGTGTTGTGGAGTAGAAATACGAAAATGAAAACGGTCAGATTTTGATCGGTGTGAAAACGAAGGCTATCGTAACAAAAGTTCTGTGGCCGCGTCACGCTCCAAAACAAGGAAGTGAAAATAAGCACGTCAATCCCCGAACCTTGTATTATGGACTGCCGGGGAGCAGGGGTCGTCTCGTGTTCTGCTGAGTTGGGTTGGGGTAAACGAAACAGGAAATAAAAACGACATGGCAACCCCTCGGGCGTAAAATGTTTCGTCTTTTCCATTTGCGATCCTTCGGTTTTTTACAGCCACCTCCTGCTCTACTAATTGGCACTGCGACGCTGGATGGAGGGAATCGCCCCGTTGGCCATCCCGCCATCAATAACAGCCCCTAAAGATCGACTTGCTATCTGTACATAATGGGCCTCGAAAGAAGTGGGAAACGAAGCGATGGAAACTAGTCTACTGCGTATCTCTCGCACGTTCTTAGTGCCTCGCAACGAATGCTTCTTAATTAATGAGCGGCCTTTGTGGAGCATCGCAGCACAGGGCAGGTCTTGGCGTCAGTTTAAGCTTTGCCGCCCCGCAAATGCGGCGACATGTTGACGTAAGAGTTCACGGCTGTGGCGTTCCGGCTGTCAAAGACAGCTACGAATTATTTTTATGGAAATAACACCGTCTCGGGATGTCTTAGGAACCCGTCGTCGTCAGTCTGCCCGTTGCAATTATTTGCGTGGTGAAAGGTGCATCACGCCCGCCGTTTCCACGAATCGAGTCCACGCATTGAAACTCCGTCTCTCCAGCCAGCCAGCCGATACCGTCGACAATGGAACCTAGGCACGGCTGGGGACTGTCAAGGGTTCTGTGGCCGTATTAAGACGGGGATTCTGGTCGTCCAGAAAATTCACTTGGATACGTCCTACGACGGCATTGTGGGAGAGGTCGAAGACAATGGGATGCGGTCCATCCCTCCACCGCAAGCTGGTAATATGGCGTTTCTTTCCGTCTCTGGTTTTGGGCCTTCATCGGAGCTGGACTCGAGGCGGTTACTCTGTTGTTGCGTTGAGGCTACACAACAGTGTAACCGATAAGTGTACTGAGAACTCACCGCAGAGCACGGCCAGTGCCAACTGGGATTCCTCGAGCTGAGTTTACATAATCGACACGTGACAAAAGGTCGGCTTTTGTTTCGACTGCTTTTGGAGCTTGATAGAAACCTTTTTTGTTCAACAAGCTTTGTGACATTTGACACTGGCTGCATCTCCACTTCGTTCGGCCAGCATCGATGCAGAGTCCCAGCTTTATTTATAGGTTAGTCATTTTGCAATATTGTGGATTCTGGCCTCGAAACAAAACATGCACTAACACCCGCTATGTGGATTATTCAGAAACTCCCCAGCTAACAAGCCTCAACACGATCTCAGCACAACCTCAACACAACCTCAACACGACTGCATGCCATGTCACAGAATGGCAGGAAGCACAAAATCAATATGCATCCATCCATCCCATCGCGCGTGGCACGTCACTCGACACGAAAGGACCTGCCCATGGATAAATGCAGCAAGCAGACATGCCCACCTTCGATAATGCATCGACGCCGCCCGACATCCGATACGTGAGCACAAAACGACTGTTCCAGTACCTCGACGCAGTCCCCAGCAGCACGGACTGCGTAGTCGTGAGAGACGTCACGGTCGACAAGCTTCGTGTCATTGAAGCGAGAGCATTCCCGTGGATGGGTATTTGCGTCGAGGGACCGTTTCTTTGGAAATCATGCCGAGAAAAGTTGTCGGAGCAAGTGATACAAAAGTGAGAGGAAGCAAGTAGGTGCAATGCGGAGGCTGAGATGGTATTATCTTAGGATTAGTCCGAATCGGGGCGCATTTCGAAATGCGCCCCGATTCGGACTAGACTGCCTTGTCAGCTGTAAATTGATGGCGGAAGTTGGCAGACGCGAGCGCGACCGTCGCGGCCGCCGATTTCGATTCTATTTCAACCTGTGTTGCCCCGTCTCGTCGTCACCATTCATACTGGTCAGCATGAACTGGGCCACGGAGCTTTGTACGACAAAACATCCATTGCTCTTCGGGACATGGGCGTCGGTAGCCAGTTGGAATCCGCATGCAGCACAACATTTGGAGAAAGAGATGGCTCATCTGGAGAAGGGGACACTTCCAGGGGGCCCTGGCCAAGGGCCACTTTGCACGATGGAATAACTTGGCCAACACTAGTCGTTGAGGTGGGAGCCAAATGCCAGTGGTGGTTTTGTGCCAGTGACTTTCATATGAAGGTTGTCCTCCTCGTGAAACTACACCAACAGGACCTGAACATTCACATCGAACAATGGGTGGCAAGTCTTTCTACTTCAGTATCGGGCCCAAGACGCAGTGGCGCCACAAACACGCGGGCCTTAGCTTTACGAGACGCCAACCCGAGATCAAGCAACAAGTGTCCATCACCTGGGCGGGACGTTTGCCATTCACATCTTCCCCGCCCCATCAATACGCCGAGACTGGCTTTCGTGTCGTGGGCGCTCTCTTGGTTCTTCGATTCCAAGACCTTATGGATCGTCCGCCTGTGCCCTCAGCCGATGAACATGATGTCATGATTTCGGAGCACGATCTTCAAAACGTCGCCGTTCGTATATGGAGACGGAGGGAGTGATTCTTGGATCTGGCACCAGTTCACAGCGAGGGTGGCTACAATCCTTCAACCCCTACTGTTGAACCTCTTTTGGAAAGGAAACTAGTCATGTTGCCAGTCAAGCCAGTTCTTGACTTCCTTCTACACGACGTACAAAATGAACAGTGACACAAAGTGGCGTTCGCAGACTCGATCCATTTCAAAAGACCGCCTTCGAGAAGTCAATTTACCAAGCGAAATACAACGAAACTGTCAAATCTATCACATGAAACATGTTTTCGTGGACCACCTCTCCGAACCGTCAGCAGCCATTTTGCCGACGACGACGTACAAGACACCATCCGAAAGGGTACAAGGAGAGCAGATGAGCTCGTCTGTCAAAGCGGAAACAATACGATGGCCGGGAACGACTGCGATACCGTTCACTCAGAGCTCACAGCTTCTCTCCGCCATCAACCCATCATATCCACTCCCCGCACGAATATGCTAGGGAAATTGATAGAAAAAGATCATATCACCCGCCGCCAGGTTTGTATGGTGGATTGTCTGACCTAACTGGTGGCGTGTTGTTTCGGCATTGTCTGCTATCACGATGTTAGTTGGAAAGCTTGCTCGTCCTGGAGAATTTCTTGTTCTACTCACCGGAGACCGTAGTTCTGTTGGCCTTGGTCTTCTTGAATATTTTCCAGAGAACCAGAGCCGTGGGGGGCAAATTGACCAATACCCCAACGATGGAGATCAGCGCCTCGTCGGACAACGACATCAAGTGATGCTCAGCAGGTGCTGAACTTTCTGAAGGAAAACGGCTTAACAGGTGTATAAGGCATGTATGACCAAAGAAAATGCATTTGAATTTCCTGCGGTGAGACCCGGGGCGTATCATACCCCAAAATATATAAAAACCAAGTCGCAGATTCTGGCCAGCTTCACCTCGTTCCAAATTGCTTGAAAGGCAACGTGGGAGATCCAAAAACACGATTTCTGGACACAGCCAATCAGCAGCGCGGACTGATTGGCAGAGACATGGCCGACAACATGCAGTGGCAGTCACAGATTCTGGAGAACGCAAAACTGCACATTATGAACAGACCACCAAAAATGGCCAATAAGAGTGATCTTGAAGCAACGCGAATTCTGGACAGAGCAAAACTGCACATTGTGCAATGGCCAATGAGAGTGATCTTGCAGCCCCTGCCCTTGCGAATTCTGGACGACCAGCAACAAGATAAATAACGGCCTCATCCCACTCTACCGCCTTTCTTACGTCTTGACATCTTCATCCCATTTCCCAAGCAACCTCTGCGGATGCATTCACAATCATGGAAACCACACGCATCCCCTCACGCCAGTGGGAAGCCCACAAAGACATTATTGCTTCTCTTTACATTGAACAAAACATGGTGCTCGGCGATGTGATCAGGGCTATGAAGAAAGACCATAACTTTCACGCTACGTATGTTCCGGCACCCACACCATGGACAATGGCTAGCTTCTAACCTATCTCCCAGCAAGGCACAATACCTCCGGAAGCTGGATCAATGGCACATGAAGAAAAATTCGACAAACGAAACGTGGACCTTTGCGGCGAACCAGATCGAGAAGCGCAAGCTGGAAGGAAAAGAGACTGAGATTCTCATCAATGGCAAACTTGTTCCACCGAAGAAGTTGAAAAAGGAGGTGGCTAGGTACTCAGCTATCAAGTCCGCAACCTCGGAAGCATCAGGCAAGTTTCATCGCCGTACTTCTTGACTGGAATGATGGTCTTCAGCTCAGGTGCTAACATCCTCGGCAGCTGCGGAAACTGGCGTTCCTAGCGGAATTGTCGTCCGTACACCCCCAGCAGATGCTGTTGGTGATGTGGAGGACATGAACATACCTTGGATTCAATCCCAAGAGCACTCGGAGGCAAACAGTACGTTGTACCTGGTCATGGTGTCTTTGTTCTCGTCTCCCTGGCTAACCAGCAGCAGTTGAACGTGCGACACCCGGAACTGCTCTTATTGAGATGAGAAGTCCTGCTCAACATTGGTTTAGGACACCTAGTCCGCTGAGCTTCGATGCTGCTCTCGGCATGCTAGGCCCGTCCAGCCCGCAACTGACACTGCCTTCGACTATGAATGATGGTGTTCAGGATTCGTTTCCAGATTTGGTTGGCGACGACTTCGTCTTCGACTGGGATACGATACTCAATACGCCGCAGCCTCCACGCATACCTACAGAGGAGCAAACCAACCGGGAGGCCCACAAACTTATTGGGAAGTGTCTGAAAGCATTGGTCAACCCTAAAAGTCCAGAGTACTTGTCAGAGGCTGCGCTGGAATTGGAGAGCCTTGCCATTCAAACTCGGCATATGGTGCAATTGTACAGCAATTCTGCCTCTGATCCGTCATTCCAACTGTTCCGATATGCGGTATACCTCTCTTCGAACAACCTGCTCTCCAATAATAGTACAGACATGCTGCTCAAATGGGTCATCAAAAACAACAAGTTATGGGTTCTGGAGCGCGTGATGGACGCAAAATTGCCGACGACCGAGGTTTTTGCAGCCAACATTTTTGTCAGCGCCGCGAGGTTGGGCCACCCTGGCGCGGTCTGCGCTCTGCTCGCAAAAGGAGTCGACCCCAATACAATTGTTGGGACTTCTTCGAGGCGCCCTGCTCTTCAAGAGGCTATCGTGCACGGAAACATGGAGGTTGTTCAGCTCTTGCTTGACGCGGGAGCAGACCCAAATGCCTTGGTAGGCAGTCCTTGTCGACAGACGGCACTTGAGATCGCATTTGCCGCGTACCATCCCAAAATTGCCTTGGTCAAATTGTTGATATCTCGAGGTGCGGCCATGAGTCCTGAAGCTTCAACGTACGAAGGAACGGTTCTACAAAACGCTTTGCGACTGGGCGATACGGACCTTGTTTGTACGTTGCTACGGGCCGGCACGCGCGTTACTAATACAACATCACGCTGGGGTACTACGGATCTGCAAATTGCTGCCCGATGCGGCAAGGTGGAAATCGTTGAAGCGTTGCTGGAAGCAGGAGCCGACATCGACAGTCCGCTTGGGGAAAACTGCGAAGACGGAGCTGAAGTGTCGAGATCGCCTCTGTTTTTCCTGACACCACTTCAAATTGCAACAATAAAAGACCACACAGAAATCGTGCAAGTTCTTTTGGACGCAGGTGCTGGCGTCAACTACTTTCCCGCGGCCAAGTACTCCAACTTCACATCGTTTTGCTTCAAAGGCAAGCATGATGACTGTGGATCAGACTTTGCATCCGACTTTGCATCCGACTGTGAACCAGACTGTGAACCATACTGTGAACCAGACTGTGAACCAGACTCTGAACCAGACTCTGAACCAGACTCTGCAACCGACGACAAATCAGACGTTGAATCAGTCTGTGAGTCGTACACGTTCAGTCCCAACGGCGGACGCGGTGGCATGCTGTCGGACTTGGAATTTCTCGGATCAAAAGGTCGGTATTTACTTACACCGCTCCAAGCAGCTGCTTTGAACAACAATATTTTTCTCGTTCGCTTGCTCCTCAGTCGCGGCGCCGATGTTAATGCAATCGGAGGTCGAGGCACAGCGCTGCAAATTGCAGCATCAAGGCTGGGTTGCTTCAAGCTGGTTCAGCTGCTGCTGCGAAAGGGGGCGGATTTGAATAGTCCGGCGACCGTACCGGGGGGCCGGACGGCTCTCCAGGCAGCAGCGGGGTCTGGGGACGAGCAAACCATCAAGCTATTGCTTAGCATGGGCGCTAACGTGAATGCTCCGGCGTATCGCCGTGGTGGATGCACTGCCGTCCAGGCCGCTGCGCGGTCGGGGCATCTCGAAACGGTCAAATTGCTAGTCGGCGCCGGCGCAGATGTGCATGCAGTTGCTGCGCATGTGTGGGGCCGAACGTGTTTGCAAAGTGCAGCAAGGAAAGGAGACATCCGCATTGTCGACTATTTGCTGCAACTCGGTGTCGATATCAATGAGCCAGCATGTCCAGTCAACGGGCGCACCGCATTGCTTTTTGCAATCGAGAAACATCACAAGGCTGTTGCCGAGAGGCTCCTTGAGAAAGGCGCAGACCCCACCGGTCTGCTAAACGGGGGATATGGCAGCACACCTCTGCAGGCGGCAGTCAAGAACAAATGGTACGACTTCGCTCAGATGCTACTACGCCAAGGGGCCAATCCAAACAAAAATCTATCTTCGTCAACACCTTTGGGGATCTCCCTCCACAACAACGCAGTCGACATGGCGCGTCAACTGATCGATGCTGGCGCCGATGCGAACGAGCGCTGTGCAGACCTCGATGGCTATCTATCAAGTCCCCTTGAAATAGCGGTAGCAAACGGGAGCATTGACATAGTTGGCAACCTGCTGGAAGCGGGCGCGGACATTGACGGCGAGCGTGGCATCATACCTCTCCGCATGGCTGTCGAAAGAAACAATCTTGACGTAGTGAAGATGTTGCTCTTGAAGGGAGCGAGCCCCAATCCACGCCCAGACTGCATTAATGAATCGATACTGCTGACCGCGATGTGCAGGTCTCCGGTCGACGAAAATATGGTCCGCCTCCTCGTTGATTTTGGCGCTCGCGTGGAAGCGGACGACGGCTTTTCTCTCTACCACGCTGCGAGAAAGGGGTGTCTGCAGGCGGTTGAATCCCTCCTGCAAGCCGGAGCAGATGCCAATGCCCGTCCCTGGAGACAGACAGCACTTCACTGGGCGGTGCAACGGGGAAATTTTGACATTGCGGTGGCTCTTCTCAACAAGGGCGCTGACATCAATGCCCCTCTCTGGTTAGAGTACGGTGGGACTGCGCTACAGGAGGCTGCCAAATTTGGCAGCGTCCGCATGGTGCAGTTGCTTCTCGCACACGGCGCAGACGTCAACGCACCACCAGCGAAATTCAGTGGAGCAACCGCGTTGCAAGCGGCGGTCATTCGGGGACATTTTCGAATTGTATCCATGTTACTCAAGAGCGGAGCGGATATCAATGCCCCAAGAGCAAAGCGATGCGGCCTGACGGCGCTTGAAGCTGTCTCAGCGTGTGGGAGGCTCGACATTATGCATCTGCTGCTTCAGAACTGCGGCGATGTGGACGACATGGAGGCACAGTGTAGGAGTGCAGCCGAGCTGGCGTCCTCCAACGGGCATGTTGTTATAGCCAGGATGCTGCGAGAATGGAAACGGCCTACCTGATAGAAACTCTGCGAAACACGGAGGGCACGTATGAATGTGTCAAATAGAATCTCAACGGTGGAGAAATCATCACCAGTCACCCTCGTTACGAGACCTGGACAAGGCGATGTAATCAACCAGCTTATCCGGAAACGTTTCCACAAAAGTGTCCTTGGCATGCGCCATACAGTCTCTTTCAATGGATGGCCGTCGTGTGCTGAAAAAACTTGACGCACTCCCACTGAAAACTGGGGATGGCCGTGGTTGACTGTCGCTCTCTGTTTTGCAGCCTTACGTTTAATATATGGTAGAACGCGTGGTGCTACTAAATATGGTTAATAACAGCGTGCTTTAAAAAGAAAATTAGCTTAGGATAGCTACAGGTGCTGCTCAACCCGTTTAATCGCTAAAAGGCAGCCTTGTTCAGCCCCGCATCCAATTCACAATTAGCAATTGCGCCATCACCTGTTTGGTATACACCCTTGCTCTACGTGCGTGGCATATCTGCACTTTTTCTTTCTTTTTTTATCTTTCCCTTATATCATGTCGTGCTGTATTCTTACCCGCGCCGATATGGTAAACGCCGCAGACAAAACGTCCGCCACTTTAGACAGCTTCAAGGCCCGGCTTCGCAATAAAAAGATTGAGCGCGGCCTGCCAGTCTCGCCGACGCCGTCGGAACTTGCACGCGACAACGAGTTGGAAGACGACGGCACGGTCTTGTACAACTTGCTGGGCCGTATGATCTCGCTGCACCCGGGCAACATTGTCAAAAAGGCCGGACGCGCCGTGCGGTTGGGCGAGGCCGATGCTTTGAAAGTGGCGGCCGCGGGGGGCGTTCCCGTGCCCGACGTGTTTGGGACCGAGGTCACGCCCGAGGGCCGGTTTCGCATCTCGATGAGCTACATTGAAGGGCAGACCCTGGAAGCGGCTTGGCCCTCGCTTTCGGAAGACGACAAGACATCCTACTGTCGACAGGTCGGGGCGATCCTGACCGCGATGCGCGCCATTCCGCCCCCCGACCCAAGCTTCATCGGCGCCTGCGACGGCAAGGAGATCCGCGACGGCCGGCTGTACAACACATACATGTCGCCCGTGTGCGCGGACGAGGAAGCGTTCAATGCCTATCTGGTCTCGAGCATCACCCCAACGACGCCCGATGCGGTGCGTGAGGCTTTCGTGCGCCGGTTGCAAAGCCAGCCACGCCACCGCATCGTCCTAACCCACGGCGACCTGGCACCGCGCAATATTATGGTCCGTGACGGCCGTGTCGTCGCGCTCATTGACTGGGAGGAGGCTGGATGGTACCCCGAATACTGGGAATATGTCAAATTCTTTCAGCGCTCAACGGCCATGGAAAGGGACTGGAGAGCACATGCCAAGGACATTTTTGTCGAAGCGTATCCGGACGAGCTGGTTGACTACATTGCCGTTTCCAAGTTTCAGTACCCATAAAGGGCCGCGTAGGAGGATGGCCGACGCATCAGACTTGCCTTGTACTCCATCCATTGTAGTCACTTTCCACTTTCTTTCGGCTGTTGACTCAGTTAAGGAGGTGGGTGAAGTGAGAGAGAGTGTGTGTGTGAGGGATTACCAAATTTGGAATCCGCATCACCTGTTGGCCGCTTAAATGTCGTTTCGTTTGCTGCTTGACTGTAGGATGCAACCGTGCAAAATAACGGGCAGGAGAAAGCAGACGGAGTGTGACGATGGCCCTGGCAACATGATGGCTGTCACTATGGAAGGCGCTGACTACATGATTTAACCGTCGTGACCATGCCGGTTAAGCTTCAATTTCGTCTTGTTGTGTTGATAGAAGGCAATACCGATTTGTTCCCTATTATTCGGCAGTTTTAGCAGTGTTTTCCACCAGCAAAGTACCGTGCGATGGCCCGCCAAATAAATGGCAGGTTTGTTGTTACGGCACAAATTCGAGCTGTATTTTTTCAGCGAACAATATCCGTAACCGAGTTCTAGCAATAAAAAAAAAACAAGACGGAGGCTTTGTTTCTTCAAGTTCCAGTCTGGAATGAGATGTTAAAAAAAACCCATAGGAAGCCAAAAATATCTCCAGGGGGCGAATCGAACGCCCGACTCTCGGATTTAGATTGAGTAACAATTACAGTCCGATGCCATAAACCAACTAGACCACCCGGAGTTGTTCCCTGGAAGCCGGTAGTTTGTTTCAGACTTATATGGGGAAGACACAACCAACAAAAGTGGGGCTGCATTACCACGACTGTGTTGTTAACCCCGAACTGTTATTCGACAATCCCAAAAGTCAATCTTTACCAAGCGACAATATGTTGCATCACGTTCAGCATTGTTCCTATGGCATTGCTATTGTACACAATAAAATCTTTGCAAATAGGGAGACACAGCAGGGGAAGGAATATTCTGTGTTTTTGTATCATGCCAAGAAAATCTTGAATTGATGGGAGACATTCGTTTTTTGCTGTGCATGGCCTTCGCCCTCAAGCCTCACCTGCCGCAGCACCGCCTGCGGCCTTGGCCGCTTTGGCAGCCGTCATGGCCTTGTCCTTCTCATCGACCAGTGCCGACATGGCGTTGCCAATGTCGGTGCCCAGCTGGCCAAAGCCCTTGATGACGCCGGCGCGGTCGCCGGCGCGCATCTCCTGGCTCATCTTGACCTTGCCCACGAGCTCGGTGATTTCGATTTCGATGCCAATGATGCTCTTGCGCATGATGTCGAGGTAGTTGGTAGGCGCGTCGGCGACCTTCCACGGCTCCGGGCGGCCGCCCTCGCCGGTGTAGTCCATGAGGGCCCGCTCGCCGTGCTCGGACAAGAGGTCGAGCTGCTTTTCAAGGTAGGCGTTGGCGGCCGCATTGGTGGACGCCGCCGCGGGGGGCCCGCCGCCGACGTAGATGGTGGCCTTGCCGCGGACGTGGACGGTGGCGTAGTTCCAGGTGGGGACGACCTTGGCGGTGGTGGGCTTGGACTCGGTGTAGAACTTGGGCGTCACGTAATGCTGGACATTGGATGTGAAGACGACCAGCACCTCGTCTTTCAGGACCGAGACGCCCGGCACGTCGGTCGGCTGGCCCTCGACGGACTGGATCATGGCCTTGACTTGCGGGTTGCTCTTGGCCATGTGGCCGAGCAGGCGGCCCTTGTCGGTCTCGCTGGCCTCATCATCGACGGCGACGATCCAGGGGATGTGGGTGCTTTGAATCAGAGGGAAGCCATCGGCGGCGATGGCCGTGGTGATTTGGCCCAAGGAGTTGTCGCGGATCAGCTGGCGCAGGGCGACCAGGCTGGTCTCGGCGTATTCAGTCTTTTGATACATGGTTTATGCGTGCTGGCAGATGCAGAGACGGGTGTTGACGACGGTGAAGGCAACTCGTTGCTTTGAGACAGACAGACAGCCCAGGACAGGACCGGTCCTTTTAACACAGACATTCCGTATCAACTGCGGCTGCTCCATTCAGACATCGACCTCTTCAAATCCCGTACGGGATATGCTGGATCTCAGAAACTGCCTCGTTTCGTAGTCATTCAAATAAAAAGGAACAACATCAGCAAACGGGCAGCGTGACCACGGCTTCGAACTGCCCAAAAGGGAGAAATGCACGATTGGTAAACGCCGGACGGGGACGGGCCAGGCTGCAAACTGCCAAGCAGGCCAAGCAAGCCAAGCAGGCGGGTCCATACCAAACAGACGGCCAAGCTTATTTTGGTTGTTGCTCGGTGCTCGTCTCTCCAAGGGCGTTGGACATCCAATGGTCACGGACGAGTCACAACTCGGCTATGTGTCACAGAGTGGAACAGGCCAGGGGCCCAGGTGAGGTGCAGGACATGCTGATGGACAAATCCCGTCTTACATGCTAATTCAGTGGGGCAGCGGCCTGCGCTGTGGACGCTCTGAGTGAATATGCAGTAGACGTTTTAGTGGATTTCTAGTGGATAGGGCCTGCCTACTGAACCTTCTTAGTAGGCTGTCTTAGTGGATCATTACGCCCCGCTGGGCGGACGCCGAAGCGGCGACACGACGTCATTTGCAGTCACTACTGCACCTTTTAGTGGCCGAAACGGCAAACAGGCGTAGCCTTCTCCGCGGCCGCCACCTCTGCACGTTCCGGCTACAAGTGTGCCAAGGGAGCGGAACCTCCCCGTACGACACAGATGGCATGCTATCTGTACCGGTATCAGTGGACAGCAGTCACAGTCACGAGCTCGCCCATTGACGCCAAACCATCTAACCGCTGGGATCACCGTGGCTAGCATCATCTCTCCATCCGGCAGTTGACATCGAAACCCCCTCCATCCCTCCCATTCTCGTCATCCTCGACCACGGCACACTCCCCACTCCCCTCACCTCCTTTACGCTCATTCGTCAGACTCGCTTGTCGCAGCGCCAGCTTCTGACCATGTCCCTTCCTCTGCAAGCAACCCGCCGTGCCGTCGAGCACCGCAAGCGGCTGGCCGAGCTGTTCCCCTGGACAACATCGCCACTACTCATTGGCGCACCCATGCGCGTGTTTTCGGGGCCAGCCATGGCGGTGGCGGTGTCACGGGCGGGTGGGCTCGGGTTTATTGGGCCGGGCACGACGCCGGAAGCGTCCTCGACGGATCTGGCAGAGGCCACGAAGCTGCTCAAGGAGACGCCTTTGAAGGCGGCCGCGGCAACAACACCGACGCCGTCGCTTCTGCCCATTGGCGTCGGCTTCCAGGTCTGGAACGGTGACCTCGACAGCGCCACGGCGGCCGTCCGCACCCACCGCCCCTGTGCCGTCTGGCTCTTTGCGCCGCGCGACGGCCAGGCCCAGCTGGACACCTGGACGGCGGCGCTCCGCGCGGCCTCGCCGGGCACGCAGGTCTGGGTGCAGGTCGGCACCCTCCAGGAAGCCGTGGCCGCGGCGCACCCGTCGGGCGCGGACGCGCTGGTGCTGCAGGGCGCCGAGGCCGGCGGGCACGGCCGCGCGAGCGACGGCATTGGGCTGGTGTCGCTGCTACCCGAGGTGGCCGACGCGCTCCACGACAACACAAATAACACAAACAG